TGAATAATTTGAGAGAACAACGTGATGAATTACGTGATGTTATTGAGAATTTGATTAAGAATAATCTGATTGAGATGAAATCTGCACAAGATAAGATTGAAAATTTACAAGGGAAATTAAATGATATGAAATTGATTAATCAAAAATTGACTACTAGAGGAGGAAGGGGAGATGATGACAATGATTATATCAATGGATATATCGGTGGAGATGGTTCTGGAGGTGGTAATGGTCAATATTATGGAAATAGAAAGAATGGAGGTAAATTACAAGGTCTTGCGGTCATAAGTTCAAGTAATCGATTATTTGATTAGAACTGTGTGGTTGTGTTATTAATTAATGGGTGATTTATAATTTATAAAGATAAGGAAATGTGACAGTTTATACATACAGGTAAAAAGTTAATATATATATTTAATCGTGATTTACAACATATCCTCTCTATTGTAATGAAGTAAACCAACGGCATTTAACATGTACTGTGTACAAGTATCTTTTTTTTTTCTTTAAACGGTATCGATTAAATTATACACTAAAATTATAAACTATAATATATAAACTGATACTGACCCTCTGATACATATAGGGCATAACGTTCTGTAGAAATGGTAAAAACCTTTTATAGGCACTTAGGTGTATGATAAAAGCAACATAAGTAGTGTGAGAGTCCAAGACCAGCAGGACTGGGTTGTATACTCACTAAAAACCATTGGTACGAGTTGGCTGGGGGGATAAAGCGTAAATGATTTAGGATGGGGTTAAGCTTTAGATAGCGCTGGGTGGAGATGAATTTGGGATGGTGGTGTTGGTTAAAATGTTGGAGGGGTGGCCATTAATATAAATACAAACAAATCAATAAGTAAACTAATATTGGTTAGATGATTCAGCAATGTCGTCGATCTAGATAGATCATGACATGGTTTATGTAATTGTTAATGGTCTTGTAATGGGTTGGAGATGGGTTAGGATTAGCAATCCATTGAGTGGGGTTTAATGCTAATGAAGATGACGTCCATTGGGAGGTTGTTATGGGGCAGTAGAAAAGATGATGGATCACACTGTTGGAGTTAGTCCACTGACATAGAGGACAATCTCCGGTTTGTTGATAGCGTGGCTGATGGTTAAGAGAACCGAGCGTGAATAGATGAAAGTGTTGTAGATAATCGGAAACAGATTGTCTGTTTTTATGCATCTGATTCCAAAATTTTGTCCACCCTTTGGGTGTGTTTGTGCAAGATAGTCTAGTTGAGACCATCAGTTGGGTATGATGAGACGGGTGGTGGCTAGTTTCTTTGAGGTTTGGCGGAACGAGTCGAAATTAAGTGGCTCCTTTTTGTTGATGTCCACTAATTTTCCTAACTCATTTGGTGCAGGAGCTTCAACTGGGATATGAGATTGGTGGAGTATCTTGTAGCCGACAAGGTGGGGGGCCGATATATTTGGTGAGTAGGAACCAGGCTTCAAATCTGGATTTTTCAGGTGGGTCAAATGTGTCAAGAATGTCCCGTTTCACTGATTGAAAAGGTATAGATGGATGACATGATTGATGTTGTAAGAAACGATACCAAGGGTATATTTTAATGAGATTATATGAAACTTCCCAGCCGGGAATGTGCCTCATACCATAGCTAAGTGTTGCTGTTTGATTCTGAGGTATAGGTGATTGAGGGTGTCCTCTTGGGTAAACAATCGGAATATTTCTTTTGCCCGTCTCCCGAGAACTTGTGAATGAATATTTAATAATCCAAAACCACCCAAGTGCTTGGGAGTTTGTAGTCTAATGAGGGATATTCTTGGGGTAAATAAATCACCGATGGTCTTGTACACTTGGTCATAGTATTTAGCAGGGATTGGATAGTGAAGATCTCGGTAATATAATTTTGAAAATATGAATATGTTAATTTATCTTTTTCCCCTCAATTTATTTCCGTTTTGCTCCGGTATATGAAACTTCATCTCCAAAGTTTCAATCTGATTCAATGTCAAGACTCTTGAGAATATTCTTAATAAATTATTGCTTTAAGAAAATTTATAAATGTAAAACACAAAGAGAACTGGAAAACTATGTACTTGTCATTAGCGTGAATAAATAGTATCTGATATATATGCATGTATCTTTTTATTGTGCTTCGTAATAGCTCGGGCTATCTCTCACTTCAACCGGCTTTTCGAATATCACATCATTCTTACTATTTAAATCAAATAATGTGGACAATTGGCTTAACTTATTTATCATAATCTTATTATCGCATTGCATTTGCATATCTCTAATCAGCCGATCTAATAAAATACCATTCCAACCAGTTTTGATACACCCAAGGAAATCCTGACTGTATGAATCCCCAATATGCCAGGATCGTTTGAGATCAAAATGATCAAACCTTTGTTGTAAGTCCTCAATCACATATTGATAAAACATTTCATCTGGTTTCATATATCCTATATCATATGACAAGTAGATATTGTCGGGCTTAAAGAATCTCAGCAATCCCAAATTGTTAAGAACATCATATATCCTTACATCTGAATTACTCAATACTAAAAGCTCAACATTACTACGCTTTAGCAACTCTAGTGTTGGTATGACATCATCATAGATTGTGTATGCCTTTTCAGTTGTAAAATGTTTAATCAATTTTTCACATAGGTTCTTGGTTTTAATATCAGTATTATCCAATTTGTACAAACGAGCAATTAATTCACACCACCACTCATCGCATTCTGTTAACTTTCCTTTGCCCCAGTTTGGTAATTCTAATATCAACTGGTTATAAACTTGCGGGAACTCTTCTTTAATCGATTGCAAAGATTTCTTGATGTTAAATTCTGGTGACGATGAAATTTTATGATACTGATGAGCTACTGAATCCTTCGGAGTGTACAACGTTCCAAATAGATCAAATGACATGAACTGAGGTCTTGGAAATGGGAGACTTAATGATTTGATACATGTTGATATGGGAACAGTTGGAAGCTTTGATCTAAGTATTGTATGTGGACGAATCATCTCTGGTTACTGAGAAGATACGGGAGTCATTACCAAGTTCTCACCGAAACCTGACAAGAAAAATAATTTGGGGTCTTTAAATAATATGGAGATGGTTTAACCTTTCTTACTTGATTAATTGAACTCCGTTCCAGTATTCCGAGTTGTTTTCTGGAATTTTCTGTGGGGTTGATAAAGAGTCATGTACAGCAGACTGGATTATTAATCAGTATTCTGAAATTTTCGCATGACTGCGTAAATCTGGGAATGTAAGTTTTCCCTTTCCAAGCTTCTACCCTAACATCTGGTCCCTAGTAGAAAGAAAAGGGCCGTACTAGAACTAATACTAAATAATGAATATATTCTTCTGAAAATCAAGGTTAGTTTGCTCAACAAGGAGTTTATTTTTATGTAGATTTTTGTGCATAAATTACTGATTTTCTTGGCTGCAAATCACACACATATAATGAAATAAGGAGTCTCTTCACAAAGTTTTCAGAAGCTTCATGCGTTGGCGAGAATTTGTTCTTAGCCTTCCATTTAACAATCCTACTAGTCGTTCTTAACATTTGTTTTTTTTCATTTGAACAGGAGAAACTTTATTAACTTTATTTGCCAGCTATGGATTTTTATTAATTAACTTTATTTGCCAACTAAACCAATTACTCCATATCCAAATTATGATTATTCAGAATTGTTATTGATGCTTGGCGAATCTTTAAAAACAAACGGATTCGCCCCCTTTTTTAGATATTATTTTGTTTAGAAGATATACGCTTTTACTTTAATTATCTTACTGTAATCTATTAGATTTTAGTATTCTTACTTTAGTTTCTATAAGAGTTTCCTATACAGCTCATAACTGAAGATTTATCCTTAAACTAGCTGAGACTAGTAGGATTGTTAAAAGGAAGGCTAAGAACAAATTATCCTAAAACCTTCTAACTTTGTTCATTACTTTTAGGATATTAAGAACGTTTCAAATTTATAAGTGCAAATCTGTGAAAATGCAAGATTCTTATCTCCTCCTTGATATTGCGTCTTCTATTGTATTACATAAATGAGATATAATTCTTCTTCATGGGGTCCACGAACTTTTTAAAACCGCAGGGGAGATAGAATGATCGATAAGACACTTGGTATTTTTTATACCTATCCAGCAAAACCAATCACATTATATCCACTTATCATGAAGCAAAATTGCTGTTGATGTCTTGTAACAAATGCTAAAAAACAGAAGTCTGCTTTTTTTTTTCTGGCATATATAAATTAAATTGTTCAAGGAGAAATGGTGGGGAAAAGCTTGTGTATCGATTGATTTAATTTAAACGTAAACAATGAAAACGAAAATTCCAGGATTGCAAACTTAACTGTAGTTTTAGGGGAATGGACTCGTATTTATAATGTTCTTGAAAGAATTTGTCTGCAATACAACGAGATTTCTACAAAAGCGCTATGACACGTCCTGCCCAAATGTGAGAGTTGAAGGAAGGAATGACTGCCAGGCAGTCTAGCTACCAACCTAAATCTGAAGCTGGTTGATGTTGCTTAGCGATTTTATATAGAATCACATGTTCAACATTTAGGAAAGGAGAAGTTGTATATTTTCTAGCTTTCCTGGTAAATTCAAGAACTCTTCTTATATCTTTTTTCAGAACTAATTCTATATTAATTTATGAACCATATTGTTTTTGCAACATTTTTGTTCAAATCTTAATCACAAGAAAAACAAAGGCACTTAAGAGGTTAGATATATTCAGGTTAAGAAAACGCACTCCGAAAACCAACAAACAATAGAAGAAGATTAAACCAATGTTCATTATTTGAGAGACGGAATAATATACTTTATTCAAAAGAGCTAAGCCTCAATTACCTCGCCATAAGACGACCTAAAATATAAGTTTTATAGAACGAAACCATTACAAGAATACTTTTTGAATTGATTATAACTTCAAAGCGATACCAGATAACAATTGGTAGTCCTGATCTATCATGAGTTTAAATGTATTATCAAGATAAATGACTGTGTAAGTGCAGCGCTCTTACTGCGCAATAATTCTCGAACGAGAACTTATGTTCCAAAAAATAATTATAGGTTAACCGAATTAAGCGAAAAAATAAATGGTTCAATATGTATCAAAAAAAATATTGGGAAAAAGAGACTTTTGCTATCACCCAGTTATATTGTCTTTTACAAAGATTTGGAAAGTTAATATAAACATGAACTCTCTGAAAGCGGTAGCTATTTTGGTTTGCTTAGAAAAGCTTGACCACAGTAAAATAGATTCATCTTTAATTCAAAAGCTTGTTTGGCGACAAACTAAATATCTTTAAATAAAAAGCTTGTTTGGAGACAAACTATAAACACATAAAACAAAGGCAAAGGAAACCCATACAGCTTCGCATAGTACCTTCAAGTTTAAAGTTGTTAGATTGAATAGAGCAACTACCATGATTAAAAAGGGAGAAGGTGAACAGCACTATAAAAGTCAACAGCTAATTTCCTAACCTCTTGATTTTCTCTAATAATGGGTCAAATATTTTTCTCTCGCGATGATGTGAAATAGAAAACGCCAAGGAATATAACACAAAGCGAAGTCTCAATTCTCGAAACTTAAATGAAAAAAAATGTAACCGCTTCTCCCCTTTGGGAGCTTTCACAAGCTTCAAGGAGTATTGCTATAAAAATAATACAGACTCGTTAGCATCAAAGTTTTACTTCCCTAGTTAAGATCATCCTTCTTTTCCAAAGCAACTTCAGAAGCGCACAAGAATTATCAACCACAATACTTGTTTAAAACTACATATGGAAGTTTCTTTTGGTACCACTTTGTTAAAACGAATCTCAAGATATCGTCATGGTCGACTTATACTTGGCCTTATATTCATAATTATATTTGTTAATGTCACACATTTCTCATTTTACAGTTCCTACATAAGCGAACATGTACCCTGCGCAATTGCTGACTCCAGCAGAAATCAAGAGAGCCAACAGGTGATTTTATCTCTCGCATCCTTTGAAAAATCGATACAAAGAAAGCTCAATGAGATTCGACGTGATCCTGGAAGGTATCCTATGGCAGTCACAGACGAAATTGACGAGGAGATCCAAGTGGACTTAACACCTTTTATGAAAGAGTCCGAAGATGAGAACAGTTGGGCCAACCGGAATGACCTATTTTATGATCCCAGATTCACTTTGTCGATGTATTTGAATCAATTAAAATTAAAATATGAGGAGATGAATGAAAAACGGAAGAGAGAAGAAATTATTTTGCCTTTTCATTGGGCTGACTGGATAGATTTAACAACCTTAAATGGTGATTTGTCAAAACCGTTAGATTCAAGGATGAATTGTGCGGAAGTTCAAAAGGCAACGTACAGGAATCCAGATCCAAGTTATTTCTGTTTAGACAATTCAATGGTACTGTTGGAGGATGTAGAAAGATATGGTTTTAAATCCCGCTCTCAGTTGCCCGGTGTTATAATTTATGATCATTGTAGTCATAACCATCGCCCGTTTAATGATTTCCGAGTCTTGCAAGCAAAGTCATATGCCATGACTCATTTGAAAAAGCCCATTAGCATCATACTCTTAAACGGGGACAATGGAACTTATGAATTTCAAGTTGACCAAGGGGCGAATCAGCGATTAGCCAGCTCTACAATTGTGGATGACTTTGCCAAATCCAATAGACTCAAAAATTTGAAAACGGCAACATTAAATCATCTAAAAATATGGAAAGAATTAAAATCCATCATCGAACCGACCAATTTGGATCTTGATGATCCTGGTCGAGAAATATCTGCAAAGATTGAAGCCCATAAGAACGATCGAACCAAATTGATCGAGTTCCCATTAACCATGGATATGTTTAGTCATCCTATGCCCGTAGATGAACAAATAGTGCAACTTGAGCTTAAGCGAGACTCGCAAGGATTGTCGCCACGTGAAGCGGTGTACTACGATGGTTTGAAAGATTGCGCAAATTATCCGGATCTGGAAGAAAAGCAAGAATATAGATACTTCCGACTGCCTGTTATTCGTGTAGGAGATAAACGTAATCATGCAAAAGATATGGGATGGCATTACGACTGGAGATTCTTCAATGGCGCATTACAATATAATAGAGAAGGCTGGACGCAAGATCAATTAACCCATCGTGCAAATATTATCCTAGATCGATTATTGAGAACGTGGTACAGGTTTGCGACGCAGAAGGGTTTCATAAGTTGGATTCAACACGGCCCTGTTTTGAGTTGGTATTGGAATGGAATGATGTTTCCTTACGATATTGATGTAGACATTCAGATGCCGATGTCGGAAATGTTACGTCTTGGTAAGGACTACAATTACACACTTGTAGTTGAAGACCCAAGTGAAGGATATGGAAAGTACTTGATTGATGTGAGTCCTTATATATATCATCGACAGCTTAGCAGGACAGCAAATCACATTGATGCGAGGTTTATCGATGTAGATTCGGGCATTTATATAGACATCACTGCACTAAGCAGACTGAAGTCAGAATTGCCCCGTGGATTATGGGAAACTGGGATGGGTCAATTGAGGAAGAACAAGAAGGAGAATAATGGTGAGGTTGAAATATATAATGACCGAAGAAAGCATTTTTATTCATTTGACCAGTTGAGTCCATTGAAATTTTCTATGCTTCAGGGTGTTCCAGTTTTCGTGCCACCCAAGATTATATTTAAATTGGTATCCGAATACGGCGAGGGGTTACACAAGTACGAGTTCCATGGATGGTATTTCATATCCCAACTAAATCTTTGGATCCATAAACGTTATTTGATTCCTCTTTTCAAAGATGAAGAAATTACACAAGATGGTAAATTGCAAGCGGAAAAATTATTAGACAAAGTCATTACAATGACATATGACCAAGTTTTGAGATTATTGGATAATGAAGATATTTTGGTTGAATATTATTTGACTAAGCATCTCACCGATTTACATTCTCAAGAAATGAAATATTTATTTACTCGCCACGGGGGAGATAATTTGTGGTTAAGCAAGGACGAGGCAAACACGAAGGAGTACAATGAATTAACTAAAGAATTCAAGATAAGGAAACCTTTGAGAAAATCATTATACTACTACGAAAATATCGAAAGATCGAGGCTTGCCGAACAGGTGAACAGGTTGTAGATTTATATCGAAATCATCACTTGTTAGAGCCTTGTCGAATATAATGATTCTCCCCTTTAACATAATCAAGGGCATTAGGGCTCTATCAAACTAGGGCAACTGAAGAATTTAGATCAAACAGTCACTGTTGCTGAAACCAAAACAGCGAAAGAGGACAACAATAAAAAAACGATACATATCTCGAGACCATGCAATTGACTTCAGTCCCTTTAATTCTTACCTAGAAACTGAAATAAAAATATTTGCTCCATTAGCCATATTAGCGTCTTTTAGAAGCAACGAAAAATTATTGGCTGCAAATCAAGAAATCAATAGAATTTTTAGCAGCAATTTCATATTACCCTTCTTCTTATTGAAAGAAGTGTTTTAAATCAATTAAATATAAAAAAAAGATTAATGAAAGAGAAGGGTGCAAGTTGAGACTAACTTCAACTTCAGGTCTACAATATCAAAAATCTATCTTCCCACCCAAGTGACATCTTACTGTGTGGGGATAGTAATTAAGTAACCATACATAAAAGTATTAGTAGCTAGAAAAATTACACAAAATAAAATAACCTTTTATTGAACATTATGATTCTTGCATTTGTTAGACATTACGATTTGTTTTATTAAGGATTGGATTCCATATAGTTATTACAAAATCATGCCGTTTGATTTTCCAAATGCAAGTTGTTCCACGAGACGCGTAAGTAATACTATTTTTCTTATTTCTATTAGGAAAACTATTGGAGACAACTATACAGAAAAACGTACTCTAATTAAATTACCCCAAAGGAGATGGTTTGAGTTTTTCTGGTACAAGGAGAGTAACTTGAATCTTCTTTAATATTGAGATAACTCTTGAATTTTAACTTTTAAAGAATTTTTCAAAAACTGCTGGAGCTAATTTAACCGGGAGACATGAATAGATTTGATCTAAAATTAGATTTGATGCTATTAATAGACAAAAAGAACCAAATAATCCAGCTCTACACTCGAGATCACATATAACCAAAACAGCCAAATATGGATTCGTCCATCAAATAGATTCTCTATTTAAAAGATAGGTAATGTGTCAAGAACTATTGGCTGCGACCATTTCTTGCAATTATGACTTATAAGAAACGCGTAACTAATATCTTGCCCTCTGACACAATCTGTTTTAATTTCTCATCCTTTAAGATTAATGCTTCGAGTTTAATTGGATTAAAGATGACGCGATTGGATGTAACAATATAGTTTAAGTTCATTTCCACAACAGAAAATAAATTTAGCAAATCTAACATTTAAATATCACACGATTTTAAGGAAATTCTTGAAAAGAGAAGAATTTTTATTTTTATAAGAAAGCCATGTTTGTAAATGTTAATATCTACGAGTCGATGATAGGATAAAAACGACGGTTTCTAATCCTCTCACAATCGATAAATAAGAAATTTGTCCACGGCATTGTATTGTATTCGAAGTCATCACTAAGTCATTTTACAAGCAAATACATGCACAATTCATTAAACAGTTAGCGATCTTCGCATATTCCAACAATGTATAAATACCAACAGCCTTGCTCCAAGTGACTCTTGAGAGCCTCCCGACGTAGTATAGTCAAGAGAGATACTTGTATCAATAATAATTAAGGACTCGCTGCTTACGTTAGTTTCATCCACAAAGTATAACATAGAAAGACATTATACCTTGAATATGAGTGGCACGCCTCCGCCTCATGGTCAATTTTTACATTCCCTCCCCAAACGTCGAGGTTATAGATTGTTGTTCCTAGCATTTACGTTTATTAGTGTTTTGTATTTTTCACTCTACATATCCCATCTAGATCTGCCCAAGTCTGTTTATCACCGACCAAAGAAGACGAATTCACAAGATATAGAGAACACAAATCCACGCAAGGTATCATTTGAAGAATCAGTCAAAAGAAAATTTAACCAGATTGCATTTAATCCCGAAAGGTTTTATGTGGCATTTACCGAGGATATAGAAGCGCAGATTCAATTTGACTTTACTCATTTCAGTAAACAAACAGAAGATAAGCATAGTTGGATAAATCGTGATACGTTGTTTTACGACCCGAGATTCACTTTATCCATGTACTTGAACGCATTGAAGTTAGAATACCAGAGGTTGAATAACCAAGATGAGACAAATGAGATAATTTTACCTTTCCATTGGGCCGACTGGATTGACTTAACACTATTGAATGATGAATTGTCAAAACCTTTACACTTAAGAAAGACTTGTAGTTACATTCAAAGTGTCACATTTCATAATCCCGATCCAAAGCACTTCTGTTTCAGCAATTCGGAGTTACTGAAAGATGAAGTTACACGTTTGGGATATAAATCACTGACTCAGCTACCGGGTTTTATAATTCATGATCATTGTATGCATCGTGACAAAGCCTTCAACGATGATCGAGTCTTGCAAGCAAAGTCACATGCTATGACCTATTTGAAGAAGCCAATAAGCGTCATTATATTAAATGGCACTGAAGGTACATATGAATTCACAGTTGATCAAGAAAGCAATCAGCGCTTGGTGAGCTCAAACTTAATTGAACGCTATATTACATCAAATAAACTCAAGAATTTGAAGCAAGTTACACTAAATCATTTAGAGCTCTGGGAAAACATCCAATCAATTGCTAAACCTACCTATTTGGACCCAGATGATCCAGGATATGAATTATATACTAGCATGAAGTCCATAAAAGAAGATCAGACCAACTTGATACAATTTCCATTAAACAAGGACATGTTTACACATCCAGAGCCAATCAAGCAACAAATAGAAGCGTTAGATCGAAAACGACTAGAAAATGGGTTGTCTTTACGTGAACAAGTATATTATCAAAGCATGGTTGATTGCGATAATTATCCTGATCGGTACAACAACCGCGAATTCAGGTACTTCCGAATGCCTACCATTCGAGTTGAAGATAAAAGAAACCATGGAAAAGACAAAGGTTGGCACTATGATTGGAGGTTCTTTAATGGGGCTTTAAATTATGAAACACCGGGCTGGACCCAACAGGAACAAGAACATCGAGCAAACATAATTTTGGATAGATTGTTGAGGTCATGGTACAGGTTTGCGACACAGAAAGGGTTTGTGAGTTGGATTTACCATGGGCCCATTTTGAGTTGGTACTGGAATGGGATGATGTTTCCTTTTGATAACGATATAGATATTCAGATGCCTATATCGGAGGTCATTCGTCTCGCTAAGTATTACAACAATACACTTGTGGTTGAAGATCCAACTGAAGGATATGGAAAATATTTGATTGATGTGATACCCTATGTACACCATCGACAACTAAGTAAATCTGAAAATTATATTGATGCAAGATTTATTGATGTGGATTCTGGTTTGTATATCGATATAACTGCTTTGAGCAAGCTGAAAGCCGAATTACCGGCGGGGCTTTGGGAAACTGGGATGGGTAAGCTTAAAAAGGACAAAAAGGATAAAAATGATAAGGTTGAGATATACAATGAGAGAAGAAAACATTTTTATGAACTTGACGAATTGAGTCCTTTACGGTATACCATGTTGCTGGGAATTCCTGTTTTCATTCCACCGAAAATTATTTTCAGGATGCTGTTTGCATATAGGGACGGGTTACTGCTGTATGAATTCGGTGGGTGGTATTTCGTAGATAGATTAAATTTATGGATTAAAGAACAATATTTCATACCTCTTTTTAAGTTTGAAGAAATTACAATGAACGGCATGGTGGAACTGCAAAAATTATTGGACAAGGTTATGCTGATGACAGACGATCAAGTTTTGAGATTACTAGAGAATGATGAGATCTTGACAGAATATTACTTGACTAAGAATTTGACAGAGTTGCATTCTCAAGAAATAAAGTACTTGTTTGATGATCGGGGTCGCGACAATATATGGTTAAGCAAAAACCAGGATTCTGTAAAGAAGTATAATGAATTGACTAAAGAGTTTAAGTTGGGGAAACCTTTGAGAAAGTCATTATATTATTATGAAAATATCGAAAGATTAAAACATAAGGAGAAGTAAGATATTGTCCGTCGGAGAATAAACGAATCCCTGCTCATTGTTTGAAGCTTAAACTTGGTTTCAAGATTGTCCAATCAAAAGTATTTGTTATGGGATCAAGTACAATGGCGCTGTTGTTCCAGTGTTTGATGTCATAACGAATTCTATGTCGGTTTGTTTAGAATCCTTCATTTGTACCCGTTCTGCGAAATGCTAGACAGGGATCTGTTAAAGGATTTTCAAATTTTACAGATTTAGATGGGTGTGCAGTCTAGGTTAGTGTTTAGAAAAGTTTCAGTAGATTAGAATTAGACTGTTTGTGTTTAGCTTATGCGGTACTTCTAAATTGAATGAGTACTGGTTAATCAAATACTCTGACATCCTGTAGATTTCCATTCATTTGATCAACGGAATGCTTGTAGCTTCCCCTCTGCTCCGAGGATAATGAATTCTCTTATTCAAAGCTTCGTTGTCATCAGTAGAATCATGAATAGAACGCACTATCTACACGGCATAATCCTATTTATACTTAATAAAATTATAGCACGATTTGTATTGGCTTCTACACAACTATGAAACAATCGATGCCTAATTTAAATCGATAATTGCAATGCTTCCCATTAAATCTTTTATCTTGGGTTCCAAGACTAACATCATTAGGATCATTTGATTTTGTTAAATATCTAACCCACGGGAAACACGAATATTTCAACTGCTCCTCTTCCACACTTAAATAACTCAATTTTAATCCCGAATATGTCATCATTGGAATTTTAAAAGTGACATGAATATTATCATCAATATGGTTGTTTTTGTAAATAGCTTGGAATTTTTGGCGAGATGCTGACTTGGGCGATATCTTGGATCTACGATTAACTCCATAAAATTCATCTAATTCTCTCGCTCCATTTTCAGTTTCATGGTTCTCATCCTCGTCCATTGATAATGATTGGATTCTCTTTACGAGATAATTTTCTATTGCTTCAAGAGATACAGTTTCGAGTAACGATACTTCAGCCATCATACGATGCGTTTGCTTCCCATGAGTACTATCAATTCTCCAAACAATTTGGCAAGAATCAATTTTAAATGAAACTTCTCCGATTTCTGCTTTATACTTCAAGTTATTCATATCATATTCGAGATGGAAATAGTTGGGATTGATAGGAATCTTAATAATTAAGTCTCTACAATGTCGCCTCTTGCTGAAATTTGTGTCGATTGTACACATAATCTGTAATCGATTGCCAACGATTCGAAAGACTGGCTTTACCATAATCAAAGGCAACTTCTTTTTCTGTTTCTGCTGTTCGACATGATAAGTCATTAAGATAAACTTGTCGTCTGGTGGGATAAATGTTACAATATTCTCCTTGTATATTTTAGAAAGTTCTATGCATTGATGAAACTGTATATTCCTGATTGGGATTCTATGTCGTTTCTTTTGCTTGGAGCTTATACCATTAATAGGCTGTACTTCTTCGTCCTCGACTTGACCTTGCACGTTATCATCCTCATCGTCCTCGTCATCTTCATCCTCACCTTGGTCCTTTTGAAGTTGATTAATAGGTATTTCTTCTTCTTCTTCCTTTTCTATTTGCAGTTGCTTTGGCTCCAAAGATACCTCCTCTATGTTACCGTGCTCAATACTCGTCATATACTTCTCATTGAATCCAACTCGACATACTGGCATTCCTGACAAATAAGATGTGACAACGCACGTTCCGTATATTTCATTGTGTTTGATTGTTCCAGTAGATAAATCATACATAAACTCACAGTCTTCTAGTATATCAATATATATTTCATTTTTTGCATAAAATATTCCCTTCGGTCTCCAATTGATTGCCAGTGAGTATGTTCTTAGGATGGCAGTGTTTACATAGCTACTTTCTTCGCCAACATCAATTTTGATGGATTGATTATGAGACGACTTAATCTCTTTATTTAACAGGCGGTTCGTCTTTTGTGATCGCTTACGTTTTTCATCAGAATACTCGGCATCTGATGAAGATCCTGAAGGAAATTCGTTATCATCATCCATTCCATTTTCGTCATTGGCAATACTAGGTAAATTTGGTTCCACCTTTATATACTCTTGTAATAATTTATAATCTGTCATTTGTAGTAATCCAAAGTCTAAACATTCATCAAGTAACTCGAATATCAATGTAAGATTGTCGATAATTATATCTTTATCTAATTTATGGTTTTCACAAAGATAATGAATTAGAATATTATAAAAGTCTCGTAAGAATACAATAACCAGCATCACATTCAAATTCTTAGGTGTGACTGCTAATAATACAATATCATTATCACATCGTATATATACATATGATATACCTCTGATATTCAAAATTGGTACTTTCTCTTCCTTTTGTAATTGATTAAATAATTTATCTAAATTTCCCAATATGGTTGAATCTCGGGGGATGTTTTCATGATATCTTCTATGTAAAAGTAATTGATGTACACCATTTCCAGATTGATTCTGCGGTATATGCAATATATAAAGAGCAGATATCATTCTTGGAAGTAATATTGCTATGATTATCTCTACCTCTTTCCTTATTGAATAATCTACTTCTTTGGTTTTTGTAGGTTCTCGAGGAAGAACAAATACAACAATGGAGTTCAAAGGATTTCGCACGCGTTTAATAAAAAAACATAAATTCAAGAGCAGCTCTTGGCAAATTAGATACACTGTTCCTTTCATTGACAATGTCCAACAGTTCCAAAACACTAGTAAAGTTATCAGCGCAAGGTATTCGACAAGGGTTAGATAGAATCAACCTCAAAGGGGTACCCCATTGGCAATTGATTACCAAGAAAAACTCTGAACAACAAGCATTGCAGGTTCATTATCAATTAAAAACATTCAAAACTACATGGAAGTTTCTAAATTTGGTAGCAGACCATGCCAATAGACTTAGACATCATCCTACTATAACTACTACCTATAATAAAGTTGATATCGAGATTACAACTCATGATATTGGAAATTATATATCGGACAAGGATTTATTGCTTGCTGAAGCAATTCATACAGAATATCTACAATTAACACATAATCAATAAAATACACTTAATGTACATCATTTCAATCTAAAGACAACAATAGTTCAAATGACTATAGTTTTATTCTAAATAATCAACTTTTTTGATTGCACGACAATATTTATCTTCAATTTCAATTGCCTCATAGGTTCCTTCAAGACTTGCGGGCACTATAACCTCATAATCCCAAATATCTTGCAAAGTATGCTTTTCTACCAACTTCCTCGAAGTCTTCTTCCCCTGTTTAATATCAATGGTTCTGATATATGTAAGCGTAAACGGTGGCTCTCCGATAAACGTAAATATTATTTCTGTTTGATCACCTTCTTGAAGATCTTCAACTATATAATCACCCTTATTAATTTCAACAGTAGGTAACTCATGAACTTGCAATCTCAAGCTTGTCATCTTTTTTTCATCGGATGTAAAATTAACCATACATTCACTTGCACCAGAATCTTTAAGAGATTGAATCTCAAGAATTCCTGGTTTTGAAGACAATCTTTCAAAACGGTAAAACAGTTCAGTTTGTCTTACTCTATTATTAAACAGGTAGAATATCGTGAAGGGGGCAAACCCAGTCAAATTATAGGCAACATGTTCTCCGACACAGTAATGATATTTCTTTGGCTCAGCTTTGAAAATATCAGGGGTTTCAGTAATGGAAATAACATATTTGTCATTCAATTTAAATTCCTTTCTGGTACATCCATTACCATCTGATATCTTTGTGAAACTAATGGAATAATCACCAAGTCCAAATAATTTAGAATTAGAGAACTCTAAATTGGGACGGTTAACGTTCTTGAATTGAATATTCTTTACTTCTCCGGTCTTTTCATTCTTCAACAGGGCATCAATATCAAATGGGTATTGTCCATCCAAGTGAACAGGAATGCTTATAACTTTATCACTTTTGCCTAACGCGTTCTCACATATTTGGGAAAATCTTTGCTCGTTTATAAATTTGGCATTTGGTAATCCATTGACATTATAAAGCACCCGAGGAGCAACCACGTTAACTGCACGTCCACGAGATTTTGTATACAACCCATCATAAATCCTTTTGAATTTATGTTCATACCTACCATTTTCTCTAGAAGGAAGACTTATTATAATTTCATGACCTTCAACATTCATAGAGTGAGTTTCAATCTTCCCGCTTGGTAGTCTTATTTCATAATCAAGTATAAATGGAGCTTTACCAGTTAATTGTAATTTAACCTTATTAGAACAACCATTACAAACTGGCTTCAAGTGAATGGTGTTTTCCTCTTTATGTTGCTTGAATTCATTTTCTGCAACGATTTGCAATGATGGCTTGTCAAAGTAACTAATTCGAACAGCTCTTTCATTATGTGTGATCCGACCAGGACATCCCTTATTTTCAAACGAAACCAAAGAATAAGTACCTGTTTCTGATACACGAATTGATCCTCCTTTGACATTCATCTTCATTATTCGAGAATCACCAGAGCCAGGCTTTGTAAATTTAACTTCAATTTTATCATTGTTGGACAACCCAACCGAGGATTTATATACTATTGGAAGTTCTACTGAATCACCTTCAACAACATGAATGTGGTCCTTGATATCAGCGCTTAACTCTAAAGTAGGAATATCTGGTCTACTTGCGATCCTAATCAGAGGATGGGTAATCTTTGCATCACATCCAAATCTATCCTTCGCATTAGTCAATCTCAATTCATAAGTTTTTCCAATCAAACCCTTTGGAGTATCAATACTAAAAGAATCAACGTTTTCGGCATGAGAAGTATCAATTAGCTTCTTCTGACTGTCAGGATCAATGAAATCATAATCAAACTTAAATGGTCCTCCACTTCCTTTGAAAAACAATGGAATATTTGAAGTCTGCCCATAACAAGTATAGATGGTTTTCTGCGTAGACTTTAAACCAATCTCAGATGCTTGCTTGAAATAAGTCAGATAAGTGTGCTTCTTTTCATCCAAACGAATTGGTTCTTGATTATAGTTTAGATCCTTCAAATTATTGAAAACAATCGTATAGCTTCCTTCGGTATGAGGTTTAAATTTAAATAAATGTGAATTTTCAAATGATGTCAACTCTCTCAATACTCTTCCTTGCTCCGAGTGTACTGGTCTAAGAACCCCAGATTGATTCACGTAAACTCGGTATTGGACTTTAAATGGCGGTTTCCCAGTGAAATTAAAATTGAAATTATACCCTATGGTACCCAAACATCTATCAGACACTGCTTCATCTATGATATGAACTTGGGGAGGTGTAGCAAGTTTCACTTGAATGGTACCAGGTCGAGTTTCACACGGACAAAACTTGGTCTGGGCAGATATTAATGAATACTCACCTGGTTGATCAACACTTAACCCCTTTTGGAAGTCATGCTTAGTTTTAAAAGTATTGGAAATATTTAAGCTCGCTTGATGTTGATTTTTAAATCCAATAACGACAGATAGCGGGAAATCCTCAACTTTAAGACTATCTATATTTGTAAACAACAAACGCTTGTGACCACCAACTAATAACTCAGCGCCCTTCTCTGCATCAACTAGACCGACAGATGGCGATTTCTTCAAGTTAAGGCTGTACCAAACATCTTGGTCTTTGGAGAGTGGATTGTATCTTTGAATGTTTCCCAAAGAATCTTGAATTTGCAATAATTGTAATTCAACGGAGGTTGTACCTTCGTATTTCAATGACGATAAAGACAGTAATATTTCCTGCTCTAATGTATTCCTTACAAGCTTCGTTGCTTTCAACCAGCTATAATCGAATTTTTGGTGTTTTCTGGTGGAATCTGTTTCGTCAGAGACAGTAATGTTCATGGTTCTAAAATCTCTCCCATTGACCTTTACATTGACTTGTACATAGGACGGTGTGGTACTGGATGTTTCAATCTTCGGAACCGGGAGGGTATCATCTATAAGTGATGAAATGCATTTGAAGTTTTGCGACATATCAAACAGCAGGCCATACAAATACTTTGCCTGTGGACAATACGACACTGAGAATTCTGATTTGTAGGTTCTGATATTATTACCCTTATTATCCAAGACATGTTTAATTCTGTACATTCCTGGTTCTATTATTGGATACTCCAAATAAAAGACCCTAGAGTCTCCTGATTTGAATTCAGGAAATTGAGATAAATGCGAATAATCTCGATTCATAAGTTTATTGAGTGAATGCCCAGTATAATTGAGCAATTTGATTTCATTATCGGGGGTGATTTGTTGTATTTGCAAAAATCCAATTCCTGTAGTGGTGTTAAACTCTACTGGCATGCTTAAACCCTCCGGTTCTTCCTTATTAATACAGGTTTGATCAAGGTGGAAAGGGTTCATCTTTGCTGAAGAATGGGGTAAATAATGGATCGTCAATTGACCTTTGAAATGGGCATTCATATCTATAACAGAATTTCGATCAACGGCTTCACCAATGATATTCAATTCCTTCTTTTGCAATACTATCTTCCATATTGGTACAAATATATTTGATAATAAGGGGAGCGCAAAAGAGCTTATTAGCAACAATGAAATAACATTCAATATAATTGTATATAACAAGGTTTTAAATGCTGAAAATGTCAAATATTGAATGTTTAGTACAGGCAATAACCATAAAAACAAACCATCGATAATTGCATACTTCAACATATAACTGAAGTTATTCAATTGTGTTAATTGTTCATCTGAACCTGGTATTTCTGTCTTAAGCAATACAAGATCATATATCTTCCAACTTTGAATCAATATAAACAAAGATGTTATGAACAATCTTTGAGATGCTTGATCTAAGATCGTTGTCGGTATTAGAGGACCATCTTCCTTTTCTCGTATATAAATATCTCTACCATTGGGACGTGACATTGTGTTTTATTTATCGATTCTATATTTACTTCCTAATAGGAAGTTTCTAGTATTTATAGCTTTTAGTGTTAAATTGATCGAGAAGATGAAGTTGTGTATTTTTTTTTACAACCAAGATTCATTTCTATATAAATCATCTGAAAAACAAAAACAAATGAAAATTTTACGGGACTGCATATAGCAGTCTTAGCAACTCGTAGAGTGAGAGTTATAAAGAACATCATACAGCCGGTAGATTGTCATAAAAGGGTGTCCGGAGAGAATGAGGAAATAGAGGTTGTATCAAACCGACATTAAGGAATTGAAAAGAGGATTTGTAGACGGGGTTCATTCTATAAAGCCTTTTGTGGTGTTCTTGGCTGCAAAAACACACTAACAATCGAAGTTCCCTAATAAGGTTCCACAGATATCTAAGATACAGTCATATATAATAATATAAACTTCTATAAAGTCTTTTAAACATTCACCCAATTCCCATTTCTCTTTTCTTGTGTAACTTTAATAGCAGGCAAATCCCATCCAACACCACCACTTCCAATAGCAGCCCCAAATCTTGGAACAACATAACATTCCCTCTTATTCGGTGACAAATTCTTAGGAGCATAAGGATGACCCAATGGCTTGGAATATGTCAATAACAAGGAATTCTTGGCTATATTTGCCAACTGTTTAGCACCTATATCTACCAATGGCTTCATTCTTACTTTGGCGACTTCGTCGTCTGGTACTGATCCCTTTGTGCTTAATGCCTGGTATACAATATATTGGGGTGGTAGGTCTCCTCGTTTGTTTATAACTGAATTCGGATGGATGTAAATGAATGGAGTTTCGGCAATTGGCATAACTGGACAATATGGAATATTGATAATACTTGTCTTATTAACAATCTTAACATCGGAGGATACCAAATCGCCTCTGATTGCTACTTGGTCAATAAACCCAGATGCAATCATTTGCTTCATAGCAGCGATTTGTTTCTTAGAAGGGACGGATAATTTAGAAACCATCAGTTGGAAATGAGAACCATTCGAAACAATGCTGCTTTTTGAAACAATCAGATGGATTTGTTTTCTTAATTTTTGAATTTCATCCATCATTTTATATCTCAAGAAATGGCTCTTGATAAAATCATCAATTTTATCTTTGGAAACATGATCAAATGCACACACAACTGAAAGTTGCATCATACAATCACTGGAAGGATCTAATCTTGAAAATAATGCACGAGATTGAAAGAATCTCGATCTAATTTCCCTACTTTCATCTTCAGTCATATTTGAAGATCCATTCAATTCATTCTCAGTGATAAAGGGATCACCTACAGACAAAGCCGACACAATCGCGATGATATATCCAAGACAATCCAATTGATTCCCTACAATCAAGATCTTTGAGAATCTAGGACTTAACGGGAATAACGACATCTGTCTACCAAGATCAGTTATCTTCTTTTCTTCTTTATCCAACGAACCCAAAAGTATCAATAATTGCTCAGCATTCTTCAACGATGATCTATCTGGAGGAGTGGGGAATGGGAAATTAGCAATCTGTTCAATTCCCATGCTCTTCATGGTTAACACAATAGATTCAAATGGCATTCTTAATATTTCAGGTACACTAAATTGGGGGAAGAATTCTTCAAATACAGCAGAAGAATATAACCTGTAACAATGACCAGGGCCAGTTCTACCTGCTCTACCTGAACGTTGATCAGCTGATGCTTTAGAAACCCAATCGACTTCGAAGGATTGGACACCGGTTTCTTTATTGTATTTTCTTTCTTTAGAACGACCACAATCCACAACATATCTGATCCCTGGGATGGTTAAGGAAGTTTCAGCAACATTGGTGGCAACAATACATATTCTACTTCCCTTTGGAGGTTCTTCAAATACTTTCATTTGTTGTTTGGTAGGCAATAAGGAATATAACGGTAATACATATAATGGTCCAATCTCATCTTCTTTGATGTCAACTGCTTCTTCGAAACCTTCTTCAGTTTCAGAGTCACTATCATAGTCGTCATATATGTCGTTGTCTTTAGTTACTTCAACACTGAAATCCATGTCTTCAACTTCGCGACCGACATTTTCAGATAATTTAATTTCGAGATCTTCGTCAGCATCATAGACGATTTCCTGTTGTTTCTTCTTCTTTGATTTCTTAAATGAAAACTCTTCTCTTAATCTTTTAACTAGTGTTGTGATCTCTGCTTGTCCAGTAAGAAAGATCAATATCCCTCCAGGCGGAAGTTTTTTGTGAATCTTGCATGTTTTATTGAATGCCTCCTCCAAGTAATCAAAATTAGTTTTCTTATTAAAGTGAACAGATACTGGATATTGTCTAGCTTGAACGTTAATAATTGGAGGTGGAGTCTTGAATAGAATTGGATTTTCCGAGAAATCAGAGACTCTCAAAGTTGCAGACATTATTATTAACTTCAAAGGCTTATGTTTCTTGGAATCCTCAGTATGTAATTTTCGTCTTAATTTCATTACTCTGGTTAACATTCCAATCAAAATATCGGTATTTATATTTCTTTCATGAGCTTCATCAATAATAATTGAAGAATATTTCGTAAGCAAGAAATCCGCCATCATTTCTCTTAATAATACCCCATCAGTCATGAATTTCATAGCAGTCCCATCTTCTTTTCCTTCATTCTTAATAGTAGTATCGAATCGAATTTGATACCCGACTCTGTGCTTATGGTTACCTAACTCGTTGGACACTCTTTCAGACATAGAAACAGCAGCAACTCTTCTAGGTTGTGTAATACCAATCATACCGGGATATAATTCATTTTTCAAATTACCAAATCCTGCTTCATAAAGAAATTGAGGAACTTGAGTAGTTTTCCCGGACCCAGTTTCACCACAAAGGATAATGCAATCATGATGATAAACTGCTTCCATAATTCTATGTTCTTCTGCGAATACAGGCAAGTGAATTCTTTGTTGTTGAATCTCGTCACTTCTATGAACATCAACTACGAATGATTCTCTTTGAAGGTTTTTATTTATCGGTATATATCCTTCTTCGTCTGATGAATGTTCGATATCTTCTTCTCTGATGGTAGGCTGGGAGTATTGAGCCTTGATAGCGGCTGAGAGTTCGGGATTCTTCATTGATTTATCACGACCTTCGAGCTTACGGACTTGTTCTTCGGCCCATTCTTTGAAACCTTTGGCGACTTTGGAATGTTTAGGTTTACTTTGCATGAGTTTAGATTGTTCTTCTTCCTCTTCTTCTTCGCTACTTTCTTCCTCGCTAACTTCATCCTCATCGGAATCTTCTTCCGATTCGTTGTCTTCTTGGTCAGATTCAAGATCTTCGTCGTTTTCATTTCGATTTTCCTGGTCGGCATCTACGTAAGCATCTTCACTGTCAGATTCATCTTCCGATCCGCTTTCCCTACCTGAGTTGTCTTCTTCGTCGTCTTCTTCACTAGATTCGAAATCATTCTCATCCTCTAATTTCAATTTCTTTTTCTCTTCTTGCTCAACCTTCTTTCTCCAGGTGTACTTCTTCTTTGGAGCACTGGCATCTTTCGGAATCACTGGTATATTTTTAAATCCAAATCCAGTTCCAACTCCTCCAAACTTGGAAGGTCTATTATCGATAAACGTAGACTTTGTAGCGTTTGACTCTTCCTCTTCTTCTTCTTCTGACTCGTATCCCTTGTTGATTGGTTCTTCCTGATCACTGAATTCTTTAACTATTCTTTCTTCATATAAGACTTCTCTTGTATGTTCATCACCTCTCCCTTGACTTTCTAAATCTAAAGCTTCAATCATTTCTTCTCTTCTAGTTAATTTACCTTTTCCTAATTCTTTCAACGCACTTAAATGAGTAGTATCCATCTTTGTTTGAGAAAGTTTCTCAAATAATATCTTCTTTTCTTCTCGTTTTAATTGATGTTCGATATATTTATCTAATCTCTTCTTTTTAGCTTTGGAAAGTTTTTCAGATTTTTCATTTTGGGAATACAAAGTTTCTTCAAGAATTCTTTTTCTAGATTGTTTTTCTTCTTCTGTCATTGGTTTTAATATTTCAGAATTGGTATCTTCTTGATTAAAAACTTTGGTTATATCTTGGATTTGATCAATTTGAGTAGTATCTTCAGTTTCTTGATCTTCTGCTTGTTGTCTATAATACAGCTTATTTCTTGCTTTTTTCAAGGCTGCTTGTTTGGCAAGCATACCTGTTCTAGCCTTCTCATTGAATCTCTTTCTGTATTTCCCCATGATTAAATAACTAACTATGTATTAGTGTTGGCTGTGGGTAGATATGGTTTGTAAAAAAGTTAAATGAATAATTCTTACAATAATTTTTTAGGTGATGATGGATCAAAAGAGAGATGAGACAAAAAAATAATTTTTATTCATTCAACGTTCATCTCATCTCATCGTTATCTTCAACCCCAGCTGAGATATGAGAAGAAGTGTAATTCACTTGTAAATAGATGATTCTCTCTTGCAATAGCCAAGATATCATTTCATAAAAGGAGAAGCTTTTAATGAGCTTCTAATATGCCCCAAGCCCTATTTCCTGGTATCTTAGCAGATGCAAAACAAGGCGAACTCATAAATACTCTCAATATGGATAATTCTTACCTTGTTGAACTCTTCTAGCTTAACTTACGAGTTATTGTTATTTTATATGGCTTCCCCGTTGTTGGCAGGTATCAAAATTCAGAGTTTGCTAGCATCATTCATTATCCATGTATACTGGTAGCGCATACAATTACTATACTAAATAATCTTAGCTAATAAATTAAATTGGTGGGGGAAAAGAGAAAGACTCTAAAATAAACTTCTCATTAGCCGATCAATAAAATAGATTGATAAAGGTATAGACTTCTAAATATATTCTGATCATCATATTTAATTAAATTACTTCCGGTTGATTCCTGGCAATATCTTAAGATTACCACAACAAGATGAACCAATCAGATTTATATAAACATTGTATGTAATGAGCTTTACCTAAAATAGTCAAGTGTTCGATGATATACTAACATTACTCCAAGTAATCCATACAACATTGACATTAAATTCAACAACATTATATACTTATGAGAATCATCNCAAGATGAACCAATCAGATTTATATAAACATTGTATGTAATGAGCTTTACCTAAAATAGTCAAGTGTTCGATGATATACTAACATTACTCCAAGTAATCCATACAACATTGACATTAAATTCAACAACATTATATACTTATGAGAATCATCAGTTAATTCCATTAATCAACAATTTAAACTGTTCAGAAATAATTTCACAAGAATTAGGACTTATAAATGCATCTAAAACATTAGTTGGATCAATCCCAGTATCTACCAATACCACTTTAAAACTTGCATTATATTTCATGAAGAAGTTATTTTCAAATTCAGATGGAAGTAGAGATTTAATTACCGTAGTTGCTATTGCTCATAATAATGTAAATAAACCTTTGGTCTTGAATATCTTGAAGAATATTATGGATAAATATATTGAATTTAGAAAAAGTATTGATTCATCTAAACCGGCTGGGAATGTTGATCAACCAAAGACTAAGCTTGGTGAGTTTAAACTATATATGAATCAAATCATTAAATTTGAAGAAATGACTTATGATTCCAATCAAAATATATACAATTATGGAGCTGTCAATAATGGTGATGAAGGAATAAGTGGTAATGGTTCTTCTTCGGGTCAAATCAATCCAAATCAATTATTATTAGCAAATGAAGAAGTAGACGAAGTGAGACAATTAATGCTTGATAATATTAATAAATTGCTTAGTCGAGGAGATAAAATAAATCTATTAGTAGATCAAACTGATAGACTAAATACAAGTTCCCTGGTATTCCAAAGAAAAGCTCAACAAATAAAGAGAAAGATGTGGATAAATAAAGCAAAATTCATATTAATGGTTGCAGGTGGAGCAATTATGTTATTGTATCTATTTATTGGAAGTCAATGTGGATTCCCTATATTTGATCATTGCATAAATCCATAAAGGCGTAACTCTTTGTTAGAATAGTTATTTAAGTAGTGAGTATATGTATAAATACACTAGTCATCTTCATCATCGTCATCTTCATCTTCATCTGCACTTGTATTTCTATCTTCTGGTTCGCTACCTTGAAGCTCACCTTCTTCCTTGGATAGCACTGTAATTGGATTGTTGTCTGTACCTTGAATATGATCACCTTCAACTTCATCTTCTTCGATCTCTTCGTCTTCATCATCGATAACCTCAATTACTTCTTCATCCTCTCCTTCTTCTTCTTCTTCTTCTTCTTCTTCTTCTTCTTCCTCGTCTTCTCCAGATTCGATTACTTCAACATCCGTTCTATCTTCCAGGACCACAGAGTCAAGTTTAATCTTTTTCGAACTTACTTGTTCATCTCCCTCAGCTACAGATTCAGCCGACATAGCGCTCCTTTCACTAGCCTTCTGCTGCTTCTTTTCATTCATGACTTCCTCATATGATGCCAACTTCTGCTTAATCTCCGGTATAAACCCACCAAATTCCGCCTTCTCAATCGCAGCCAACATATCTTGTGCACTCACTGTCTTTCTATTAGCCTCCTTGGAAACCTGACGAGCATGAAATAACAAATGTGATACGAAAACAGTAGCAGATCTTTGTAAAGCCTGTAAGGAATCCTTTGCAAGTGACATATTATTGGAATTATTTTCATCATCAACAATCATTGCCTTGGCAAGTTTTTGAATTGTTGCTTTGGGGAATAAGATTTCATCGATTGATACTACTTCTGTATCTTTGTTTGGTTGAGGGTATTGACCCTCTGCGTTCTTTCTCCATCCCTTTGGTGGCATTGTATCCTATCGTTTGCTGTACTACTTACCGTGTTGCTGGTGAAAGAAAATTTGAGAAACGCGTTCCTTCTTCTGTTATGTACCAAAATGGCTCTGCCTAAACAAAAAAAAAGTTTTTCTGGTGTGTGTAAGTGAATGAATGACTGAGTGAGTGTGTTGTGTGCGTAAGCGAACCATCGGCAGATCTACACTCCTGAATACCGAGGACAGTAGAAATATTTTAGTAGAAGAGTTTACCAATTGAATTTAAAGATATAAAGTAGGGTACTCTTCAAATTGGAATGTCGAATGCTGTGTACAACTACTACCTCTAGTGCTAGCACGACTGCTACAGATACTAGTGTTACCACTACCACCACTACCATGCCAAACGATCAACCATCATCAGGTAAATCAACCTCAAGAAAGAAAAAGAATATTATAAGTAAAGAGAACAATTCATACTATGGACTTCTAAGTAGTCCCAATATCAAACGAGTAACATTAGGAAAATATGAATTTGAAACTTGGTATGGAAATGCTGCTTATTTTAATCCCAATGATGTGGCTCATACTTGTTTAGGTTATGAATATTCCAATAAAGTCGCTCAAGATCCAAGCTTAAGAAAACTCTTTAGATCCAGTAGTGTCAATAATAACAATAACAACAGCAACAACAACAACAATCTAACTTCCCAACAGGGAGAGAATGGGTTTCAATATTGGTTGGATCATTTATATGTATGTGAGTATTGTTTCAAATACACTACCAATGAACAAGAACTAAGCCAACATGTCCAACTTTGCAAGTACAACAAACCACGTCCAACAATTGGGAAACTATTATATCGAGATGACATCCTGGGTCCATATATGATTCGAGAAATCCAAGGGTTTAAAAATACCTTATTTTGTCAAAATCTATGTTTATTCGGCAAGTTATTCCTTGATGATAAATCAGTTTATTATAGTATAGATCATTTTAATTTCTATGTTTTATACGGATATGATCTTAGTGATGAATATCCCCGAAATTTCAAACCGATGGGATTCTTCTCCAAAGAAGTTCTATCTTATGATAATGACAATAATTTGGCATGTATTTGTGTATTTCCTTCATATCAACGACGTCGACTCGGGTCATTGTTAATTGAGTTTCTGTATGCATTGGCTAGAGTAACTCCAGGTCAATATCGAAGTGGTCCAGAGTTCCCACTCTCACCATATGGGAAAGTAACATATTTACGATTTTGGTCAAAGAAATTGGCGTATTTAATACTTCAAAAGAAAAAGTTACAACAAGAAATAACATTGGTGGAACTATCTAATGAAACTGGGTTTCGAAAAGAGGATATTTTGTATACTTTGGAGTATACGCAATGTTTACATTTTGATTCTAATAATGATGTTCAGTTATCGCTACCAAATCTTGAGAAGTGGTGTTTAGAAAATAGCATTAATCCAAGTCGGGATATACCTCTTCTAAAACAAGAGTGCTTGGTTATATAAGACGTCCCGTTAAAGTAATAAGAGTGGGTATAATGGAGATTTAGGTAATGTGTAATTAAAAATATGTATATTAAAAGTGAGAGGGGGGGATATAGAAACACAATCAATGTGATATTTAAAATTTTAATTTATTTATAGGATTTCTAACGTAATTGCAGAAATGCACCCAACAACACGGAAGACGGAGTTTCATTATGTCTATTCTTCTCAAACACGTTCCAAAACCTCAAAGTCTCATCTCCAGCACCCGTAACAATTGTCTCTCCATCAGGTGAAAGTGATAAATACAACACTCTATAAGTATGACCCGTTAATTGGGCAATTTGTTGCATTGAAGGATATTTCCAAACTATTATTTGATTTCTTGAATATCCATGAGTTGACACTAATTCATTGGAATTTCTGGACCAAATTAAATTACAAACTTGGGAGCCAGTATTTACATCTTGTAACATATTCCCAGTTAAGGTATTCCACGTCTTAATTGTCTTATCAGCAGTTCCTCCACCTGACGCCAATATCCCTCTTTGATGTGGTGACCATGCAATGGCTTTCACTGCTGCTGTATGATCACTAAAATGATGTAAAGGAGTTGTATTTAATCCATCCCATATAAATAAATTATTATCATTCCCACCACTTGCCAATTTATTCTCATCAACATTCCATTTCAATCCACAAACTTCTTGTTTATGAGTTTCAAATTTATTAACAAAATGATCTTCAATTCTTACATCACGATTCAAAATCGTTCGATCTCGTGATCCACTAGATAAGATATGTTCATTCCATGCCAATGCACTCACTCGTAAACTATGTCCCGACATTGTTCTTACACATTTGATTTTAGTTGCATCCCAAATCTCAACCAACCCTTTCGAAGTCCCAATGGCTAAATGAGTCCCAGCCCCAATCCAATTCAAACTTGTGACTTTATCTTTATTAGTTAAATTACAAAGTCGATCAACTGATTGTGTTGCTCCATCCCATAAATATACCGAATCTCCCAATCCAACTGCCAATACATCCTGCAGTCCCCAATCAACTAGATTAAGATAGAAATCGTCAGATAATTCAGGAGCATCGAGAACTCGATATGGTACTTTTGCGATTGTTCTTGGTTTCTTCTGCGGGGATAATAATAGTTTTTGTGATTCCTGTCGTACTGGAGAAAGAGAATATAATTCTTGTTGTAAATCTCGTGAAATGGGAGGTCGTGATTTTTGAGGAGATTGATAGGTGAATAGATTGGCTTTTCGCCTGGGAGTGGATGTGATATTATTATTGTTATTATTGGTATTGGTATCTTCACTTTCGTTTAAATTGGGAGTTGAATGATGGTTGAGTAATGCACTAGATGATAAAGTATGATTATTATATGGAGTTGAATTGGCTGATGATCTAGGAGAAGCCCCTAAATTATTGAGACTATTTGAATCTCGGCTGATTGTTGCACCTCCAGCACCGGTTCCTGTTGATGTAGGATTACTTTGCCTTGGGGTGGAAACAGATTTCACATTTCGATTATTAGTATTATTTATTGAACTTTTGGATAAATTTGCAGTTGCCATAGGTACATTATCCCCAAATAATTCAGCTTTCAAAACAGTTGAAAACGTTCGATTTGCTTCTTCTTCTTTTCGAATTTCAATTTCATTATCCGAATTCCCACGATTTCGTAAATCAGGTAATATTTCTTCATTATTTAAGCTAAATGCAGCTTGGAGATCTACTCCGGTTCTATTGGGGATATATCTATCACTGAATATCGATCTCCCAACATTGTTTCCCCTACCTCTTCTAGGTGAAGATGTGGTTGGTAATGCTTGGACTTCATTAACTTTGGGAAGTTCAAGATTACGAGTTGATCGAGACGGCGATCGAGGGGTTTTGAATCCAAATGCAGACGTTGATGATGAGCTCAGAAGGTCACTTCCGTTAAGGCTGTCTGATCGTTGCACCATTAATTGATGGGTGGTGTATTTTGTATAAAAGCTGTTTCAGTTCCAGGTTTTTTCCCTTTTATCGTTCTCGTAAAGAAATATTAATGTGTATAGATTACAGTTTTAAGCTTATTGTATGTAACTATAATTATACGTTATTAGCAAGCGTTGTAGTAAAAAGCAAATCTTCTCGAGCAGCTCTCTTGTAACCAGTAGTTTTCTGTTGATATTATAAGACACCAACTGATATATACTCCTTAATTTTCTTTTTTTTGGAATGGATTAAAGATTGGTTATGCATTCTTAATTAAGAAAGCCTTCCAGCCATCAAAACCTACCGAAAGAAAAAAAAAAGAATTCTATTATGGATCACGTGCATCGGAAGTTTAATTCCATATGTTGAACCGCATAACATCAATCGTTAGGGAGAAACTTGGTCTATTGTGGATATGCCATGGTCAGAGTAACAGGTTAGAAGTTCTCTACATTTTGATTGAATTCTAACTTGGCAAGCAGCCGTGGAAATGAAAAATAAAACACTAAACCAACTAGAAAAAACTGGTGTGACACTCGTCACCCAACCTTTGAAGTTTTTTTTCAAGAATGTAAATAATGACTAATAGTTTCATAATATGTTACTCAAACGAAAGGGGTATTAGTAGACATTTGTCACATATTGTTAATGTCATGTCAAAAATCATTTCAAAAATAAATAGAAAAACCCAAACAGAAAATATGGTTGCGTAATTGCCAAATCCCAATACGGCAATTGTGTTTCAAACGACAAAAAAAATGAGGCGATGGACAGTCACTTCATTAAATTGCGGCAATACTTGAAACAAAGGAATAAGGATGAACTAGTATATAAAACATCCTATATACTCTGACATCAATGAATATTGCAAAAACGTTTTCTCTTTCTTTCTTCTTTTGATTCTCTTCAACAACTTGCTAATGCTACTACTAGTTATATTACTTTCTATTTCATATCCAATTTTTGCAGCCACTGAGTTGCAAAATTCAACTGCTACAAAAATGGTTATCTTAAATTTATCACTTTCCCCTGAAAATGTATATTACATCCAGAACCTCACCCTTGGGACACCACCTCAACCAATGGAAAACGTAATCATCGATACTGGTTTACTGGACTTTATTATTGGTTCTTCATTATATGATAGTAGAAACTCAACCAGTTTTATCGACACTTTTGAAAAATATCTTACCCCTGATCTATACACTATCAACCGAGTATTTGAAACAATATCTGGACCTAATTGGACTTTACCAGAATATACATTTGGGTATGCGAACATGCCATATATTGGAATGTTTTCTGGAATACTTGGATTAGGATATATTAAACAAGAATCAATGAAACCTAATTATGAAAATTTCCCCATGGCATTAAAATCACAAGGATTAATCTCAAAAGCAATTTTCTCAATAAATGGAAGAGAAGATGATCAGGCACAAATCGTATTTGCGGCAGTGATTGAGAATGCGTATCAAGGTTCATTGGTTAGAGTTCCTTTCATTAAAGTGTTCACTTTAGAACAGCAAGCTGATTATTTTTATGTTCCGTCATTTACTGTTAACAAAATTACTTTTGGTAATATTGTTATATCTTCACAAAAGACCCTTTATGAAATTCATATGAGTGGTAGTGAATTCATCACACCTGAACCAGTTTATTTGAATATAATGACTTTACTTGGACAAGATTTTATAGCTGTTAGAGAGCAAACTTATTTTGATTTAGAAATTGTTCGTGAAATAAATATCAATATATCTATTCAAGGGATAATACTTACATTCCCATTACTTGAATTGGCAGGTGAAGTATTGGAAAATCAAGGCAAGACTTATATTACATTAAAGCTTGCATCTTACAAAATCGGATATGATGCCTATGTTGGTGTATTACCTGGCTGTTTAATGAAATATTATTATACGGTTTTTGATTATGAACTGAATTCTATCTACTTTGCCAAATATAAGCTGGTGCCTAAACAGACAAAACGGTATATTTCTTATACTGAAGATGGTGACTTCCCCGTACCTGCTGTTGATGTTCCAAATCCTCAAGATACTTACTCTGCAATTTATAAGGACGAATTGGAAATTAAAGTAACTGAATCAATTAGCTTTGTCAATAATGGTACCTTCTATACCAATGGTAGTGATGATTCTTCGAATAATATTATGGTGCCAAGTCTTTGTATTATTTTCTTAAGTTTATATATTAACTTTTTTGTTGTTTAATATTTCGGTTGTATTTTATTTTAGAGTTTTAATGTACGTTTAATAATTTGTTTGTGAGTACTTCTGTGGATGTTTGTAAATCTTCATTACAGTGTCAATGTTGCTGTCAACGTTCCATGCATATTTTGCAGCCATATTAGGATTTTTTTATGTTGCTGGTCAATTGGTAGCGTCGGAGATACAATATCCCCAACCCCCCTTTTTTGCCAAACTACTAATATAGAGCAACTTTATAGACTCTTTTAATTTCATTAAACATCAGCTATATAGATAAAAACGCAAAAACATACAAATCATACAATTTTGGAATCTCGAACTATGAGATGCGACTGGGTTTCAAAAGGGAAAAGCAAACCACATTTCACGTTCGTCTTTGTCTAGTCAACCGACAAGGTTTATGAAATCTTCCATATCATCATCATCCTTATTCTTACCTGACATACCTTCAAATAAATGGAAATGGTGTTTTTCTTGCAGTTCAGTAGCAGCGTTTTGGAGAGTGTCGACTAAATCTGGTTTACTGGAATCTTCCTTTGTGGGGGAAGTGTTCATGTTTTCATCTTCCTTTTGTGGTTTACCTGATCCGAATAATGGCATTGTTAATTGATAATAATTACTTAGATATAGTGTTTACTACTTAATGATAGAAAGAAAGAGTGTGTTAAAAAACTTAAGGGAGAATTCTATCAGGATATTTATAGGATGATCCCCTAACCAGCCCAACCCCCTTAACAAATTTCAAACTTTAAAACTCTCCGCAATTTCGTGTCTGTTCGGAAAAAAATTAAATCAGACAATAAATTTGAATGACTATTATTTTTTAACTATAAGAACAATCTGAATCATGTTATATGCATTCCATCGTGTCAGGGTGCATTATCTTATTTCCTTTGCCGGGTAACACATTCATAGAAAAATCAGATAAGAGCCTTTCGTAGTTTGCAATCAATATGAATTGCAAGGCTGAGCAAGAGGGGAGTTGCCAATACTGGCTATACTTAACGCAGTAGATACGATGTGTTGTTCGTATTAGAATTGGGATGGTTGTTCTGTTAACTTTGCTTTAAATCTTGACATGAAAAGAATAGCTCCTTGGATTACTTTGCATGATAGTGAGCTGTCTGGGGCGTTTTATGGGGATTTTTTGACCAAATTCTGTGTTGATCTGCTCTACTCTGGTTCCTTAAAGCAACGCGTGAAGTATCGTGTTGCCCAGACTTGAGTGAACTCTGTCTGTTTGCAACCAATCAGCTTTTTCATTGGCACATTACATGCGCAAGACAGGAAATTCTACACTTGAAGAGGTGATAAGGACATAAATTAAATCATTAATTTCGTTAAATATAACCTATATAAATAAAACTAAAAGCATACAAACCCTTGGGTACCCAAACCAGCTACGTACTCATATGCGACCTTCTGAAAAACACGAAATGTAAACCAGACACTACGTTATTCTCGTATTCATTCAGGGACAAGGTTAACGAAATCGTCCATATACTCGTCATCATTGTCTTGACCTGAGATACCTTCAAACCATTGGAAATGTGATAATGCCTCATGCATTTGGGTACTGGCGTCGTGGATAGTCTCAACCAAATTGTGACTAAGAGTTTGTTTAGGATGACTTGTGTCTTCCATGGGGGAAGTGTTCATATCTTCCGATTCTTTTTGTGGTTTATTTGATGACATTGTTAATAGTAATAGATTAGCTATGTTTGCAACTTTTAACTAGGGAACGAAACAACAAGAAGAAGAAGAAGAAAGAGAATTAAACGTTTTGGACTTCACCAGCGTTCTGGAATTCTATTTATATGGGTGACCTTCATGATTTACCCTTAATGATTTCAAATTTAGGCTCTCCGCATTAATGTCTGTCTGGAAATTTTAAATCAAGGTACCAAATTTGAATGACATTTTTCAATCTATGGTTAAAAGAAACCTCCCCTCCTTGAGGGAAAAAAAAACTGTCTGTCTGAAATACATTTTTTTGGTGCAAATTATCTCAATTTTGTGTCTCGGAACAACTTGGCTATTCGGACATTTACTCCCCTCCCTTATCAAAAATCGTTCTAGAAAAAACTGTGACGCTTAAATCGTTGTTCACGCGATCTGAATGAACTTTGGTCGTTCCACCACCCCACAAACTGATTAATATTATCTAACTATTGGTTGCTGATTAGTAAATGTTTAGAGATACGTGATTTCTTCAAGGCTTTTTGTTTATATCTCAGATCAATGGAGTCACGAATTTCATAATTAAGTTTTAAATTTTTTTCTATGAAAGTTCCCCAGATTTCATGCGAATTATGGGCGATAATGTATTTACTAATCTTTACAAAATATCATAAGGTTGTGTCATGAATACTAATTATTAATCAATAATTTAGGACAATAACTCATTTTCTGAAAATTTATTCTAAATATTAAAGATGACAATTCTCGGTGAATCTTCAATTAAATTTTGAAAATAAGACCGAGAACTGATTAATCATCCTGATAGCCTAAAATTCTCAATCTATCCTATGACGTAATTCACTCTATAATTATTATAATTAACTAGTAAGTAATCAAATCTAGTATTCTTCATGAATTATCAGGCAAGCAAACCATACATAGACATAATAGTGATGACTTTTAATAAGGAACCCTCGCATGCGACACCAACAGAATTTTCCGTCGGTGCGATGTTCCGAATTCTTTCTATTTAGTGATAATCTTTCGTATCTAAAACTGAATTTGAATGAGTTTTTCGGCTTGAAAACTTAATCGTTGATTTCTAGACGACTTTCTTCCCAAGTATTACCTATTGAATTCCTTAAGTTATTAGCTGGGAACAGTTTCTCTCTCATTATTTGTTAAGGGGGAAATGGGGGTTGTGCATAAAAAACATATTCGGTCAGGTCAGAAACCTTCATACAGATAAGTATTTTAAGAATGTCATAACTTATATATAAATGTATATATTGGGCTACATCTCTTACAAGCAGAGCAAATGCTGCTTCTATGACTGTTACACCACCACAGAGAGGAAACATTGGAAATGTTCTTTTTTGCAGTCAAAGATCCTATTGTTTTACATCCAGTCAGAAGCTACGACATTAGTTTTAATGTCGCACCATAGAAATACACGACATTTATATCCTGCATATAGTCTATCCAATCAATTGAAATTAAATGAAAATTACTCTTAAGTTTATTTTTTTTTTTCACTCTTCTTTTAGCTTTAACCAATTTTTAATTGAAAAAAATTCAACTAGGCCAATCGAATTGACAATTTAATCCAACAAGAAACCAACCACACACATTCTGAAAAGGATCCATCACTAACAGTGCATTCCAAATAACCCCCCAATAGATTTCGTTGTTCCATCCTTTGATTTTATTTTTCATTGTATTTATTTATTTATTTTGACTTTAACATCCATTCACATTTCACATCTTAACAATAAATATGTTATCACGTTCAATTAAAACAAGTTCAATCTTTCAAATAGGAAGAACCACCATGTCCAAGAGATATTCCTCCATTATTTCTGTTCATAGAGATACTCCAGAAGATAATCAAAATATACCATTTGAATTCAATTCTGAAAACTTGAAAAGAGCTCAAGAAATCATTGCCAAATATCCACCACAATATAAGAAGGGAGCATGTATGCCACTTTTGGATTTAGGACAACGTCAATTAGGATTCACTTCTATTAGTGTCATGAATTATGTTGCTAAGATGTTGGATATGCCACCTATGAGAGTATATGAAGTTGCTACTTTTTATACCATGTATAATAGAAAACCAATGGGAAAATATAATTTACAAGTCTGTACTACTACCCCATGTCAATTATGTGGTAGTGATGGTATTATGAAGGCTGTACAAGATCATTTAGGTATCAAACCAGGACAAACCACTCCAGATAAATTGTTTACATTACAAGAAGTTGAATGTTTAGGTGCATGTGTTAATGCCCCAATGCTTGCTGTTAATGATGATTACCATGAAGATTTGACTCCTGAAGCTACTGTTGATATTTTGAAACAATTACAAGCTGGTAAGGAATTGACTAAGATTGGACCTGTTTCTGGTAGAGAATCCTGTGAACCACATAGTGGAAGAAAGGTGTTGTTAAATGCTGAACCAAATGACATTAGAAACTTTACTAGAGCTGACTTGTAGATTGTTTGATCTAGCCATGATAATGAGATGTCGTTTTTTTTATATACTACCATGCATATTTGTTTTTATATCATTTTTTATTCTGTATAATAAGTTATTTTTAGTCAATTAAATTAATAAAAAAAAGTTGGTTTAACATAATTGTTTAAGTACTATCAATGAGCCTCTATCTGTAATCAAGTATCCACAGTATCTGTTGTAGTTTGTTTAGATAATTGTGGAGGAATAACCTTTTCAAACCGATTTCGGGGGAATATACGTCACGTGAAATCACCGGATTTTTTTTCTTTTTCTTCCCCACTGTCTACAGACGAAGTTTCTTTTTCCCGGTGTGTGTCTGCCAGTCTGAAATTTTCTTGACTCATTACGGAACATTTTTTATCAGTAACCATCTCTTCTTCTTTCTACTAAGCATTCACCTTTATAACCACATGGAAACAGGAACAACAAAGATGTCTAAGAAATCATACAGTCTTGAAACTGAATTAGTCTTCAGTAAATCTGGAGATCAATACAATGCTTCAGTAGCTCCATTATATCAATCAGCAACATTTAAACAAGAATCATTATCAAATATGGGAGAATATGATTATACAAGATCAGGTAACCCCACTAGAACTCATTTACAAAACCATTTAGCTAAGATTATGAAAGCTACTCATGCATTTGCTGTAACTTCTGGTATGGGATGTCTTGATGTTATTACCAGATTATTAAAACCAGGAGATGAAGTTATTGCTGGTGATGATTTATATGGTGGTACTCATAGATTATTAACATATTTAAATAAAAAGGGGGATTTAATTGCTCATCATTATGATACTACAAATACAGAATTAATTAAATCAAAAATAAACTCAAAAACAAGAATGATCTTTTTAGAATCTCCAACTAATCCATTAATTAAAGTAGTTGATGTTAAATCAATTGCTGAACATGCACACAAAGTTAATCCTAATACAATTGTAGTATTTGATAATACTATGATGTCTCCAGTATTAATGACTCCTTTGGATTTAGGTGTTGATATTCAATATGAATCAGCTACTAAATATCTTAATGGACATCATGATATTATGGCGGGTGTAATTGCAACTAGATCACCAGAATTAGCTGATCAATTATATTATGTAATCAATTCTACAGGATGTGGGTTATCACCATTTGATTCTTGGTTATTAAGTAGAGGATTAAGAACATTAGCAATTAGAGTTGAAAGACAACAAGAAAATTGTGTTCGTATTGCCAAGTTTTTAGAACAGATTGGATTTAAAGTAAGATATCCAGGATTAAAATCCCATCCCCAATATGCATTACATAGTTCGATGTGTAGAGGATTTGGTGCTGTTTTAAGTTTTGAAACTGGTAGTATTAAATTATCAGAAAAGATTGTGGAAAGTACTGAAATATTTGGAATTGCTGTATCATTTGGTTGTGTTAATTCATTAATCTCAATGCCATGTAAGATGTCACATGCTTCAATTGATGCAAAGACAAGAGAAGAAAGAGAATTCCCTGAAGATTTGATTAGATTATGTATTGGAATTGAGAATTGTGATGATTTAATTGATGATTTAACTAAAGCTTTATTAAAGAGTGGTGCAGTAAGAATAAATGCAAAAGATGAATTATTTAATGCTGTTGGACTTCAACCTAAATTGTAGAGAGACTTGAATAGAGGGAGAGAGAGAGAGGGAGAGAGAGAGAGAAAACTTATAAACATTTTGAGTAAACTGGCTTTCCTTATTTATTGATGTTTTATCTGTTGTTGTTGTTGTTGTTGTTGATTGTTTACTTTGGGTGGGTTCATATTGCATTGTCTTTACATATTCGTTCTTTAAAAATACAATTTATATTATAATAAATAGAGTCTATATATTTAATACAATAATATTCTCATTTATCTTTCGTGTTTAAACCACACAAACGACTAATTGCCCCTACTGGGATTATATACAGATTCTCTTGCAATATTGGTTCTAGACTCACTATTTGCACTACCAATTGATCCATGTGAGAATCGCGCACAAAATACACTTACTGACAGATACGCGTCTTTCGTCCTGACAAAAAAAATTCAAATTGATTCAACAAAAACTTATTCTTCTTTCATATTCTTAAAGAGAAAGACGTGTTTAATCTAACCAAACAAGTAAATAAGAAACAAGCAACAATGACTGTTCAACTTTCAAGAGGAACATTGAAGGATATATTCTCAATATCTGGTCGTAATAACGTTAGAACTCCATTTGTATTACAAGTCAATAATATTAAACCTGTTGCCGTTGCTGGTGATGTCAAGAAATATAGAATCCTAGTTAATGATGGTGTTTATTCATGTCATGGTTTAATTGATGAAACTTGTGTTCCATATTTAGAAAATAATGGATTTGCTAGATATTCAATTTTACAAGTTAATGATTATAGTGTATTTGCAACTCAAAAACATATTATTTTAGTCAAACAATGTGAATTATTAACTCAAACCAGTGATAAACCAGGCGAATTAATAGCTATTGATACTTATTATGCTAATAATCCAGATGATGATTCTTTAGGTGTATCTAAAAAGTCAGCCACAGGTGAACAATTTGCGAGATCTGAATCTCCAGTTGCAACTCCTCCAGTGCAACAGCAACAACCACAGCAAAACGCGTACAGTAATACCTACGGGGCACAACAACACACACCTGCCCAACCAGACGGTGCGCCAGCACGTAGAGTGACTCCAATTGAAACTTTATCACCATATCAAAATAATTGGACAATTAAAGCTAGAGTCTCATACAAGGGAGATCTTAGAACTTGGTCAAATGCAAAAGGTGAAGGTAAATTATTTAGTGTCAATTTATTAGATGAATCAGATGAAATTAAAGCCACTGCATTCAATGAAACTGCAGAAAGAGGATTTAAATTATTAGAAGAAGGAAAAGTTTATTATATCTCAAAGGCAAAAGTTCAAGGTGCCAAAAAGAAATTCAATCATTTGACTCATCCATATGAATTAACATTAGATAGAGATACTGAAATTGTTGAATGTTTTGATACTTCAAATGTTCCAAAATTACATTTCAATTTTGTTAAATTAGATCAAATCCAAAATCTTGAACCAAATGCAATTGTTGATGTTATTGGTGCTTTAAAACATGTAAATGAAGCTTTTCAAATCATTGCAAAATCAACCGGGAAAGCATTTGATAGAAGAAATATCACTATTGTAGATGAATCTGGGTTTGCCATCGAAGTTGGATTATGGAATACCACTGCCGTAGATTTCAATATCCCAGAAGGTTCCGTCATTGCTTTCAAAGGTTGTAAAGTCCAAGATTTCAATGGAAGATCATTAACTTTATCCCAATCAGGTTCATTAATCCCCAATCCAGAAACTCCAGAAGCGTATCAATTGAAAGGATGGTATGATAACCAAGGTATAAATGAATCATTCAAGAGTCTTAAAGTTGAATCATCCTCGGGATCGGCCAATTTATTCGAATCAAGAAAATTGATTTCTCAAGCTCAAGATGAAAATTTGGGTAAATCTGAAAAACCCGATTATTTCTCCATTAAAGCGACTATTTCATTCACTAAACATGAAACGTTCTCTTATCCTGCTTGTCCAAATATTGTTCAACCTGCTGCCGCTGCTGCTGGTGGTACACAAGTCCAAAGACCTCCACAACCATGTAATAGAAAATTAATCGAACAATCCAGCGATGGAACTTGGAGATGTGAAAGATGTGATATGAATTATGCTGAACCTACCCATCGTTATATTTTCAATTGTGCCGTTATGGATACTTCGGGACAAATTTGGATTACTTTGTTTGATGCTGAGGCCAGGAAATTATTTGGAATGGATGCTGGTGAATTAATGAAATTAAGAGAAGCTAGTTTGGATGATCCTTCAAATACGGAATTTATTGATAAGATTAACAGTATTACTTTTAAAGAATATAATTTCAGAATTAGAGCCAGACAAGATACTTATAATGATACTTTAAGAGTGAGGTATCAAGCTGTTGGTATTGATCCAGTTGATTATAATGCGGAAGCAGAACATTTATGTAAAGAATTGGAACAATTGATGGGTTAGCTAGTATTTTCGTTGTTATTCAGTTTGTCTTTTTCATCTCTTCCTTTTATTAGTGTTGCTTTCTTTGTATATGTATAAAATCTTACTTTCTATATTCAGTTAATTTATTCACTTGTAGCCAATAATTCTTTAATACCTCATTAGCTTGTCGTTGACCCCTAGTAATCATTAATTTATTCACAAATTGATTAATCTCATTCTGAGTACTAGCAACTTTTCCCACCTGATTATTCGAAAGAAAATATAATAACCATGCCTTATATTCCATGGGATACTTCCCAATCAAATTTCGGAACAAAGGATAATAATGCTCCAATGCCGATCTTGGAGCGTCAATAAACTGCGCCATTAACATCGCCAGTAAATCATACCCCATTGGGAACTCAGATGTCATTAATACCTTCTTGGTAATTAATTCTCGAACTAAATAGTGATCATCGGCATTACCACGTTTTAATGTGATTAAATTCACCCAGAATTTAACCACCGCTTTAATTGTAAATGTTTCATGATTTTTCAAACTGAATAATGCATATGTTAGGATCTTATCTTGAAATAATGAACTTTTTAATATTAAATTTGGACTTCGTTCTATAATCGTGGAAAATAATTCAATTGATGCTTTTATCAAATCAATATCTGTTTCCAATATGGTATATATGTCCCCAAAGAGACCTTGAAGAAGGCAACCTAAGGTTTCTGGAGTTAATTGTTTTCGATTGGTAATGACAATAGTTTCCACAAGTTTATAAATTGGAGGAATACTCTGAATATTACAGTTTTTAATCTTGACAATTAAATAAGAAAATATAACCTCAAGTTCAAATTTAAATGGGCCATTAATTGGTTCACTCAATCCTGATTTTAAAATATTACAACATTTTTCCGTCATTAAGGTATTTTTAGCTAATGATTCGATATTTAATGAAAATTGATTCAAACTCTCCAATATCATTGATTTGATATTTAATGGATCTTCTGTCCAATATAAGTTCGTTTGAGTAAGTTGCTCGGGAGTGAGACAATCTTCAATATCTTCTGGAAGTTCGGTCGCTTTTCCAATTTCATTTATGCATGATAGTAAACTAATAGCATAATCTTCAATAATCTCTTTCGTTGGTTCTGGACTGGCTGTTGAATTCACAAAGCTTTCTGGCTGGTCCAGTAATGTATTATATTGTTCAGATATCACTATTAATATTTTGTAAATTCTATTACCCAAATCAACTGGATCTTTAATTGATTGAGAAATAGAAATATATGAATTTGTCATTCTTTCTCGTATTAAACCATCCATTAATGGATTCTTCAACATTTCAATAAGGATCATTTCTAAATTTGGTAAAAAGGCAACTAATTTATCTTCAGAGTCTTGACAGACTTTTAATACTGTTTTGGATGCAATTAATGATAATGTAGGTTTTGCGTTTCCCAAGATGACTGAAAATAAGAAATTAAATGTTGTTGGTAAATAATGACATCCAATATCACTTTTGAAAAAGAAATGTAAACATGAAAGTAGGTTTAATAATGTGACCGAGATATGTTTATTGGCATAATCAGGCATTGCCTCTATTCTTCCAATTAAATCTTCATTAAAGATCCCATTAATTAATGGAACTAAGCTTCCTATTGCAAACTCATCATCATAAAATGTTAAATCATCAGTGATTTTATAAACCAAATATAATCCCGTTTCCAAATCATTCACTACTTCTTCAGAATGTCCATTATTTCGAATTTGAATTAAATTATTCCTAATAAGGTCACACAACGAAGAATACAATGATAATCCTAACATTGAATAAAATAATATAAACAATTCCGCAACTTGACTCCTATAATGGGAGAATTCTTTCGTTGCATTTGGAAATAATCGCATTTTCTTAAAATATATCTGACTAACTTCATGGAAAATCGCATCTCTGGTTGAATTGTATTGAGCAAGAGTTTGTTCGTTAAATATTATATCTCCAATGGCTTCTGCATCATCAATAAATGTATTGGCAAATTCTTCCCAGAAGGCAAGCAATTGTTCACTTATTTTCTCATCTTCGGTCGGATTTCCGGGGAAGTTGGTTAAAGTCATTATTATTCGTATAATATTGCCAGATGGTTCAGTTAAGACTGTTCTTGAAAGATGAACTAAATTTAATGATAAGTATGTAATCAATAAATTGACAAAGTTTTGAATTTCCAGGGAATACATTTCAGCAAATTCAGTATTCAATAAAATTGTATTAATGAATGAAGCACCAAATTTAGTCTCTTCAAAAAGGATACTTAATATTGTGGGCTTAAATTTGGTTACTATTCGTGGGATATTATCTAGTATTTCTGTTAATACTGTAAATGATTTATTGTAAATTTCCATTTTGTCTTCAAATATAGTTGTTTGATTCCCTAGGTTAAATTGATTTAATAAATATGTCATAAAGATTTCCATATCATCACCATATCTCTGATCTGAATGATTCTCAGCCACTGAAATATACACCACCCATGAATTTAAACAATCCAATGACAACAATTGTAACTTCTCCGGAAGAATTCCTGATGTTTGTGAGAACTTCTCATATAATACTTTTAGATGCTGAAATATCGTTTGATGAATTAGTGAATGCAAATCAGGCAAATATTCCGTCTGCCTGGAAATTTCTTCCGCAAGAGTAGCTAAGAATGTTAATAATAACTCAAATTGGGTTTCATCTTGTAATTCGTTAATTATAATTGGTATTTGTGATGCTGAGATTTCGGGTCTTTGCAACATAGCTGATAATAACGAACATATCGGATCATTGACAAAGGTTTGGAAATAATTAATATAAATCAAAGATAAATTACTAAGTAGTTTCCTTATGACAAACAAGTTTGCATTAATCTCTTTGGGATCACATAATAGAAACGTTTGTCTTAAAATCTCATTGAATGCAATATTGATTTGGTCATTCGGTATAACATGAGTATTTAAATAGACCGTCAAAGTCAATGCCCCAAAATACTTAACATTTTTATCTGGATTATTCAATAGCTCTATACCTAATTGATACCCTTGACTGCTCTTTTGATAGCCTTGTAATCTTTCTTGAATTGAAGCTATACGATGTGAATCATGACTTGAATAAAGAACTTTAATTTCCTACAACCAAATTTGTTAGTGAATGTTTTTTTGCTTAAAAAAAAGTGACAATGGCTTTATCTGATACATACTTCAATGACAATTGGAATATCCAAAGTATGGTTGGACATTTGTTGATGCTTTTCTCCTTTGGATTCAAATTCCCTTTATTAAATTGAAAAATGGTTGTAAAAAAAAGCAGACCATGGTAGTGTACAGAATCAAAAAAATTAACGAGAATGGCGCTACCAGTATACTAATAGAAAACCGTTGCGCTACCAGACAATCTATAAAAAGTTGATGCCTTTGCGCTAGATGTTGTAATAATTATCGGAGTCAGTCGTTAATGGTCTCCATTGACGGAAATTTCCTAAACAATAGATTGCTCTAACCTATGTTAAAATTAGATACAAATTTGTGAAAGTTAGTACCACAAGAGTTCAGTGTGACTATTCGCACTTAGATGGGAACTGACACTGTAAAATAGAGCTATATCATTGATGAAAAAATTATCCCTGACTATATATATCTCCAGATTTTTTCGTTTTGGATCTATTGGATCTAGATCGTTGTAATGAAGTAACACGATAGATAAAAAAGATAAAATGATTCAAGCATGATTAAGTAAGTAGATTTAAAGTTTAACACTAAAAAAAAATATAGAGCAATGTGTTTGGGGGGGCTTAGTTCCGTAAATAAAATCAACGGAATTCCATAAATGGGTGTAATTCCGTTGATTTTATTTACGGAACAAATGGGTGTAACAGGGCTCATTTCCAAATGCCTAGGCGGTTGTATAATCTCCCCATATTATTATCAGGGGGGGTAACTCCAGATGCCTTACAAGCAGTTGGCGTTGACTCTCTGATATATCATGAAATGGAAATAGAATGACTATTTGAAATATAATATGTTGATTAATGCCAAGTATTGCCTCATATTGAGATGGCTTAATATAATTTATCGGGTGAGGTAGTTTTCATTGTTTGATCATGTGATTTAAGAATCTAATGGCGGGTGTTGTTCTGTTGTTGTTGGAAAATTTAAATTTTCTTAATTACTAAAAAAAACTTATTTATTGGGTTACACCCCACTACCTTTTCTTCTTCTTCTTTTTATTTCTACTCTACTATCTATTCCATCTGTATTTTACAACAACCAATAGGTAGATTACACTTCATAACCCCACCCTCCCAATAGATACATTCATACAAAGTGTTATTACCAAAAATGTCAAGAGTCGCAAGAGCACAATGTGCTAACTGTACTTGTTCACCAGGTTTATTATCAAGAGCAAGAAAATCAATGACTTTTGCTAAAAGAATTTCCCTTAGTAGATCAAGTACTGATGGAACTTATTTAAAATCAGGATCTCGTAAAGGATCTGTATTCACTTTAGATCCTGCTTCGTTATGTTTACCTGAAGCTAAAGAAGTAAACACCAGTAAAAGATTAGAATCTTTAAGAAGACAAATGATGACTCATGATTTGGCAGTTTATATTATCCCATCTGAAGATCAACATCAATCTGAATATGTTTCCGCTTTTGATCAAAAAAGAAGTTTTATTTCTGGTTTTTCTGGATCAGCTGGTGTTGCCATTGTAACTAGAGAATTAAATAATTTTAGTGAAGTTCCTGAAGGAACTGCTGGACTTTCAACTGATGGTAGATATTTTGCTCAAGCTACTGATGAATTAGATTTTAATTGGTTATTATTAAAACAAGGCTCAAAAGATCAACCTACTTGGGAAGAATGGACTGTACAACAAGCTATACAATTAAGTTTAGATAGTGGATCTAAAGGTAATATCGGTATTGACCCAAGATTAATTACTTATAAAGCATATCAAAAGATAAATTCCATTATTGAAAAGCAAGTAGCTAAGCAAGATACTGAAGTAGATGTTGAATTAGTCGCTGTTGGTGACAATTTAGTAAACAAAATTTGGGAAGAATTTGAAGAATTACCACCAGCAGCTACCAATAATCCAATTACAAGTTTAGATATAAGTTTTACCGGACAAGATACACAAGAAAAGTTAGCCAATATCAAAAAGGAATGTTTTAAAGATAATGTAGAAGGTTTAGTTGTCACTGCTTTGGATGAAATAGCTTGGATTTTAAATTTACGTGGACAGGATATTGAATTCAATCCAGTTTTCTACAGTTTTATGATCATTACAAAAGATTCCAATAAATTATTTATCGACTCCCATAGAATCCCCGCCGAAATTATCCAAAAATTACAATCAGCAAACATTGAAATCTTACCTTATGAATCCTTTTATACCTCCTTAGAAGCAATCTCCAAAGAATTTGCCGTCAATAACAAACAGTTTTTCATCCCAGATAATGCCAGTTGGGAAGTTGTACGTAACTTAAAATGCTCCTTCACTTCAGGTCTCTCCGCCGTGGAAGATCTTAAAGCAATGAAAAATGAAGTTGAATTACAAGGTGCCAAAATCGCTCATTTGAAAGATGGACGTGCATTGATTAAATTCTTTGCCTGGTTAGAAGATCAATTAATCAATCAAGCTGAATTAATCGATGAATGTGATGCCGATGATAAATTAACCGAATTTAGAAAACAAGAAGATAATTTCGTAGGATTATCATTCTCAACCATAAGTGCCTCGGGTGCCAATGGGGCAATTATCCATTATAAACCAACTAAGGGACAATGTGCCATGATTAACCCCGCCAAGATATATCTCAATGATTCAGGTTCACAATTCTTAGAAGGTACAACTGATACTACCAGAACAATCCATTTTGAAACCCCAACTGAAGAAGAAATTAGGAATTATACGCTTGTGCTTAAGGGACATATTGGACTCGCTAATTTGAAATTCCCAGAGAACACTACTGGAAATCTCATTGATTCTATCGCCAGGCAACACTTGTGGAAATATGGACTTGATTATGGACATGGAACTTCTCATGGTATTGGAGCATATTTGAACGTCCATGAAGGTCCAATCGGAATTGGTCCACGTCCGAATGCCGCTGCCAATCCTTTAAAGCCTGGTCATTTGATCTCGAATGAACCAGGATACTATGAGGATGGAGAATATGGAATCAGGTTGGAAAATGTTATGTATGTCAAAGATAGTGGATTACAATATAATGGTAAGAAATTTTTGGAATTTGATACGGTGACTAGAGTTCCATTTTGTAAGAAATTAATTGATGTTCATATGTTGAGTGATGAAGAATTGGGTTGGTTGAATTCTTATCATGCCACTGTTTGGAATGACTTAAGTGACACTTTTGAAAAACATAGTTATGTTTATAAATGGTTAAAAAGAGAAACAGAACCATTGGCTAAAGCTTAGAATTTTACGTTCCCCACATTACCACTACCCTCCTTTTATTTTCTAATTTTTATATACATTATATTGCTATAAAAAAACAATCTATCATATCTATAAACTACTCTTCGAAAAGTATTTGAATCTCCTCAATCCGTCTCTTTCGTCTCTCCTCTTCTTCCGCTCCCACAGCTTCTCCCATCTTTTTCTTCCTCTCCTGAATCTTCAACATCTTCGTCTCAATACTATTTTCCATAATAAACCTCACCACTTTCACCGTCTCGTTCTGACCAATTCGATGTATTCTATCAATCGCCTGCTCTTCAATACTTGGACTCCACCATGGATCCATCATAAACGCCCTATTTGCCGTTGTTAAATTCAACCCCACCCCACCGGCTTTTAACGACAATAACAACACAACTACTTTTCCATTCGTTATTTCAGCATTAAAATTCGTTAACAATTTCTGACGATCTTGAATATTTAACCTCCCATCGAATTTATATACAATGAACTCATCATTGGTTTGTAGTTTGAGTTCAGTTTGGATTAGGTCTAAATATGACGAGAATTGGGAAAATACAATACATTTCAGATTTGGTGATTGGGTTTTGATGAGATGTAAATGACGAATCAAGGCTTGGATTTTCGATGATGATCGATTTGGATCATGGAGATATAATTGGAAATCATACTGTTGTTGGGATTCAGTTTCCTTTTGGGTATGAAATCGGATTTCATTGGATGTGGTGGGTTGATGACGGATACGAAAGAGTTTATATTTGGAGATTGGTTCTCGACAATTAGGACATTTCTTTTCCGCTTTCCCGTCATTGAAATCTAAATGTTCTAATAAACATGAAAGACAATATGAATGTCCACAGGGGGTGATTGTCATTTCTCCAATTGGAATTGGAGTAGTGGTACATATCGAACATTCTGAATCGGTCGTGTTTACTTTTGGATATAAACCATACATTATCTTCTTCACCTCAGTATCATTTTCAAACTTGTGTTGTTGTTGCTGTTGTTCTTTAATCCCTTTTAGAAACAGTTTCATTTCTTCATCTTGCTCCATATCAATCACTTCATCATCCATCTCATGTGCACCGCCAATTAAATCCATGTGACAACATACTTGTCTCAACCTTAAAATATGAGTTAAGATCTGGGTATATTGTCTCAACAATTGTCCCGACTTAATCCCCTCTGCAAACGAAGAATGAGCCCGTTGTTTAAACCAGGAATACAATTTCTCCTCTTGTTCATTAAACTTAATCTCCTCAATCACAACCTCTTTCTCAGGTAATTCAACTAATGGTTTCCCATCTTTCCCCTTCATATCTTTTGTCCTTCTTAAAAAAATCGGTTCAAGAATCGATTTAATCACATCCAATGTCTGGAAAATCTTCTTTTGTTCAAATGGTAAAGTTACAAATGTCTTCCAATATGAGAAATTACCCCATGGATCCAATTGTAAAAACTTAGCTAATGAATATAAATCATCTAATCGATTAACAATAGGTGTACCGGTAAGAATCCATTTCCGGTCCAGATCGAGTTCATATACCGATTTGGCGGTTTTGGTATTTCGATTCCGGATATTGTGTCCTTCATCAAGAATAATTCTAAAGAATTTAACGGAATATAATCCAATTTGGGGAAGATTACCTTGTGAATCTCTTCCTTTTGAAATTCGCGTGAATTCATTCAAGATTGTTCCATAAGTAGTCAACATGATCACGGGAATTTTTTCATTATTATGATTACATAATGAAAATGTCAAATTTGATTCAATTTCATCTCCATAATATACTCGACATACATGATTCTTATTATTATTACTGGTTTCAAATTCTTGTTTCCATTGGGATAAAAGTGACATCGGCACAACTATCAAAGTTGTTCTTGGCGCATATGGTTTCTTACCCTTGGTTATTCCAATCTCAGCATCAACATCATATGGAACCGAATTGACTAAAGCTAGAGTAGAAATAGTCTTTCCTAATCCCATTTCATCAGCCAAAATCCCACCTCGTAAACTATTCTTAATAATTGGTTTCTCAATAGAAAGCTCTCCATTATACATATTCGCATAGAAATACTTATTATTATCTTGCGAATTACCTTGAGTGGGAGTCGAGGTTGTACTAGAATCATTCCCAAAAGATCTATCCCTTGGCCATTTATATCTCCTCCAAAGAGGATTCATAGTCCCTGATTCATTCTCTTGAATATTTCGTCTACCTTGAGTAGACAATCCAAGTTGTTGACCATCTTCTTGTTTTTCATTAGATAACTTATCCAATACATTAATTTCATTCTCTCGAGTTAACATCCATGATAATCCGTGTTTTTGATATGGTCGTAAATTGAGATTGAAATTCTCTTTTGGAGGGTTTGTTGTTTCAGGTAAATTATCTAACAATTTGGATTGATTATTCTCTTGATAAAATTCACGAAGTTGATCAAGATTAAGTTGTTGTTCTGGCTCGTCGGAATCCTCTTCTCCATCTGAATCGAGATCTATTGGATCTTGTGAGCTTATTTGTTCATCTTCTTCTGCAACCTCATTATCATCATTGGTGATTCTAAGGGGATGAATCCTCAATCTTTCAAATAAATTAGAAAGTGCAAATTGTCGAAGTCTCAAAGCCGCTTCTCCATCAGTTTCAGCTGAGAAATTAAACCCTGTCCTGGTTGTTTGTTGTTGCTTTCTTTTCAAGTTATTTAAATTACTTTCCTCTTCATTTATAGCGTCAAGATTCTTAACAAATCCAGTATTTTTCAAAAATACATCAATCTGAATAAAAAATGAATCACCTATACTCAACCGTTTCTTCGTCTCTTCCAAAATAGTTGTTTCAAATTCAGCAATATTTAAATCAATCAACGGAGATAATACCCTAGTTAGCTCTTCCGGTAATCTTCCAATCTCCCGTTGTTGTTCATCTTGAGTGCATAATCTAATAATTGAACTTTTTTGCATAGTTGAATTTCTCGGTATTAATCGTTTAACATGTAATTTTTGGGCATATTGCAAGGGACGGAATATTGGTCTTGTCGCCCATGCCTGAACGTCTATCGTTCCGATGTATTTCTTCCATGAGTTTTGTTCGATTTCCTCTTTGATTGCTTGTGAAGCAAGATGCATTCTCTTCTCTAAGGATTGAAGTTGTGTTGATATATCTTGGCTCATGGGTCTCTTCTTGAAAGATGATGGTTTCTTGGTTTGCTGTGACGCAGGGATTACTTGTTGCGTCTGGGTGGACGGTGGAAGACGCGTCTTGTTATCCTCTTGTTGTAATAATTCATCTATATCAGGAGGACACGTTAAAATTTCCTTTGTTGCCAATTTAACGGCATTTGGGAAATGACTGAATTTATCATATAAATACGAAAGTATAATTGGTGATATATCTCCCACTGTGGATATCAACAGTTGATTAAATTCATTAGCTGAAATTTGTGGTTGTTCTATAATGGCTATATCTGGGGATGCAGATTTATTTTGTTCATCTTCATCATCATCTTCTTCATCACTAATGAAAAGGGAACTAGTTGGTAGTGAAGAGGATGGTGGTGAGGGAGGCGATTGTTGGCTGCCTGTTCCTTCAGACCTGTTTGGAGGGGATGGTTCTTTCGGTATAAAGAACCGCTTCTTTGTCACTTGCATGTAAGATGTGGTATGATTCTCTAATTGATCATGGAGTGTGAGTAAAGATGCGTCTTTATTTTGCTGTTGGAAATTTCTTTAGATGCGCGTTTTGTATTGAGGACCTTGTAGGAGCTACCAAGTGAGATTTTTGCAACCATTATAAATCAATTTAGTGTAAAACAAATAACGTTCAACGTAAATATAATCACCCGGTAATATTCTAAAAGAACGGAATACTTTTCAAACGAGAAGATAATTGACAGTAAATGTTAATGTGTTTAAAGATGAATGTGATTCTTCCTGTATGAATGGCTAGTTTTACTTATGATTGTTATTAGTCTGATCTATGGTATATTGGTCTATTTCAGTTCAACTACAGTAATTCTAAAAGGGAACGAGAAAGACGTGGATTCCTAAAAGACTAAGAAATTAAATATTCTATGTGTAAGTCAAGAGTTTGGTTCGCAATACACTATGGATTATTGGAGTCATTAGTTAACTAGCTCTAAAACCACGTACCTTGTGTTCGCTTGGCAGAAATCCTATCTTTGTAGTGTTCTCTGGGAGATGGATGTTTTTATTCTTGTATCAAGTAACTAAAAGGTTAATTAATATAAATATAGAAATAGAATTCTAATTTTTACAACCAAAGAAGAAATTAAATTGAAATATCCCTTGTATTCTTTTTTTTTTTACAACCAAATTTTGGCAACCCTTCAACAAGAGATCAATTTTTTTACAACCATTAATTAATTCACATTAATCGTGTTAAAAACTAACATAGAAGCTCTCCTAACTCTTCCCTATACACTTGTGAAAATTGTGAATCCAATTGCATTTCAATCCAAATTTACTAAAAATACAATGAATCTTTGGCCTTCCATACTTAAACTGGATTCCTGGTTATTGGTTCCCGAAACAGAGGAATTTCACCTCGTTGGAGGTATCCTCTTTTTCTGTGCTACTTGTAAGTTGTTCTTCTGGGTTTTCCCTTCCAGTGTTTCAACAATTCAAAAGTTCGGCGACCATCTCCATGCTCATTTAGCCTATGTCGATGAGACGGTTCTCAACTTCGGTTCAACTATTATGGGGTATAATGATTGATATTATCATTTTATGCACAATAGAATGGGATGAAATCCTTCTTGCAAGTCATTAGAAAACTGCAACTCTTTAGGTGATATCATGGAAGATGATTATGGTTGTTTGGAATTTCATCGCATCGTAATGCACGAAGGTGGAACAAGGAAGGATTGGATAAGATGTGTTGCTAAAGGAAAAATAAAGTAGGAAGTTATGAGTTTAGAGTAATTGCAGACATAACTATGGGGTATAATTAATCATTCTCTTATTGAAACTATTTTGTGGATCCCATTATATTGGAACTTGTATCAATCCTTAGTTAGATTTCTTTAAAATTTTATGTCAAGTTAGTTAATGAGTTTGTTTGTCTTTTCATTCAATTGATTGTAGTACCAAATCTTCTCTTTCATTAGATAGCCCCCACATTAATTAAGGCGTTTTCAGTCCCAGTATATGCAATAACCACCTCATCGTTCGTTATTTGTCTTTCTCTTCATTTCTATGTAACAATGATTATCCAATTAAAGTCAATGCATCTATAGAGGGAAGGGGTTATGTTTGTCTCCGAGCATGAACGAAGTCGACATATATCCAATGATATTGAAGGGTCGAGATGAAAGAAAATGCTATAATTCTCGGAACAATCATACAAAAAAAAAACTCAAATATGTAAAATATTTCAATATCCAATCAAAATGAGATCCTATCGCCTTACATATTAATTTAAACTTTTCCACATATTGAAATCCAATATAGGTGTTTTGAAATTGCAAAAAATTCTATCGCCGTTTATTTTTTTATTTTTTGTAAACGAAATTCTCCGAATTATTCCTATTTTCTCCCCCCGCTTTAAAATAACGGTTAAAACTTCAAAGAGAACAATATAAATTCGTTTAATACATAAACATAGAAAAAAGGGACGTGTAAAATAGATCAATTCTATCGCCGTGAACATTTTCCATTTACATGACCTACTTCCTTTTTGCAGTCATTATGATGCTTAATAATCAATTGTGTGCCAACTAGATGTTCTCCACTTTGAATGAAATTAACTCAACAATGATTGACACGCCTTTGATGTGGGGATAGTTGGTGTTACACATTTCATTGATGGGGCTGGTACTTTCTCACACTGTGTCTACCCAAATCTTCTAGTTCTCAAGTGACTGGATTCTTAATAGAAGTAGTTTTAGAGGAAACTATAAGGGTTATAAATAGATATACGATCTATAGTTACGAAGTGTGTCGCATATATTTCCCAATTGGGACAGTCGGAAGAATCCGAAAGTCTTTTTTTTTTCTCTCATTAAAAATTTAGTTTAGTTAGTGCTTTAGATAGATATTGTACTACTATCAAAAAAGATTAGTCACTAATTAAGCAAATTCTTTATCACTAAAAAATCAAACGGCAATAGAAAAATAAAAATAAAATTTTTCAAACTCCACTTTTTATTTTCTTTCGCAATAATTTTTAACCTCTTCTTCTTCTTCCTTCTTACTTCTCGGTTATTATAAATAGAACCGGATTTATCCTTTTATAATTCTGAAAATCTTAATAGAAAAGTAACCAGCATTCTATAACACATAATGACTTCAAACACTAAACCACAATCCAAGAACTTACGTCACTTATTATCTGATGAAGCAAAATCACGTCAAAATTCTCCATTAAAATGTGCATTTAGATTCTTTGGTCAACCAGGTATGACTTTCTTAGGTGGTGGATTACCATTATCTAATTATTTCCCATTTGACAAAATTACTGCTGATATTCCAACTCCATCTTTTGAAAATGGTATTGGTGCTCAAATCACAGAAGAAAATAAATCTGTTATTGAAATTTTCAAACGTAAAGAATTAAATGATCCAAAAGATCATCATGTTGAATTAGCTAGAAGTTTACAATATGGTTATACTGAAGGTGCTCCTGAATTAATTAATTATTTGAAAGAACATACTGATTTAATTCATAAAGTTCCTTATGAAGATTGGGATTTAATTGCAACTGTTGGTAATACTGAATCTTGGGATTCTACTTTACGTACTTTTTGTACAAGAGGTGATTGTATCTTAGTTGAAGAATATTCATTTTCTTCTGCTTTGGAAACTGCTCATGCTCAAGGTGTTAATACCATTCCTGTCAGTATGGATGAACATGGTTTGATCCCACAAGCTTTAGAAGAAGTTATGGCCAATTGGATCGGTAATCAACCAAAATTATTATATACTATCCCAACAGGTCAAAATCCAACTGGTTCTTCATTAAGTTTTGAAAGAAGAAAAGAAATTTATAAAATTGCATGTAAATATGATTTCATAATTGTTGAAGATGAACCTTATTATTTCTTACAAATGGAATCTTACACTAAGGATAAAGCTGCTCGTGAAGGTAAAGCAGTTCATAACCATGAAGAATTTGTTGACGCATTAGTTCCTTCTTTCATCTCCTTAGATGTTGAAGGTAGAGTCCTTAGATTGGATTCTTTCTCCAAAGTCTTGGCTCCAGGTGTAAGATTTGGTTGGATTGTAGGTCAAGCCACTTTATTAGAAAGATTTGTTAGATTGCATGAAGTTACTATCCAAGGTCCATCTGGTTTCACCCAATCCTTACTTAATGGATTATTATATAAATGGGGTCAATCAGGTTATTTAGATTGGTTAATTGGTTTAAGAGCAGAATATACCAAAAAGAGAGATGTAGCAATTGATACTGTGGCTGAATTCTTCCCTAAAGATATCGTAACTTATACTCCACCAGTTGCAGGTATGTTTTTCACTATTGATATTGATGCTTCAAAACATCCTAAATTTGAAGAATTTGGTCAGGATCCAAATAAAGTCGAAACTGCAATTTATGAACAAGCAATTAAACAAGGTTCTTTAATGATTCCTGGTTCTTGGTTTAAAGTGGACGGACAATCTTCTCCTCCACAAAAAGTATTACCTGTTAATTCTTCTAAAAAGAATATCATTTTCTTTAGAGGTACTTATGCTGCTGTTCCTTTAGATCAATTGATTATTGGTTTACAAAAGTTTGCTAAGGCTGTTAAAATTGAATATGAATTGTAATTTATTTAATATAATAGTGTATATATATATTTAATTTTACAATATTACCATAGATGACTCGATCTTTCATTTGCGTAGCTTAAAACGGCTTTCCTTCGCTTAACAACAAGGAAATGCGATCATTGCGTTTATTTAAATCCTAAGAAGGGCCCCTAGATAGTCAGTACTACTGGTCTGACCTTCATCTCTGCGATACATTTCTACATATGGCTCATCCAGTTTCTTTTTACAATTTAATTAAGAAACTAATAAATACAACCATGTACCTTAACAAGTTGAGCCGAGCCAGTGATTGATTGTAGTAATCCCTTCATATAGTTGTCTGTATCAACCCATAGGTCAATAAACTTTGCAACCAAGAAGTCGCACTAGAGGGAAATGAGACATTTTTCAATACCAGTAAATGTCGCATAATTCTTCAGTTAACTTTTCTGGCAGCACGGTTGACCTTCCTAGCAAAGACAGTTTAGTTTAGTTGCTAAGTCAATAGAATACAATTATGCAAATATTAAAGATCCCATGGCTAGGACATAAGAGTATGTGCAATTATCATCACTATAGTCATTATAGAATAGCATCAACAATACTAACAATCCCATCTAGCTGAAAACAAAAACATTGAATGTTATTCAGTCACGGTCAACAATGATGGAACAAGATTAGCATCAGGGGGATTAGATGGGAATATAAAGATATGGGACACAAATACCATCAATCAATTCTTCCAACTATCAACATTGGAACATACAACCACCAAACCAAAATCCAAAAAATCACCACCTGCCCCGTCATCAACCACAACCAACTCAACAACCACAACAATCGAAACCTGTGATCTACCAGATAAATCGCTTCGTCGACCCCTCTGTTCCATGTCCAGACATAATGGTGTCGTCACCTCCCTAAAATTCTCCCCTGATGGCCGTTTTCTCGCCTCTGGATCCGACGACAAGATCTGTCTTATTTGGGAAAAGGACCCCGATGCCATCAATCGAAAACAATTCGGGGTTGAAGAACAAGATATGGAACACTGGACAGTTCGAAGACGATTAGTAGCACATGATAATGACATCCAAGACATTTGTTGGTCTCCGGATTCAAATCTCCTAATCACGGTTGGATTAGATCGGTCAATAATAATATGGAATGGTATCACATTTGAAAGAATTAAACGATATGATATTCATCAAAGTATGGTTAAGGGGATCGTATTCGATCCTGCTAATAAATTCTTCGCCACCGCGAGTGATGATCGTACAGTTAGGATATTTCGTTATTATAAGAAATTAAATGAATATAATAATTATGAATTTCAAATGGAACATATCGTAATGGATCCATTCAAGAAATCACCCTTGACTTCATATTTTAGAAGAATGAGTTGGTCCCCTGATGGACAACATATCGCCGTTCCTAATGCTACTAATGGACCCGTCCCTTCGGTGGCGATAATCAATCGAGGAAATTGGGATACGGATATTTCGTTGATTGGACACGAAGCTCCAGTGGAAGTATGTTCATTCTCACCCCGATTATTCCAAGGTGGTAGTGGTGGTAGTGGGACCTCAGGGGAGTTCCATACTGTTGTGGCCACGGGTGGTCAAGATCGGACATTGGCGATTTGGTCTACTTCGAATGCGAGACCGATTGTGGTATTACAAGATATTGTTGATAATTCAATCACTGATATAGTATGGGCACCTGAGGGGGAATTATTGTATTTTAGTTGTTTGGATGGATCAATTACGTGTATAAAATTTGATAAGGGGGAATTAGGGGATGTTGTGAGTGCAGATATGATTGATGCTCAATTGACTAGATATGGTGCTGATAGGGAGACTTTGATTCTACCGGAAAGTGTTGAACAATTATATCTTGAAGAGATTGGGAATGATAATAATAATATACCGAGATTGGAAAAGACTAAGAAGTTGACCAAGAGTGTGACACCTACCCCAACTACAACAAGTGTTGTCGCCTCACCAGCTGTCAAGTCGAAATCTCCATTGACTACCAGCAAAGTGGCAGACGGAGATTCAACCACTACGCAATTACGAAAACAAAACATCACAATTACCAAAAGTGGGAAGAAACGAGTTGCACCATTATTAGTCTCCTCATCAACCAATAAATCCACCAATATAAGTCAGCCACAACAACCTTCGATCAAAAAGAGAAAACTCGCCCAGGGTAGTAATCTCAGCTCCAAATTATCCCAATCAACCTATTTCCTTCCTCGACTAGGTCTAGCCACCTCCATCCACGGTCTCAAACAAAAAGAATCCACCCATGCCGCGATCTCCAATGATGAAGAACAAGATAATGATAACGAAGACATGGGAGGCGATCACCACACCACCACAACCTCAGGTACTTCAGCCTCAGGCACAACCAATAACAATTCAAACAGTGGCACAATATCAGAACAAGCTCTCAAAAGACAAAAAAATCGTCAGAGACGAAAAATCATGGAATTGAAATATCCATATAGTTTCAAACATGTGACCACACTTCCTGAATCTTTATTTAGTAATCTTGCGATATTGAATCATGATGTGAATAGGTTGTATCGGGCCTATAGCAGTCAAGATAAGGAGGTTGTATCTTCTGAGATTTCTTCGGGGAGTGCGTTGGATATTGATGAGGAGTTGATGTTTAGTGTGGTGTTCACTCTGGTTGAATCGAAATGGAAACAAATGGGAACTGATCAAGTGGATGATGGTGGTGAGATTAAGGTATCGATTGAAGTGAGGAATGGAAAACCATGGCCGAGATATGATGATGAAATTATCACGAATGATAAAATCGACTTTGACGACCCAACAAGAGTTATCGTATATGATAATCAATCTGATGAAAGACGATTCACGTTATTCTTCCCCTATAGAATCCAACATATCCTCCCAGTAATCATCGACAATATTCTAGAATATTTTGTGTTATTTTCATTCCAGGGTACGATTCAAATCATATCGGCACATACTGGATCCTATACTTGTCCTAGTTTTGAAATCGGGGAGAATATAATCATGACGAGATGTAGTGGTGGATATGTTATGATCTTGACTAGTTCGGGGTTGTTTTATACTTGGAAATTATCCCCCGGTAAACCTGTTACGAATCCAATTCGGGCAGTTTCGATTGCGACAGTGTTGAATAATGTTGAGGTTGTTGTACACCTGGGAGACGATTCTAGGAGAAGTACTACGACTAGTTTGATTATGCCGAATGTGAAAGCCGTGGATGTGGATCCAAGAGATGGAAGTCCATTGGTTATGACGGATGTAAGTGCTGATGTCTATGGATATTCTCGGGATTTGGAATGTTGGATTAAGATTGTTGATAGTTGGTATTTCTCAGTTGAACCAGGGATGAAACTTGCCCAAGATGAAGACGAGTATTCGCGTGTTATTAATCGATTGATAAATAGAGCTAGGATAAGGTATGATGAAGAAGTAAGATTAAAACGGGTTTATGCTTATGAATTTGAACAAGATGATAATGTATTAAAGCAAGTAATGACTGAAAGAAGTAAAGAACTTATAGAGATGATATAAAGTACATATAATATACAAAACAGTTTATTCTTTTACTCCCACAATCTTTTCTGATTTTGTTGGTTTGATTGGTTTGGAAGGTTTATGTTTAAATGGGAAACTAAGGATAAAGATTATTGAAGATATAACTGAATTAACAGCATACATCCAAACAGTTAATCCAATAGTACCAGAAGGGAAGAATGGGAATGCTAATAATCTTTCAACATACCAAGGAAATACACCTTCACTAAGATAAAATAAATGAGTCTTTCTTGCAAATATTCTAAAGAACCATAAAGGTAATGTAGTAACCACCATAATAACCAATCCCGTTAATTTATTAATCTTTACTTTATTTCCAGATATAATTTCATTTAAATCTTGAATTTCTTTAGTTAATGAATCACATTTTCTATTTAATTTTGTCCATTTAGCATATTGATCTTGTGCACTAATACTTCTCTTTTGTTTATTAATTTCATGTAATTCTTGTTTCTTAAGATGTAATTGAGTAAAATTGGGAGTAAGATTAAATCTTGTACCTAATTGAATATAACTTAACCAAATGAATTCTTGAATTGTTGATTTACCAATTGTTGATATTAATTGTTTAAATATAAGAACTAAGAATACCGATATGACAACCGTATAAGGATCAAAATCAATTGTTAGCATGGCCATCTTGGAACTACTACTATCACTATACTATCTAGTCTACTGGAATTGGAATTAGAACGGAAAGAAGAGAAGAGAAAAAAACAGTACGTATGAATTGGAAGCAAGATTTAGGTCAGACTCATTTGGTAGGGCTGACTTGAATTCAATGGACACACAGTGAGAGAACAGCGCAAGGCGAAAAAAGATTTCAAGGCGAAAAGAAAATTTTGATGTGTTTAAGTTTAAAATTGATGATTAAACCAAAGAGATTAGACACATCACTAAAGTAATTATCATCTAAAAGGGAAGAAGTAGCCTGTTAATAGATTAGACCAACAACCAACTTCAACCATCATACAAACAAAGTTTCAGTAGAAGATCAACATTTCATTTCATTTAATTAATAATTTTTACTTTAATTTAATTTTTTCTTTGCTGGAATCAATACCCGTAGAATTCCAACACATCGACTAACCTACTCAGCACACACCCTATACAAACATATATATATATACGATCCACAAATCATGCCAACTGATCAAGAAGAAGAAGACTTCAAACCTTGGATAGAACAATTCTGTGCCTTATATGGCCATGATTATTTTGTTCCAGTGGCACAAGAATTCATTGAAGATGATTTCAATTTAACTGGTTTATCATCACAAGTTCCATATTATAGAGAAGCGTTATATACCATATTAGATTATCAGGTGGAAACTAGAGAAGACGCAGAAGCAGCAGCCAATAACAGTAATAACAATAACAACAGCAATAAGGATGGAAAGAATGGGAATAATCGTAATAATAATAGCAAAAAGTCGACAACCAGCAATGCAGAATTGCCTAATAAAGCCCTTTTGGCCCATTCAGCAGAATTATTATATGGATTAATTCATGCCAGATATATCATTTCAAAACAAGGATTAACCGCCATGGCATCAAAATTTGAAAGAAATGATTTTGGATCATGTCCAAGATATTTCTGTGATGGAATGCATTTAATCCCAGTAGGATCAACCGATATACCAGGACAAGAAACTGTTCGATTATATTGTCCATGCTGTAATGATATTTATGTGCCTTCAAGTTCAAGATATTTAAATATAGATGGAGCATTTTTTGGTACTACATTCCCCGGATTATTAGTTAAAATGTTTCCTGAGATTGAAAATCAATGTAGAATAAGAATAAATAAATTTAGTAATAATGATTTTGGATTAAAATTATTTGGATTTAAGATTCATGAATTAAGTACAAGTGGTCCAAGAATGAAATGGTTAAGAATGCATCCAAAAACTGCTGAAGAAAAAGCAGAATATGAAACTTGTGAATTAGGAGTGCCTAGATATATAACGGATAATAGTGATCTTGAGGATGATGCAAGTGATATGGATGATGTCAGTGATGAAGAAGAAGATGATGATGATGATAGAACCATGGCGAGTGAGTGAACGTGTAACCGAGGCATCTAAGTGAATAATTTATGTAGAAATGGTAAATCTTTTTTACTACGAGAGAAATAAATGTATATTATTATTAATTAATTATCTAATGAGTCAAATGGACTGGCTTTCCAGGTTCCCATTCTTTAATTGCATTTTGTATATTAACCCAATATTTCAATTGAATACCAAGCATCATAAGTTCATCCCAATTGGAACCACCTTCTTGAATTACTTGTTCAATTAAATTTTCACTATTTTCAATTCTTGAATTATTTTCAATTTCTAATCCTTCAAATTCTGATTCCAGATTGGCTAATTCTAATTGTTCATGAGCTTCTAAAACTTCCATTAAGATATTTTTATATTCTAAAGAATCTTCCATAGATTTATTTTGATGTTCAGATATAATCCTCTTGGATACATCATCTTGAGTTATATCTAAATGATCAGGATGATTTAATTTTATATAATGAGCAATTCTTGTATATGGATTCTTTAATGTCACATATCCTCGATTAATAACCGATGAAAAGTCATTTTTACTACTATCATTAGTTCTATTATCCAGTAGGAAACTTGAACCTATAAGAACATCTGGATGGTTTTCACTTTGTAATTCTCGATATTCTCTTCTTAATTGTCTTGGATTAATTAAAAATGAATCCTTTGGTGGTCCACCATTTGGGAAACTTTTAGGAAATAATTGAAAATATGAAGTTATTGGACGGACACCATTAGTTGTATATCTCCGCAATAACGACAATTGACTAGGGTATCTTATTAACCTTTGTAGAAACATCCTTTTAATTGGTTTTCCCAAGATGATCTAGCCAAGAAGAGATGGAAAATAAGGGGGGGCTCAGGTCCAGCGAAAAATCTCTCTTTCTGCCTAACTTCTATTTTTTCTCGTACCACCGAATAATTTAAGTTCCTATTTGCGTCCCATCTGATTACTTTTGTCAGCCCTACCCATTTCTTCCAAAATCAGAGTAGATTAGTAATAGACAGATGTTTAAGAAAAGAACAGTCAAGACTAAAGACAATGATAACACAACCAAGAGGAAACTCAAAGAATTAGAAGAAGATCATGATCAAGATGATCCCACCCCCATAGAAGCGATCACTAAAAAGCCACTTCTACGCAAATCATCAAATCCTCCCAGTATAGCAAATCAAATCAGAAGATCAAGAACTCCTTCTAAACAGAACACACCTAATATTCAAGAAGATGCAGAGTCTCTAGATACGGATGCAGCCAAACCAACCAATTCTAATAGAAGTATAATCAAAGCCCCACCAAAAAACATCAATATCACAACCATAACAGATTTCCAACCAGATGTATGTAAAGATTTCTGGCAAACTGGATATTGTGGATATGGAGACACATGTAAATTCCTTCATATCCGAGATGAATCACGACAAAAGAAACCAGTTGAAAAAGATTGGGAAAATGTAATCACTAAACCATTGAAACAAGATAAACAACAAGATGAGATTGTTCCATTTAAATGTGTGATATGTAAGCAAGATTATAAATTTCCGATTAAGACTCTGTGTGGGCATTTGTTTTGTAAAGCGTGTTTCTTGGATAGGTTTAAACAAAAGAAGAAACTGGGGTGTTTTATTTGTGGACAGGATACGAATGGGGTAATGATACCGATACTGAAAACTGAACTAGATACATTGATTGCGTAAGCAACGCGAAGAGCAGCACGAAGGTGTTGCGAGGTGTTGAGCTTACTTGTAAAGAGTATGCGTACTACAAGGGAATATCTGCAGATTGGTGAGCCAATAGATTAGGTTCATCTATGTACAAAATTATATAATTTATAGGCTGCGTAAGTAAATAAATGAAGAGTTTTATCTTCAATTCTATACAAATCCAGATTGTTGCTGTTCACCAACAACAATATCATTAGTTTGACGTCTGCCCCCAAACCCTCTCGTATTACTTCCCCTAGTATCCAGTCTAACGTATTCCATACGTTGTTGTCCTGCTCCACCTCTTCCAAACTCCGGCTCATTCACCACATCTCGTTGTGTCCCCACGTATTGAACCCCTCTACTCGATGCCCGAACTTCCACCATCTTTTCAAGATATCCATAAATCAACCCAGCATTTCTAGTACTACACCCATGCATCCAACCAAAAAAAACTCCAATAAGTGGAGGAAAAGTAATAATCAAATCCCACACAATATTACTCTGTAATTTCAATATCAATTTCTGCGGCAAATTGAAATTCTCTTGGGCAATGGTAATTAATCTAGAATGAACAGCATACATGATCAAAGGTCCAATCATGGGCAAGAAAAATACCGCCAATGAAGCGGACCCAATTCCACAATTCATCCCTACACCACAAGATCCGAGGAAACAATTATCATGGGTCCATGCTTGGGATTGGATCTTTTTCCAGGCTTTTTGTTCTTTCTTTGTAGTGAGGTTGTTTGGAAGTCGACGTTTGTTGCCTTGTTCGTCTTGATATGGGTCGACGATTTTGTCGAAGTGTTCTTCGGCGTAGTCGTTGACATAGTCCATGACGATGTCATAGCCGGGAAGACTCTGTATTTGTTGTTGTAGTTGTGACATTCTTAGCTTGTTTGCTTGTTGTGTTGTGCTGTATAGAGATCAGGTGTTATGAAAAAGAAGACAGGTATGTTATGTGTGTGAATGATTGAATCTATTTGCTTCATCGGAGATTTTATAAAAAATTATAGCAACCGATCATGCATCGGTACAATGTTTCGGCAATTAAAAAGTTCGTTTATGCGCATTGCATTGCAGTGAACCGTTTTTTATTTTTTAACAAAGTTTTGTTCAATTACGTGTTTATCAATTCCGTCCAATGATGATTCACTTCCCAATAATTGATTTCTAAAAGCTCTTTGGAATAGGATGAATGTAATCTCAAAAACAAGGGAGCTTAAGCCATTCAGCAACACCGCTTGAGCTTGTGCAATTGTGTTACAAGAGTCTCTGCCTTGGAGAGAAAAAGGGTCCTTATGGTAGGTGGGTCAAAAACCTCGACTTTTCGAAGACCAGTACAAATGGCCCATCAATATTTTTCAAAAGAAGAATCCATTAATGATAGAATTCGAGGGTTGACTATTAGCACCAGTTGAATTGACTTTTTATTTTAAGATTTACAGTATTTGCAATTTCTTTCTTCCTTCGGATTCATCCCAATTGAGAAATGTATTTTTAGGAAGGATTTTTTTTCACACCCACGAGGCAATAACACACAAGAATTTGAAAATCTCCACCACTTCTTTTTCAGCCTTATCAACCACTTACCCTTTTATCTACACATATATAACCAAAGAATGTTTGAAAGGCCGGAAGGCATAGAGAATTGTCGAATCTGGGTCGATGGCTGTTTTGATTTCGCCCATCACGGTATGTCCCCCTTCCCCTAACCCTATCAGTCGTACCCATCATTACTAACTCCCTTTCCAATTAGGCCACGCTGGGGCAATGTTACAAGCCCGTCAATTGGGTAAAGAACTCTATGTCGGAGTCCACTCCGACTCCGAAATCCTCCATAATAAGGGCCCCACCGTCATGAAATTAGACGAACGTATGACGAATGTCCAAGCATGTAAATGGGTCACCAAGGCGATTGAAAATGCTCCCTATGTCACCGATCCGGGGTTTATGGACGGATATGGGTGTAAATATGTCGTGCATGGGGATGATATAACCACGGATGCCAATGGTGAGGATTGTTATCAAGTGGTGAAAGATATGGGGAGATTTGTGATTGTTAAGCGGACTCCGAATATAAGTACGACTGATTTGGTGGGGAGGATGTTGTTGATGAGTAAAGAACATCATTATCCTAAGGTTTGTTCTAAGAATAGTGAAGTGTTGTTTGGGGAAGATAATTTGGAAAAATTTGAGAAGTATGCTAGTGATGAAACTGGATTAAAACCTGGTTCGGCGGTTTATGTGAATTATAAAGATGAATTGAAGGAGATTGTTAAACCAAGTGTTGAGATTGGTGAGAAGGTAACTAAGAATATTGTTTATATTGATGGGGGATTTGATTTATTCCATCCTGGTCATATTGAAATATTAAAGATTGTTTATCAAAGAGCACAAGAATTGAATGCCATAGTGCTAGTTGGTCTTCATGACGATTCTACTATTAATGAATATAAAGGGCTAAATTACCCAATTATGAATTTGTTGGAAAGATCATTATGTACGTTACAATGTAAATATGTTCAAGCAGTAGTATTAGGAGCTCCATATAAACCAACCCCAGAATTCTTTGCTAGATTACCCGGGAAAGTAATCAAAGTATATCATGGATCAACACCTTTAGAAACTGAGGGTGTGTATACCCAAGTTGAAGATATTTATGAAACTATTGGACAACATAAATATGATCATATGAATACTAAATTCATTGTTGATCGGGTTTTAAATAATAAGAATGCTTATGAAGAAAGACAAAAGAGAAAAGGTTGGAAAGCTGAAATTGAAGCCAAATTAAAAGCAGATGAGTCATCATCTTCTTCATTATCATAAAATTTCGTTAAAAATTCATTCTATTTAGAAATACATAAAATATGAACACATAAAACTCATTATCATCATCGTAATACAGATGAAATAGCAGTAAGCAGTAAAAGCTGTAGTAAAATGCAAGCATCTATTTTTCGTCATGATTGAGAGCAGCAGAAGAATTGGCAGTAGTAGAACTTTCAGATTCACCACCAAAGATTTCATTATCTAATTTTTGATTCAATTCGCGTAATTTCTCTTGATTAGTTTCATGATTTGAATTTCTTCTAACTGTAGATTTATTATACATTTTAATATCTTCATCATCTAGTTCATCACCTGGTTTACCCCAATTGAAATTACCAGCACCTTCCTTTTTTGTCTTGGTTGGATCACTGTCATAGTAACCATGATGAGTAAACCATTTTGATTCTTGGGCTTTCTGTTCATTGACGTTCCATTTGTTTGTTCTTGTCATATTGACTTTGTTCACTTGTGACTAATTGGTTTGTTAGTTAATTAAATATAAATATAAATTGATATTGATATTGATATTAGAAAGAGAAAGAAAGAAAGAAAGAAAAGAGAAAATTAAAAAAATGGGAATCTAAGTTTATATTTATAGGGAGTATTTAAATAGGGGGGGAGGAACGGAAGAGTCATGAGAGAGTGGAATGATTTTTTTTTATGTGGGGGAAACACAATGAAGGAGATAGTGAGAATAATATGGTACAAAATTGCTCACACGAGACAAAATGTTCGCACTGAAATTATTCAGGGTCATTCGTTTCTCAAAGCATTGGTCCAATCTTCCGTTTTAAAATTAGCGCGGGTCTCGTACTAGAAGTTTCTAGAAAATTAAACTTTTGTCGACCTAATTTTACTTGCATTGCCCCCACCACCACCACCAACAACAACTAAATTATCTTTGATTTTGCAATAAAATTTATAAATTTATCAATGCTTGCAAAGGAACCCATTTGTATGATAATCCATTGATGGTCCTGTCATTGTTAACCTTCCATGAGATCCATCTAGCCGTTTTCCATGGAAATTTTTCAAATTTTTCACAATACGGCAATCAGTCATTCAATTCAATAAAAATAAATTAGAGAGTCATTCATTTTACGGACCAACCAAAAATTCTCAAAACCCAATTTTTTTTTGGTGTGAATTTCTGTGGCTACGCTGTAAAGTCGTGGTAGAATTTTCGGGACTTCGTGCGAAATTTAACTGCCATATCTATTCCTCTTAATAACCTGATTCTTTTCATTGCTAGTCATGACATTACACAAAAATGTATCTATATCACTCAAGTCATATTTGAGCTGACCCGTAGCTTTGTGAAAAGATCAACTCTGTAATATTTAGTCACCCCATCTTAGTTATTGCAATATAATTATGGCGGATAAAATTTATATTTTTTAAGATGACGTTTTTATTGACGTTGAAATGACATGTGCTGTTAGACTTAATTAAATCATTCGCCAAAAATTCTTCTAATTTTTATTCTAGACTTAAACCTTTTATACGAGATCATCTGATCTGATCTGAACAGGGGACACAGAAGGAAAATCTATCATTGACTTATAATTTGCTTTCCTGTGTTTCTTTGAAATAATATTGTAAATTTCAAAATAGTTAATCTCTTCAAAGGAGTTTATTCAATTCATTATGCGTCCACTCATTAACTGGTAACCGCAACCGGTGCGGCTGAGTTTTTTCTTTGTTCTTTGTTTTTTTTTTGCAACCTTTCTTTGTTTCTCAACTTTTTGCAATTTAAAAATCTACAATCTTTTTGTATTCCTATTTTTTACTTTTATCTTTCTATTACAACTTGTTTAAGAAGGATAATAATTCAAGTGTTAATTCCATCCATTTTTCGATTATAGAACTTATACCAGAACTACCATATTCAAAATACTTTTCAAACTTATATTCATTCTCCTTATCCTCACATTCTTGTGAAGCATACTCAAATTACCCGCTTCAAATCAAACACAGAAACTTTTACATATCCACACATACAACACATACACACAAATACATATATATAATGAAGATTCTATTTTTAATACCACTCTTATTAGCCACTTTAACATCTGCCGATAAAGCCCCCAAAATCAAAAAGAACCCAAAAGATATTGTGGCAATTGCTGATTTCCCCTTTGGTGGTGATAAAGAAATTAAAGGAAATGTTATATTTACCGCTAAACAAGGTTCTTCAGTCAATGTTCATTTCGATATGACCGGATTCCCCGCTGATGGTGCTCCATATTATTACCATATTCATGAAAACTCCGTTCCTGCAAATGGTGATTGTGAAGCTGTTGGTTTACATTTTAATCCATATAATGCTTCACCTGATTGTCCAAAACAAAAACATGATGGATATTGTCAAGTAGGTGATTTACTGGGTAAACATGGTTTAGTTAATACAACTTGTTTTGAATTGAAATTTGAAGATCCTTATTTAAGTTTAAATAAAAAATCAAAATCATATATTGTTGGTAGATCATTGGTTTTCCATTATAAAAATATGACAAAATTAGCTTGTGCTGATATTGAATTAGCTGATGATATTAAATTACAAAATTTAATTTTGGAATATACTCAAAGTGATGATTTGGATCAATTACAAGAATTAAGAACTCCAATTGAAGAAGGATATACTTTTGATGAATTGGAAGCATTATCAGCAGAAACTTATGAAGAATTAGAAATTGATGAATTGTCAGGAGTTGCAGGACAAGATGAAAAGAATAAACATTTGGATAAGAATAAGAATTTTACTGATGAATCACTTAAACCTCATTGGAATATATCTAAAAATTATACAAATTTATCTACTCATGGTGTTTCAACTGATTGTGAAAATTCATCACCAAGTTATACAAGTTTAATTACTCCAGTAATCTTGGGATTCTTTGCTGGTATGTTCATTTAGATGTTTGCTGTTATTGGTGTTGTTGTTACAAAAGAATTTGTGTAATTATTTATTTATTTCCTATATATCTCTCATCCATTGGACGTGTTCTTCCATTGGTTCTTTTGTTTAATATATTAATGATTTAAATTGAAGTATACTAAAGTAAAAAAGAATTGAGCAGCTACAATGCAATTTCACATCTTTCAACTTTCTCTATTCCAAACATCCTTATACAATTAATAACAAGCGCTTTCCCTTGATCAGTTAAATCTCCTAAGCATAAACTCATTCTCTTTTTATTATATCTATAATAAAACCGTATAGGAAAGTCCTCGTCTAAAACTCCAGTTTCAAACCATTCAACAATTTGCCATAATGGAGTAATACCAGGAACAACCATTGGTATTTCTTCCCCTCCGACGTCATCAAAATCATAATATATCCCGTACTTAACTAATAATGTCTTTGCAGCTTCCTCTGCCCGTTTTTCAACTTCAGGATTTCCATAAATATTCTCCGCCACATTTGTTAATTTCTTGTCTTTAAATCGACTTTTAGTTACATCTATTGGATATCCATCATTTTCAATTTCTAATTCCTGACTATATTCATCCAATTTATCTTCTTCCCCCATCACAAATAACCTATCTCCTGATATGTACGGTTTTATAATCTCCATGGGGAAATATGTCTCATTAACAATATCTAATATCTCCCCACCGAATTTCCCTTTATACACCATCTTAGGACAATCCTCAATATAATATCCAAGATAATAATACCCCAATCCTAATTCATGACACATTTGAATCTCTTTTAACGCAGATAAGGTACCTAATGATAAATGAGCATAATCAGGATCCCAAACGAAATAAATCGATGATAATATAGTTGGTAAAAAATCAAGTACCGAGAATGCGATTAGTTTATCATCAAGATAATATAATTCATGAGTTGGCCCAATTCGTTTATTCTCTCCAGATACTGTTTGATGATGATCAGGGTTCCAATTCTTAACCCAATTTTGAAGCAATTCCCATTGGGACTCATTCCCATTGATTTCTTCGTCGCTGAATGGAGTATCACATAAAAACCTCTTAAAACTACTCTCATGGACTTCTGACTCCTTATCACCATGGACTTTCATTTGATACTTCTTATACAACTCATACTTCTCTTTCGAAAACTTACTCGGCTCAAACCGTGTTCTAAACCTCTTTGAACCCTGCTGGGCTTTTATCAACCTCGTATAATCAAACTCAGCATGTTTCTTCGGCGGCTCCATTCCATTAGGACAAATCTCTTTTATGAATCGATTAATCACTTTTCGTTGTTCCTTATTCAATTTCCCCAAATATTCAACATTAGTCCTAATCGTAAATTGTCGACAACACGTCCGTAATTGATCCGGTTTATACATAAAACTCCCCGATCGTCTATATCCCTGATTTATAAACTCGTCATAATCCCGGCATGACATCAGAAACACATGAGTACCAATAATGATCGATTGGGGTGGGGGATAGTCTTCTGCATGTTGCTTGCGACTCTCGAGAGAGAAATAATCGGGTTTGGAGAGGTGACAATATCCACATTGTCTGTCTTGGAGATATCGGGGGAGTGATAGTTGTAAGACGGTCATTGAATCGTTTTGAGGGGGATGTGGTAATGAAGTTGATGAACCCATTGGATTGAAGGAATGACTTTGATCTAAATCATGGGTCTATTGGCTGAAATGAAAAAAGGTAAACTTACCCGGATTGGTAATCCTCGCGCTACCATTCAGTACGGCTGACTTGTTTGGTTAATGATACGAACTGTTTGACCTCTTATATAGTTTTGGGCTACAGTGGGAAGTATTCAACTGGGGATCATTCTTATAAATTGTGAGAAGTTCCACATATAGTAGAAGTTGTTGGTGAAAGATGTAAAGTATATAATGTAAAGTTGCAAATTTTGATCTGTCTTGCGATCCTCTGGTAAACAAAGCTCACAAGTTTGGTTCTTCAAGGAGACCATCAAAGCAACTATTGTGATGATCACATAACCCAGAGTAAAGGATATATGACTATTCTCATATTCAGTCAGCAAATTGTTGTAATTGAATGCAAAAAACAAACTGGGCTAAGGACTGACAGTTGATTAAATCAAAATCTCATAAGGGGCGAAAAAAATAAAAATCATCATCACATTCAATTTTCTATCAAATCATTCAAATTGATTATCAGAAAGGTATTCCATTGGCCATCATACATTATCTGTATATATTACATCAATATCATTATTTAATTAATTCATTAATATTCTATCATTATGAGTTCAGCAAAAACAAGTCCAATTAAAACCAGTCCCACCAAAAAAGTTACAGCATCCACAACAACTGCAACAGCAGAATCATCATCATCCACAACAACCGGCAAAACAGATGATCCATTCTTAGAAACCTCCGCAGCAGTGGACGAAGATGAGTTAGACCCATCAATATTATCCGATCCCGAAGATTATCTAGAAGAAAACGAATCACTTGATATGAATCTCACAAATGGAAATCAAAAGGTTTGGTTAGTCAAATTACCGAGATATCTTATGGAAAAATGGACAAGTGAAGATATGATGAATGGGAAACAATTAGGAATGGTTAAGATTAAGAAAGACATGGGCACCAATGGGAAATTACAAGTGAAATTAGTCCTAAACCAAGAACAAGGCCAATTAATCAAAGATGTCCCACAAGAATATGATATCAAGATGTTGAATACACAAGTGAGGAATTCATATGCGTTTAGTGAAGAGAATTTAAAGAAATTTAAACAAGAATTAACTGAAGTTTCAGGCATGCCACCAACCCCAGCCCCTCCACCACCACAGGCAGATCCTAAAGATACCAAAAAGAAGAAATTCGTGCCCCGGAAACAATTTAAATTCTTCCGTGTCCAAAAACAAGGCACCGATGGACAACCAGTCCGGAAATATATCCCATTTGTGAAAACCATCCCCAAGAAAACGTCATTAATGGGGAAAATCGTTCATGATTGTCAAATCATCCCATCGAGAAATGATCTGAAATATGGGGAAATCTTATTAAATCGACAAAATATAACCCAAGGTCCACCAAGACCTAAAGTGACGCTATTGAATGAAATCCCCGGTGTTATTCAATCGAATGCCGGTCCATCCATTAAAGGAAGTAATACATCCGTGTTTTTGAAATCAACCACGAGTGCAAAGAAGAATGCAGAAGGGAGGGCAATTAGAATGCCAAAGAAGGATTTATTGGATTTATTGTTTCGATTATTTGAAGAATATGAATATTGGTCAATGAAGGGGTTGAAAGAAAGAACAAGACAACCTGAATCTTATTTAAAGGAGTCCCTTGATTCTATTGCAAATTTAATTAAAAAGGGTCCATATACTTCGAAATATAATTTAAAACCAGAATATAGAAAATTGAGAGATGCTGAAAGAGCAGTTAGACTAGGGTTGGATACTACTGAGGATAATGAAAATCAAGATGAGGATGAAGATGAAGAAATGGAAGATGTTGTGTAGTTCCATAGTGTGTGTTTTATAGATTTTCAATATCAGGTTTGAGTAAATTATATTTGTTTCTCTTTTAACGAATCTCCGTTATATATTAAATATACATAGATTTGGGGGATGACACAAGCTAGTTTGTAAACGTTTTAATCATTCACATTCAACTTGATAGAAATTATATTATATCATTACAAAAAAACCATTAACTATTCTTCCATTATATAAAAATTTTTCAACTGTAAGTGAGTTCCTCTATATTATTATTCTCTTGGAAAAAAGGGGGACACACTCTCTAATGAATTTATAAGTTGGTGATCTTTAAGGTTGGTGGTAAAGATTGTTGTAATTTCTTAGCCTTAGAAGCATCGTTAACAACTAAAGTGTATTGGTATCTTGAACCTCTAACCTTGAATTTGGTTTGTTTGAAGACTTTACCATTAGCATTAATCTTCTTGTTAACTTTAACAATAGCAGACTTGATGTCAGCTCTTCTAGCTAATTCAACGAATTCTTTGATATCTTTAATTTCTCTAGCCATCTTTGATTATTTGGTGTATATAATGAGATTAACTGTGGGTTGGGAGGTTGATGATAATTATAGAATTTTTTTTCACCTAACTGATGGTACGGTCGCACAGTAAGAGATTCCATCAATCACTATTAGAGAAAAATCATCTTTGAGATTTTTTTTCGCTCTTCTAGTCGTGTGTAAATCAATTTGCTGCTAGGGTTGCTGCCCTAAAGAGTTGGTTTGTTCACGTGACTTACTGTATGTATGTATCTGCTGCCATAATATCCATATCTAGAATCTACTATCTCATTAATCTATATACTGTTCTCTCCAACACTATTTATTCGTTCCATGGCAGTTATTAATCTCTTAACACTCGTAATCCATCTTCTTGTCTTTTCATCAATCATAATATTAGCTGATTTCTTCTCACCAGTAATTCTCAGTGCACTACTTCTTGCATGAATACCAACATTTAAAACTCCAATTGGCCAAGCAACATTCCCAATACTTAATTTCATATAAGATTCATTTGCTTTTCTATAATCTTGTTGTTGAATATAATAAATTATTGTTGATAATGAAGTTAACATATCATCATTTAATTTATGAGTTCTTAATTTATATAATAATTTAACTATATAACGCTTAGTCTCATGTAATATGGCTTCATCATTATTGCCTGGGGTAGGATGTTTTTCCCATTGTTTAATTAATTCTTTTACGAATACTCTTATTTTCAAATATAATTCTTGTTTATGTTTTTGAAGATTAGTGATTAAATCTAGTGATATGAGTTGTTGTGAAGGATCTTGATATAATGGAGCTTCTTGATCTAACCATTGTTTATATTTTGTATTTTTGGATTCATGTTGTAATAATAGCTGTAATTGATTGACTTTTTCTTCTTTTGATAAGGAATTGTCTAATTGACCAAATTGAGATAGTTTGGCATTGAGTTGTTCTTCAGGGATGTCTGTTTCATCCTTACTGCGTGGAGTCGTTGGGGTTTCATTTCGTGTATTTGGTTCTTGGTTGGACGCAATTGGCTGTTCTTCAACTATCTTCGAAGGAGATTCTACTTCCACCGAGGGATGATTCTTTTCCACTTGGTTATTTGAATCAGGAACTGATTGTTGTTTTGATTTCTTAACTTTATTCTTTTTAGTTTGTACATTCTTTCTCTTCTTATTAATTTCTTTCGATAGAAGTTTCGAGAAATCCATATTTACAATAATCGTGTGTATACCCCACAAAAGTATTGCTTGATTATGCTTCTACTTTAGTTATCTTTGTTAGTTACTTATTAACATATGCTTTTTCTTACCACTTAAGCTTGGAGTTTCTTAGGAACTTATAGTAGATAGAAGATACTAGTTAGTAGAGGGGAGTCCTAAGTGAAATGTGTTGTGTGGATATGTGTGGATGTGTTGTTAACTCATCGGGATTAAGAAAAAAAAATTAACCGAAAGTGAATCAGAAATCAAAAATATGAGCGGCAACGGGAGACTCACAGACTCAATTTAAACAGGCATATGATATTTTTTTTCAATTCAATTTCATACTCACATTCTTTTGACTTATACAAATTCTATACAAATCAAATCAACCAACTTATATTTTAATTAATATTCTTCTTCTTTTTCTGCTTTTTAATCGATTTAATCAATAATTACAATTTATAAATAATTTAACCTTTGTTTCTATTGTTGTTGTTGTTATTGACTACCACTGGCAAAACCTAGTATCCCCTTATTATAGCAACTAAAAAAAAGTTTCACACCGATATTACACTACCACTCAACAATAATATATTAACCATACATTGATAGAGACTATACCCAGTGCAATGTCACGAAACGAATCAAGTTCTTCAAGAGGTAAGAGTTCTTATAAATCAAATACTGATGATATAAGTAGTATAGACAATACTATTAATGATCCTGAGAATATAGATGGTGGTTCTGATGAATTAAGAGCACAATTTAGTTCAACAACATTTACAACTCCATTACATAGAAAACCTCAAGCATCTCCATTATTATCTTCAACTCCACCTGCTGTTTCAAAGGCATTGGTTAAAGCATATCCTTATTTATTAATTGTTAATAAAATCTTATCAATTGTTACTTGGACTAATGAAGATTATTGGTTAAATGTGATAATAATGTCATTATATTCAATGATTGTATTATATTTTGAAAGTTTAGTTGTTTGGTTTGGTCATTTAATAATTGTTGGTATATTAAGTTCTTATGCTATATTGAATCATAAAATAATAGAAGAAGCAAGTTTATATCCAACTTTGGATGATGTTGTCCAAGCTTTAACTGCTTCATGTATTAAAGCTGATATGTTATTAAATCCAATAACTTCCTTGAGTTTAACTGCTTATGATATCAAAAGACTTTTATTTACCACGTTATTTTTAACACCAATTTATTTGATTATAACTTTCTTTTTAATTAAACCAAGAATCATTTTATTAATTACTGGATTATTCCTTTTATCTTATCATTCATCATATGCAAGAGTTACAAGAAGAATCCTTTGGAAAATGAAATTAGCAAGATTAATATGTTTTTATCTAACTGGTTTAGATTTCTCTAAAGCTAAAAATCATTCATTATTTGCTGCTGCATTTGCAAAAGTTCAAAAAAATTCCGGATTTGATAATCTTACCAGGAATACCAATACCAATAGCAAACCAATTAGATTTACTTATGTAATTTATGAAAATCAAAGAAGATGGTTAGGTATTGGTTGGACATCAAATTTATTATCTTATGAAAGAAGTGCCTGGACTGATGAATTTTTAAATGAACTGTCATCAATTGAAGAATTTAAATTACCAAATGCTTCAGATTCAAATAATCCTTATGATAATAAATTAAATGGTGCCCATTGGAGATGGGTTGATAAAACTTGGAGATTGGATTTAACTAATGATGGAGCTATTACATTACCTAATTCAAAAAGATCAAAAACTACTGCCAATCCTGGCAATGATGAAGGATTTATATATTATGATAATACTTGGAAAAAACCAACTACTGAAGATACTTATTCAAAATATACAAGAAGAAGAAGATGGATCAGGACTGCAGAATTAGTATTTGATGATTCTCCAGCTGCTGCTGCTGCTCCCACTGTTGAAGATGAACAACCAGCACCTCCAATTGTTGATGATGTAAAAGCTACAGGATCTTTAATTAGTGAATCTTCAGCTAGAAAAATAAAAAGTTTACGATTTGCTGATGAAGAAGAACATAATAGTCAACCACTTACTGAAGATATTGCAGATTTATCTTCGGAAGCTACTATGGATAGTGATGATGTTTCAACTATTGATCAAGACAAACTGAAATCGCAAACTACTACTACTACTAGTGGTAGTGATAGTAATGGAGGAATTGTGCCGGAGACTTCAGTATCTCCTGATAAGAAACGAGATTGATTCGATTTTGTTAAGTTAAGTTTATTAATTATTTAATTCTTTTTCTACTTTCTTTATTTAATTTTATGTGTAAAATACCGAAATCTTTTTATGGAATGTAAAAACAACAACAACTCAAACTATATCAATATCGATATCTGTGTAACTTTTGTTAGCCTTTTATAGATGGTTGCAAAAATCTCATCTAATTCTTCAATTGAATTTCTCGATGCAACGAAAAAAAAATTCATTGACCAAAGTTACATCATCATTGGCAACAAGTCATCGCGTGAATTGTAAGACTAATACTATGTCAAATAAGAACCTTATACTTGCAGTGATTGCAACGGCAACTGCCACTGTCGGCTTAGTAGAATGCTATCACGCATATGAACGCACCCGCAACAACAAATCCACTACCCCAACCTCATCTCCACCTACCTCATCCACCACCACCTCATCAAAGAAACCCCATTCAGAAGAATTAATCAGAGAACAGCTCGCCAGAAACTACGCCTTCCTAACCGAAGACGGCATGGCCAAAGTCCGTAATCAACGTATCGTAATCGTAGGTTGTGGAGGAGTTGGATCATGGGTTGCTACAATGTTGGTTCGATCAGGAGTTGAAAGAATTAGAATTATAGATTTTGATCAAGTTTCATTAAGTTCATTGAATAGACATGCTGTCGCTGATTTAAAAGATGTTGGAATATCAAAAGTGGATTGTTTGAAATCGCATTTATTAAAAATTGCTCCTTGGGTTGATATTGATGCTCGTAATCAATTATGGAATATTGATGTGGCTGATGAATTAATATATGGAGATGAATTTGAACCTTCTTTTGTAGTTGATTGTATTGATAATCTTGATACAAAATTGGATTTATTAACTTACTGTCATACCAGGAAAATCCCCGTGGTTTCATCAGGTGGAGCAGCATGTAAATCCGACCCCACCAGGATTAATATTGCTGATCTTTCCAAAACTGAAGAAGATCCATTATCAAAAAGAATTCGAGTCATACTTAAAAAACGAGGTATAACCACCGGAATCCCCGTCATTTTCTCCGCCGAAAAACCCGATCCAAGAAAGGCAAAATTATTACCCTTACCTCAGGATGAATTCTCCAAGGGGTCTGTTGATCAATTATCTGCGCTTAAAGATTTCCGTGTCAGGATCTTGCCGGTATTAGGTACCATGCCGGGGATGTTTGGATTAGCAATTGCAACATATATCCTAACCACCGTTTCCGGATATCCTATGGAACCAATAGAGGGGAAGAATAGATATAAGATTTATGATGATATTTTACAAAGTCTTGCCGGACAACAATCAAGAATCGGTAAGCCGGATCAAAGAGTACAAATCTCCTTGAGTGATGTTAATTATATTTTGGAAGAAGTGTTTAGAGGAAAATCACCCATTTCTCAATATTCTACCCGATTGACATTGTCGAGATGGAAACCGGATCAAGAGATTTCGTTCCAGAATGTGGTGGTTATGACTAAAGATGAACAAAGAATGCATGAAAAGAGGGTTTTGTTGGGTGGTGAATCGGTGGAAGATGTTTATTCAAAGGAGGTTATTGAACTTGTTAATTCAAGATTTGAAGATGAAAAGTATTATTCTCAGTTTCGCTAGTTAGGTTTGTATTTATAGACAAAACTCTATAGACAGAACTCTATAGACAAATACTATAGAATGTATTATTTATATCCCAATGCATATTTGTCCATCTCTGCCTCTCCCTCTCTGTGCCCCTCGGACTTTCACATGACACCGGTTTTAAAACTGAAATCCGAACGATAAAATCCGGCAAAATAATTTACGGGATGGCGTTCATTTCGGTCCCAGCCATGAGAAAAAAATTTCAGTTCCACACCAACCCTGGAGAACCCTTATCAAACCAACTCCAGTAAACTCAGTACAACCCAGAATCTGACATGTTCAAGTTCAACCCCTTGCGAACGTCCGCCTGGTCTCACATAAGACCCTCCAGAATAATACACAACTACAAACCCCAACAATTTTTCACTCGGTTTGCATCTAGTTCCACCACCACTGGAACGAAACCAAAAGGATTAAAAGCATTAACAAAAGCCTACGGATGGGCTGCATTGGGTGTATACCTCGGCCTTAGTGCTATTGATCTACCCATCTGCTATATTGTCGTCCATTCTATGGGAAGCGAAAAGATTGAATATTATCAAAATAAATTAAAATTAGCATTTGGATATGGTGGATTAGAAGAAGAGGAATTCAAAGTACAACAAGAACTTAAACGATTAGAACGTGACCTTGAATCGGAGAATGACCCAAATGGGAATGGGAATGGAGGGAAGAAGGTGGATTGGTTTAAATATATCATAAGTCAATTCTCATGGACTGAGTTTGCTATTGCGTATGGGATTCATAAATCATTTATATTCATTAGATTACCAATCACGGCTGCGATTACTCCTGGGATTGTGAAGATTTTGAGACGGTGGGGGTTTAATATTGGTGCAAAGGGGTTCCAAACCGTTTCAACTAATCTTACTGCAAATGCAATGAAAGATGTAACTGCTTCATCGGCAAAGTTTGGTACTACCCCTACTGCAAAGAAGAAATGGTGGTGGTTCTTCTAAGTGGGTCTTCTAAGTTTCTTATAGATTTTCATATACATATACATAGACCCATTGCTTTGTTTAATTTCCTTGTAAATACTTTTGACATTAATTAAATAATAAATAAAGAGAGACAATGTTTTCTATACATTTTTATAATAATAATATTAATGATGCCGTAAACTAGATGCTCAATAATTTCTTTGCTCTTTCATAAACAAAGAATGAACATGAAACCATAGGAATAACTTTCATATATCCAATACTCAACCCAATAAAGAATCCTCTTGTTCCACCTTCTTTCCAAATCAATTTTGCCGTTTGACTAAATGAAAGGAATTGACCTTGATTGACCGCTCCTCCAACTTGCATTCTTCTTCTTACAACTTCAAATGGATATGCCGCCGTTTGTGAACACATCCCGGCAAGTCCCCCAGCTATCAATTGTGCATATGCTTTCAAGGGAGCTCTTGTATCTCTTGATGATTTTTTCCCTGGTTGTCTATTTTTATTTAGAACCATTACTTTTTTAAATGTTTTAGGTTGAACTGTATATGGAGCCAATAATTTCGATCGTAATACATCATGTAATAAATCATGAGTATAGAAAGATACCCCAGCATAAGGAATCATTCCCATAATTGTAGGAGCAAATCCACGATAAAAATTACTTATTCTTTGTATTCGAGGGGGGAAAGTTTCTCTCATATATTTCAACCAAGAAGGATCACTTCTTCTAGGGGGAGGATTTTCATTAAAGATTAAACTTATAGTAGATGCTAATCTCCCCTTACGATGTTTCATAAACTGTTCATGACCAGGATGTACTTTGGTATGGGTCAAACTTCTAGTTTCAAATGCTAATCTAACTCTAACAAGATCTAAAGGATAAGTACAGAATACCGATGCTAACCCAGATAAAGAACCAGCCATAAATCGTCTAGGTGCAGTCTCATAAGAATCATTAGGAATTAAAAATGATCTAATTTGTTCATAGGCAACAAATTTAATAGCAGCATAAGGGAAAATACGCAACAAAGTAACTGAATGCCCCTGATATAATCCAGCAAATCTGTCAGTATGCCAAATATGTTTCCCAGCTAATATTAATCCTCTTGTTGTTCCTCGATATTTTAAAAATTCGGGATTTGAAGTTTGAAATAAAATCTTAATTCTATCTAAAGGTGCAACTAATGTTTTGGCAGCACTTCCTGCCATCCCTCCTGCTACTCCTGATATAACTACATATTCAAGCGATTGTTTATCTATAATTCTAACATCTTCAATCGGAGTAGATTGATCATTACTATAATGACCAGGAGCTGGTACTAATTCGAATCCTTCTGGTTGTGGCTCTGGTTGAGGCGGTATTGGATTGTTGGATGTTGCTCTTCCTGTCGGAGGCAATGTAAGTGGTTTCTCTGACATTTTATTTGTATGTGCTGTTGTCTATGCAATATGATGATGATTAATGTGTGTATGAGTTTTTATCTTGAATTCTATTGGTTCTATTTTTAGATGGTTTCTTATTTACAAGGTAGCTCTATCTGTCTGTTCGTGTTTGGTGTCTGTCTTGTCTATCTATCTATGAATCTAATAAAATGACAGATATGTGTTCATTTATGTCTGTCTGTAAATTTTGTTGAATCAGACGTTAATTTATTAATTTAATTTTTAGGTTTTCTCACAGGAACAACAATTTTCTCTCTCTCATTTCTTTTTTGTTTTCTTGTCCGACAAATTTGTTTGTCCCACAAATCAGGAAAGATCGCGAAAAAAAAAGGCGGATTTATGTACAGGAAATGAAAAGGTCACGGAAATGGCCCCTGGGGCGAATAGATGATCAAGTATATGTCATATATATCAACACCCATTCGATTGGGAGGAAAATCATTTGATGAAACAACAATCGTAACATGTTAGTCATTTTAGGGCTTCACTTTTTCCGTAGAGATAGCAACGATTAATACAATATGGTTTTGATCCGCCTCCATTGTGTTACGCATTGCTGCAAAAAATATTGTGGGGTTCTAAATACAAAGGAGAATCTCACAAGATTCAAAAAACGGTTCCCAATGTTCTTTGAAACAGCCTTATTGTTTCTTGGGCGGTTCATATCTTTCTCTCTCTTGCCGACTTCTTCCTGCTAATTTCTAAAATATCAGACCGACCGATTTTGACGAAATTCCAAAAAGAGTCCCACCTGTCAATTTATGTAAGTCCGATAATTTTTTTTTAGGTTTCATTCATTCCAGACAGTCATTTTACTAATATATTGTATGCACTAATTATTAATAAAATTTTACACATTACGGATAATTAATAAATAAAATAATATTAATCCACTATTTACATATAGACGCAACTGTTGATAATAAAGATAAATTATATTTTAAAAGTTTATATGCTATTTATTTATTTAATTTTATGGGGACGGTACGAAAATCAAACAGGGTTCTAGTATTACAAGTATATGTATGTATGTGTGTATGTTATGTATGGGAAAGCAATCTAAAATATATAGGAACGAAAAGCGGTGGTGGGTGGTGGTTGTGGTTGGGTAAAATATAAATAAGTTTTGCAAAAATCAAATCAAACAAAAGTCAAAATCAAAAAAACAACAAAAATCTATAGACATCATAATAACCTTATATATGTATGTGTGGGTGGCTATGTGGGTGGGTATATCATGGATTGCTAGTACATGTGGAACAGCGATATTATCTACTGCTGTTCACACTTGGTGGTCTATATCCTGATGTTCTATCTTTATGATAACTAGATGGAGATCTTCCTCTAATGATTAATGGGGGAGTTTCAATTGAACTTAATAATATAGGTTGAATTTGTAAATCTTCATCTTCAATTATACCCAATAATTCAACATTTAAAGTAAAATATCTTGAATTTGTACTTGAACTTTTAACTCTAATTGAACTTGTGAATTGAATTCTTTCAAATCTAGCAATTCTTGCAATTGAATCACTTGGATAATTCTTTAAACTTGATTCATCTTTCAAAGTATCTAAATTATATTCATTATAATAATCAGCCCTATCAAAAAAGAAAATCTTATTCATAGTTTCCAATTTAGCTCCATTACGTTTATTACAACTAGCTTTAACAGTATCATGATCAGGTAAATCACCAGGAACAGCAGGATAAATTGGTGGAGGGAATTGTGGACCTTTATCTCTTTTTGAAGTATGTTGAATCAATGAAATTGAAACATCATCATCTGAACACTTGGCAACCAATCTGATTGCAAAATAACTAATTTCAACTCGATTTTCACCAGCATGTTGTTGATGATGAGGATGATGGGGATGATTATGAGGTTGGAATCCTCCTCCATTCTTTAAATTTAACCCCTTTTCATAAGTATAAAATTTATTTTGAATAAATCTTGAAAAATCAAAATTCTCGAAGCTGAAAGAAGATACCAAAGTGAAATAATTACGTTTATAACCAATCCAAGTCCCATTCTCACCAATTTCAAACCCTCTATCAATACGAGCATCTAATCTTGGAATAACTGGCATATCATTTGCTTTACAATATACTTCTTGATGTTGTCTAGTTGGACTAAAACGAGGACCAACACGGAATAAATCACTGGATCTTGGAGCAACCTTTTTAAGTGGTGTATCTATAAGATGATCTGATTCACTTGCAGTAGCCAACATTTCTAAATGTTGTTGTTGCAGTTGCGGAGTTGGGGTATGTCTATTTGAGTGTTGTTGGGAAATAGGTTGATGATGTTGAACCATAGCCTGTTGTTGAGGAGTTGGTTGTCGTGAAAGGTGGACTGGAGTATGTTGTCTTTGTTGTTGATGTTGGAGATGGAGTTGTTGTGTTTGTTGGGCCATAGAAGCATGTAAATGATGATGCATTTGAGGTTGTTGTGGTTGAGGGGTATGGATTTGATGAGTCAAATGTTGAGGTAATTGCTGTTGTTGCTGTTGTTGGTATGCTAGCTGTTGACCAAGTTGAGCACTCAAAGCATCCTCTTGTTGATGTTGAGTAAGTTGATGGAATTGTTGTTGCTGTTGTTGGTGTTGTTGTTGCTGTTGTTGCTGTTGTTGTTGATATTGTTGGTAGAGAGTTGCTTGTGGGTGCGACAATATTTGATGATGCAAAGGAACTTGTTGACCGGTGTGTTGCAAATATTGTTGTTGCTGTTGTTGTGCTTGTTGTTGTTGGGAAAGGGAAGGATGTTGTTGTTGAGGCTGTGGAGTATGCAGTTGTGATACTGGAGTATGCAGCATTTGATGAATATGATTCTGTTGGTGTTGCTGTTGGAGGTGTTGAGCTTGTTGTTGTTGTTGGGAAAGGTGGTGTTGATGCATGAGGTGAGGCTGAGGATGCGATAAGTGATGATCAAACCCTTGATGAACAAACAGTTGATGAAGACTATTTGTGTCGTCGTCTTTAATATGAGAAATATTTGCAACACCTGAATTGGCTGCCACAACAGCAGCAGCGGCTGCTGCATCGTCGGCAGCGGAGGTAAGTGTATGCTCTTCAGCTGAGATTGCCATCATCATCTATATGTATGTAACTAACAGGAGGGGGACGGAATGAAGGAAAAAGTTTATTGACTGTTTTGTGGTTTAAAAAAGTTTTGACGCCAAAAGTTTTTTTTTTTAATGAGGAAGAAATGTCTGGATGTTTCAAATAATTTATATTTTTTCTTGCTTTTTTTTGTCTGATGCAGCTATTTTTTTTGTGAATCCGATCTGATTTGCGATGCCGAGCTTTGTCTGTCTGTCTGATTGTCTAAGTGAATGGAACTAGTAATAAGACAACAAAAAATGGAAGGACTATTGATATAAGTTTGATGTTTACCTTTTCTAAATGTCTTTATGTCAGATGACTTTCTTGAAAAAAAGGGGTGTCTTGGAGATAAAAAAATCCTTTTTGTGAAAAAGTTTGTGTATTTAAAAGAAAAAAAAGAAATCAAGAAGAGAGGAAAAAAATCTCTGAAAAAGGTGGAAGACAAAAAAAAGAAATCAAAAAAGAAATTTTTAAAGAATTAGGCTCAAATTGGTCAGACAAACTGTAAAAATGATTTGAAAAATAAAACGGATTTTTTTTCAAACGAAAAATTTTTTATTTTTAATGCAGAGATGAATGGATAAAAAAATTTTTCACCCGTTTGATCATTGTCTGTCAAAACTTAGTTTTTCCAGCGATGATTTTGATTCGATTGGCCAATTCCGGATAACTATGATTGGTTCGATTTCGTCACACTTATACATCATGAATTTCTTCTATTTCTATTTATCAAAAGGAGGGCTTTTAGACTAAAACTAGGGCATGAGATCCTTCTAATTAGACAGGGTTCCATTGAGAATAGTTTCGGTAACTGATAAGAAATTTTACTACAATGGTCGTGTCAGGAAAAGAAATCACAATACCAGCCTGCATCTTACTAAAACAATTCGGTTAGCTCTAAAATTTCACATAACCCTACGAGACAATATCAACTTAGTTGGTGTCAGAGATATAAAGGATGAACCAGTTCGTTAAGTTTCACTCTTGAATCTTTTCGGTAAATATTGTAGTATTTATTCTAATTTATTCGTTTTGTACAGGTATAGATGAACCGTTAACTCGTCTAACCTGCATTCAATTTTTCCTTTGTACATTACAGCAATAGAAACCTCTATTCAGACTATCAACGAAAGAGAAAAGGGTAACCGACACATCAGAGGGTCTACTCCGCCACATATTTGACATACACTTATCTTACTCTTCTTTTAAGTTCTCTAACTATTATTCAAAAATTGAGAACTTACCATTTGGATAATGCACCCTTGGTGATGTCAGTTGAGGTGACGACAAGTACGAAACAATAAGAAGCAAACGTCAAAATAAATAAGCGGTGCGAAATTTCCTGCATATTGAATTTTTTAACCAAATTAAATTAAATTCATTGCAATGCAACCACCTTCAAATCGTACTGGATCTAAAGGTGCATACATACTAGTACTTATGATTTTGCAATAGCCCAAGAGACTGCGAGAGCCAACGTTAGTATACCTGTTGCCGCATGGAAGGTTTATTGTCTATGCGAATCTCTTCTCTCTTGTTTATTAATTCACATTTTATATTGTTCACTCTAAACAGGAGCCATATATGGAACTCGTTTGACCATCGAGGAAGAAGCGACTACAAAGAATAAGCTGAGGAAACAACCCTCGTGACTCTTGGCATACATTTCAAAAAATCTGGGGAAGCACTCCAAGCATGCAAGTTGGAATCGGCAAGACGGTGTTTGTACTCATATTTTCAAATCCCATCGGATAAACTAAACCTTACCCACGGCACAAAAGGAAAATTATCGGCACAAATATTTTATTTTTTCAGTTTATTTTTTTTTTTTCGTTGCAGCAAAAAATAAAAACAATAAACAAACTGTCAAATTGCATTTTTTGTGAAACGACCAATCACAAAGAGCTTTCAATCAATTCGGCACAGTTTGATATAATTATCGCCCTATAGACATTGTCGCCCTTTATTAGGTGAGATTATGTTGTTTATCAAATCTCGGATGTACCCGAATCCTTCTCTCGTATGACATTTAGGGGTAATTATACTGATAAGCAAAAACTAACAATGAATCTAGTTTTCTAGATTTGTGATTTGTTCTGTTTGTGGCTTTATAGAACGAAGTTATAAAATTTATCTTTATAATCATTGGTTGCAAAAACAACGAGTTCAAGAAACGATTGATTGGTATGTTAAACTTTAGAATCTGAGACAAGAAGTATTGCTAGCTGTCTCTTGAAAGGGTGATCTGAGTTTTGATTGAGAACGATTTGTTTGGTGCTGCAAAAAAGAACATGATTTTACTTTTAGTCGCGTGACCTGATGCTATTTATTGTTCTTTGTCTCTTTTAGTCATCCAACCTTTTTTGCCTGTTGGGTCTTAAAACAAAGTGAATGTGATCAATTACTTATTCTCCGTCCATTGAGAGTCTTCTAGTCTTCGAGTCTTCTAGTTGATGTATATGTGACTGTAAAGTGTTTCAAGAAATAGTTTTAATCAAAAACTTTGCAACAATATCAGAAATTTTTCTGGTTTGACTCAAAACTCATTTTCTTGAATTGTCCAAACATTGGTGTTCCTTTAAGGGTTTGTTTGGTAGAAGATTGTCAACTAATATTCCATGTATCCCATCCTCACACAGCGCTACAAACTAAGTCATGATTTGCATGTATAAATTAAAAGACAATATTGAAAGAGGTGACTTGTTTCAAGTGGCATTCTACCATTAAACGGCATTTCTATATTGATGTTTGGATGTTTTTTTCTCTTGTTACATTAGGAGTAATTAATCATTTTGACATCGAAGAAAAAACCTCCAAAAAAAAATAAAAATTTCATAATTCTGGACTTCAATTTTTTTATTCCGAAACCCCAAAAGACAAATAGCAACTTAACATAAATCAGTCACTACAGCCTTGCTTAAAACCTACCTCCCAATAGGAACATACAACACGCTTCAACAAAAAGATCATACATTCCTTTCACCCGTCATCTTCCAATACAACTATCGATAATCAATAGCCGTAATTGGATTATTTGCCTCGGAGCTTTTTGTTTAAAAAATTTTCTATACAAAGAAAGAAGACATTGAAATAGTCATACATTTCTTTGGTTTGAAACATATTTGTTCAGAAATAAAGACGAGTTTTGATTACTAGCGAGAAGAGGCATGAAATGCAACATACAAAGCCGACTTTGAATTCATCAATAAATCAACCTCATCAACAGTATCGCTCATTGTCAAGCACTGGTTTGCAACATCCCCAACCAACCCAAAAGTCACCCTCTCCTGATCAAGAACTGCACATCCACCTCCACCACCACCATACAATTAACAACAACAACAACAACAAAACTATGAATGGCGCAACCGGTAACAATGTCTATACTAATCAAGATATTCTTGAAAAGACTCTGGCACGTAAGGTAGATTCAAAGATGACAACTTCTGAACAATCACAACAAGAGCAACACTACCATCACCACCATCACCATCATCACCATTATGGTTCTTCTGTTTCTCCAAGTTCCATTTTCCCAACTTCATCCAGTTTACGTGATATTCTTGCTGTGGTATTTATTATGCTTTCCCTTCCATTAAGTATTTCCCTTGCATTATTGATAACTTATATTATCTTGGGATCTAATTTTATGGGTGGGAAATTCTTGATAAACTTCTTTTTACAAGATAATCAACGAGTTTTAACTAATTTCAAATCTTTGGGTGTATCATTTATGAAGATGTTAGTGGTTGATATAAGTTTATTTTATACATTAACAAGTATAATTCGTAAGAAGAGTTATTTGAATTATTTTATTATCCTTTCCAAAGCAATTGTTTCAAGTGAATTAATTGGATCTTCATCAATTAATTATATTAATTCAATTTCTTCCAAGAAAATCACAACTAAGATTCAATATGATGATAAGAATAGAATATTCAGTAATAGTTTTATTAATGCGATATTTTGTTTTATAATTATTAATTATATTAATTATCTATTAAATTGGTTAAATGTTTCATTTAAATTTATGGAGAATTTCCCAACTATTGCATATATCAATAATTTTAATTTCCATACATTAAGCATTAAAATTTATTTATTATTATCAATTCATGTTATAAATCAAGCAATCTTTGCCAAAAAATCAGCTATTTCACAAAATTCAATACCCAATTTATCCGATGATATTTCAATTAATGTTGATGATAATAAATTATTAAATATTGAATTGAATGATTCATTGATTAATAAATTTGATTTATGGAAAAGTATTAATAAAAATAATAATACAATTGCATTGAAAAATTTCGAAAATTTTATTATATCACCATTTAATAGTAAATTAAAAGTATTAAAGAATAGACTAAGAACTTCATCAATTTCAAATTTTAATCTTGGACAACAACAACCGCAACCATATGTATCTACTCCAAACAGAAGAGCCCCGGCAGCTACACCAGCAACAACGGCTGCAACAGCAGCTGCAACGACAGCAGCAACTGCTTCAGCAACCGGCGCAAATTCACCCACATCTGTTCCGATGAAAACTACTACTACAACTACTTTATCCACCAGTTCAGCAACTTCCACTTCTTTAACTACAACCACAATCTCACCAAATGCAACAACAATTGAGAATACAATCATTATTCAACCATTTTGGTCAATTCTTGCAGCATTTAAGGCGATTTTACGAAATCCGAATCTATTTAATGGAGAATCTACCAGATGTAAAAATGAAGGTGGTGAATTTAATAGCTCCTCCAGCAAGACTAGTGATCTTTCTATTGTAATGTCTGCGATTTTGATTGATTCTTCAAAAGTTGTATTAAAAGTTTTGAGTAAAGCTGGATCAATGGATTTAGATAATGTTGAAATTAGATTGAATAATGTTAATTGGTCATATTTTAAATTTATTGAACATGAAGAAGAAACCTTTTTAATTATTTATGGATTAACTGGATTATTTCAATATGAAGTTGATATGATATACAATGGGAAATTAATTAATCATATTGTTTTAAGTACGATTAATTCTGATAATGATCAAATTATTAATAAATCATTAAGAGAGACATCTTCATTAACTACCTTACAAATTTCAGTTGGATCAACCATGACAAGATTAAATAATTTAAAAAGTAAATTCAAAAAATTCAAACGGGAAGAAAATAAGAAATTAACTGAATTGAAAAATTCAATTGAGATTATTAAGAATAAGATTTCTAAATATAATGATAATAAACAAGGTAGTGATAATCGAGTATTTGGTAAGATTAAGGGATTAAAGCATTCAGTTATTCAATTGGAATCAGAGATTGCAAGTTTGAATCAAGAAATTGAATCATTGACTAATCAAGAAGATGAATTATCTCAAGAATTTGTTCAAAAGGAATCCGAACAATTGAAACAAGTTGAAGAATTAGAGGAAGAATATCAAGAATATGAAGAAAGAATTAAGAAGTCTAAATTGGAATTAAAACAAATTAAATCTGAATTTAATTCAATTACTACAAAATATTCAAAGTTGGTAAATAAACAAAATAGTAAAACTGAAGAAATTAAGAATTTAAATAATGATTTAAGAAATATGAAAAAGAATGAAATTTTACTGAAATTTTCCAAGAGGATTAAAAAGATAAATGAAAAGTTTGAAACTATTTTACCAAGGGTTATTCATGAAACTGAACTTTTAAAACGTGAATGTGACAATTTACTTCATCCTTCTTCTGAGGAAATTCAACAATAAAATGACAATCAATTTGTATATGTAAATATGGATAGTTTAACAAAGTAGACAGTATCAAGAATAGGTTGCGAAAAATTCCACCAAATACAAAATTTATTAACAAGATATTTGATCTATGCTTACCTGCCTCTATTTACAACTATAAATTCTAATTCTCTCTTAGTGTATCCCCAAGTTTATGAAATCCTCTATTAAAATAAAGTATTCCACCTGATTTATCAGTATAATCATTTACATAAGTTTTATTAGTTAAAATATCAATAACATTCACCACCCAAATTTCATGATGATCAACTGGGAAATTATTTCTTGTTTTACAAATAAATATTTCTTCAACATCATTTAATACTGGTATTTGAAGATCTTGATTTATATTATGTAAATGATAATCTTGACCTAATTTAAGATTTGCAAATGGAGTTGTCATTTCATGAAATACTCGACCATCTTTCAATTCTTCCTTGGTTGTATCTAGTACTTTACCTGATTTATCTTTTTTGACACCTTTGGCGAATATTCGACTCAAACGTACTGATCTGGAAGTAGGTGGTAATAGATGAATCGCAAGGTATTCATTCCTATGTAATTCTGCTGATGTATATGAAGGTAAATGCAAATTAAATTGTAATAATGGATTAGGATATACGGCTAAGGAACATACTGAACCAAGTGTCATTCCATGTAATTCTTTCTCCGATTTGGATATTTGGGACGCCGAAGTAAGAATCATTGCTTGTTGACTTACTCTTGCCATGGCTTTTCTGAATGGTTCCAGTATTGATGATAGGACTGGAGAATTAAATGTTCTCGTTGTGTAATTTCGTACGAATATCATTAGCTCTCTCTCTCTCCTTCTGTCTGTCTAAATATGTCTATGCAAAAAAAGCGATTGTGGGTTGAGTTCTAATAAGAAGGATAATAAGTTTATACTTTCATTAAAATTTGGCCAATAAAACATAACCCCCTTGCTATAAATTGTTTCAATTTTTTTTTTTGAAAAATTTCAGATCTTGATTTTAATAAGAAAAAAGATTTTTTCCTTTTACTTAATTAAATTGATTTGCAACTTAAGTTGTTAACAGCCGTTCAATCAATGGATAACGTTTCCTATTGCTAATGCTTCTACATAGTCTTGACGCTATAAACTCACCAGATGACTCTACGACCCGTTTCAATTGTCTGATTCTCTTTTTTTGGTAAAGAGGACTTCATTTTAGTTCATTAGAATTTAGTAGAATAAATGGTTGCAAAAAAAGAGACCCTGAATCAAGTAAATAGATCCAGCGATTTAAAACACTACTATGACTCTGAAGAAACATCAAATATGTATGTACTATATTTCATTGACGCAAGTAATCATATTGGTTACATGTGACGTTATATGGAAAGTTTGATTCTCATCCGAAATTATTCTCTGTTAATATAACTACTACATAATCTCGTAGGTCTCTCAACTCTTTCTGCAGTATACTTGACTGGCTAATACACTTCTAATTTAATTCTCTTTTAGCTTGTATCATCTTTAACTACAGATATGCATGGAAGTTATATCAAGCGAAACATGCTTACCATGGCAGTTTTATCAAGATCCTGGGGTACAAGTTGACAATCTGGGCTCTCTTTCATTCATCACCTTTTTATTAAAGATGTGAACTTTCCCTGAACTCAATGTTAATCTAATATGATGATAGTCATCACTATTTGAATCTCAATGGGTTTACATTCTTAATAGCATGAATTCTCCATAGAACTTTTTTTTCGGGACATTTCTGCAAATCTGTTCTTTTTTTTGTAGCACCTTCAAAAGCAAGTCGTTTCGTTGCCATTTGGATTCGCCTTTAGCTTATGGAAGTATCCTAATTCACAGTTTATAATCTGCCAAATTAATAAGCGTCTTGGTAAGTTCAGGATATTTAGCAAATTCTAGAAAGAGTTGATCCCATGATGGTATTTCATCACCAAAGATAAACTTCTTATCAATCAAAACAACCAGTCCATCAATTTGAACTTCATTTTCGCCTAAATCCTTTAACAAAATACCATGGCTTCCTTCTTTAATATTGGTATCAATATCTTTCATAAGTTCATTGATTCTATCCACATACAATTTTTCCATCGATTCCATCCAACCTGGTTGCCAAACTGTGGAACCTCTAGATTTCCCTTTGTTTTTTTCAATAAAGTCCTTTGGAGTCAAGTAGTCAGCTTGTACGGGGAATTCCAATGACAAGGAAATCATATACTTTTTATTATTAATCAAATATCTCAATGGAGTGAATCTTTCTGACTTAATATTGGAATCTAAAATAGGGAAAAGCCAATATTTATCCCTAGGCCCTGTTGATTGTGGATTCTTTTCAACGGTTAACTTTAGTAAGTTCCCAGTAGGTAATACTCTTTCAGGACCAGGTATTCGTTTAACACTGGTCAATGCTTGTGCAAATGGATTGAGCTTCAACTGAGTTGTATCGTAATATTTTGTTGCATATAAGTCATTTGATTGTTTATTGTAGCCCTTCAAATAAGCTACTGGGCTCTCAAGAAGAGGATGTCTAAGTACTTTGTTCATCAGCATTGAAACGGTTGATAATCCAACAGTGTACACTTTCCAAAACATTTGTCCCACACTAAATTATTTTGTCGCACGAGTAACATCATCGCAACCAGAAAAAAAAAATTTAGAAATTCTGATTGATCAAAAAAGCTCATCTCATCTTAATCTTAGACAGACATAGAAGGTATCAAATCCAACACAAGTTAATAATGACTCAAGAAGTATTGGAAGCCTTACAGGAAAGACCTCAGGATATATTCAAATTATTCCAAAAAGATGCCGAATCAGAAAACATATTCAATATACTAGCAAAATCTTTTTTGGATCCAATTGCAAAAGATTATTCTGTACTTGATGAGATTTATGTAGATGGATTAGACTCGTCGCAAGTCTTTGGACAAACAAAAATGGTGTTGGAAGGGGTTGGACGATCGTTACTTTCTGAAAAGATCCCAACTTTGAAAGAAAAGTATGGAGGTTTTGAAGAACAAGATGAGGAAGATGAAGATGAGGTTGAAGAGGAACAAGATGAGATTGATGAAGGCTTAAGTAGTGAAGAAGATCATAGCGATGAGCTTGAAGAACGTGGCGAAGGCGATGATAGCGAAGCCTTTGATGAAGAAGAACAAGAAGAAGTGTCGGATTTGGAAGATGACGAAGATGAAGCCAGAACATTACATGAAAATGAACAAGAAGATGGGGAAACTGAAGTTGGATCCGATACTGAGAATGAACACAAGAAAGATGCATTTGGATTAAATGATGGATTCTTTGACATTGACGAATTTAATAAACAAATTGTAGCTTTAGAAGACGATCAACCTGATGCTGAAGACGAAGAAGAAATCGACTATTTCGCAAATTTAAGTGATGAAGATGAAGATGAAGAAGAAGACATGGAATATTATGATGATTTCTATGATAAACCAGGTAAGTTCAAAACTAGCGAAGTTGCCAGCAAGAAAGCACAAGACCAAGAATCGGATGAAGAAGATTTTGATGAAGGTGAATTCGGAGAAGAAGAATACGATAAAGCTGTTGGATCAGCCATGTTGGATTTATTTGCAGATGAAGATGAAGTCAAGCAAGACGAAAAACCAATTGAAAATATGTCATCATTTGAAAAGCAACAAAGAGCTATTCAAGCGGAAATTTCTAAATTGGAAGCTGAATTGATTGCTGATAAAAAATGGACTATGAAGGGAGAGACAACGGCTATTCAAAGACCTAAAGATTCTTTATTGGAAGAACAAGAGTTGGATTTCGACCGTACTGCCAAACCAGTACCTATAATAACACAAGAAGTTACTGAGACTTTGGAAGATTTGATTCGTAAAAGAATTAAGAATGATGATTTTAATGATTTACCAAAACGTATAATAACAGATATTTCTAAATTCCACAACAGACAAAGAGCTGAAGTTTCTGAACAAAAATCATCCAAATCTTTAGCTGAACTTTATGAAGATGAATTCAATCAAGTCGATGGCCAACAAGAAGAAATAAATGAAGAAATCAAGAAACAACATGATGAAATCACTGAATTATTCACAAATATCACTCATAAATTAGATGCATTATGTTCTGCTCACTTCGTACCTAAACCACATTCACTCAAGACTCTCGAGATTAAAGTCACAGACGCATCCGCTCCATCTATTAGTATGGAAGATGCACAACCATTGCATGTTTCAACTGAAACTACGTTGGCTCCTCAAGAAATTTACAAAATCGGTGATGATGCAGTTCGTGGTGATGGTGTAAGAGGGAAATCTCAAGTTCAATTAAAGTCAGGTTTATCTTATTCTAAAGATGAACTAAATAGAGAAGAGAAACAAAGATTGAGAAGAGCAAATAAGAGGAAGAAGGCTAAGGATTTCAGAGATAGAGAAGAATATAAGCGTCAAAAACAAATGCAAACTCCAGTTAACGAAAATAAGAAACAAAGAACTAGTGAAGTCATTGATACTTTGTCTAAAGCAAAGAATATTACTGTTATTGGCAAAAAGGGTGAAAGAACAGATGTTAAGGGTAAATTGGTGAAGTCTGTTTCTCAACAAAACTCCTCCAATTTTAAATTGTAAGACAATTAGTTGTCGATGTATAGTTAGTTATTAGCAAAAATTTAGATACGAGGAAATAAAACATGTATTTTATAGAAGTTCACTAATTTACTGACAGTAAGATCTGCGATCTTAGCTTTGTAAGAGTCGCATATGAAAATTAAGGTTTCACGTTTCTGGGCTTGGTAAAATCCTACCCCACCTTAAACCGAACAATCTTTTCCGCCTAGGCTTATAAATACCAATGCATTGGGTCACCCCTTCCAAAGCCTACTATGCTTTTGGATTAGACAGAAATGGGCCTAACTAACGTTTTAATAAAACTAATTCAGCTCCCCTACATTATCCTTAAAGCCATTGTGGAATATTACACTATTGGAACTGTATATTCACGTACCAATCAAGAATTTCAGAATTCACTTTTTAAGAATGTATATTTCTCGGTGGTTTGTTATATATCCAAAGATATGTCCAAAGATGAAACTAGATTACTTGTCTATAAACCTTTGAATAAAATTATTAAGCGATTCAAGAATCATCCAATTGCAGCCAAATTGAATAATTTTTGTAAGAAATTTGATGAGCATAGTATTTGGATCCACCAAGTACCGGATGATGATTATAATGAGGAAAAGAGTGATGTTTTAGTCTACCTTCATGGAGGTGGATATATGATAAATATAGTAGAAACTCAATTTGTATTCCCAGCTTGTCTATACTATGCGATGAGTGAACATACTAGAAAGAGCCTTTCTATTTTGGTAGTGGATTATTCTTTAACTTTGTTTGGTCATACATATCCAACTCAATTAGGGAGACGTTGAAAACATATAACAATTTAGTTGCATCAGGATATAAAAATATTCATTTAGTTGGTGATTCATGTGGTGGTCATTTAGCACTTTCTGTCGCCCGAGCAATTGCATATCCTAAAGAAACCAGGGAACAATTTGGTCACTTTCCAAAATTCCCCATTGATTTTCCAATTGAAGGTTTACCTCAGCCAAGATCTTTATCTTTAGATTCTCCTTGGATTAGTCCTTGTACACCCGTTCTGTTTCCTAGTAGACACGGTGTTGATTGTACTGGTGATACAGGACCTCCAAATACTATCAAAGGTGATACGTTTGTAGGTAATGCCGACAAATATTTGATTAATAATTTCCTCAATTTTGCAAATACGAACTATGATGATCATTGGGAAAATGTGGAAGCCATTACTAATGGAAGAACCTTGATGATTGTGGGTGAAAGAGAATATTTGAGAGATAGCATTGATGACTTCTATTCAATTATCAATAAGAATAAGGGTTTCCTATTATACAGAAAAGGGAGGAATCCATGCTGCTGGTGCTTATATTGAACCGTTAGATTATGTGTTTAGCTTTTGGGGAAAAGATGCTGTCAATGGTGAATTTGAAGGTAAATATAGGATAAATCTAATTGCTCAGTTTTTGGAACTGATGTATGATAATTAGGGGAGATTTTTTTGCAACCATTTTTTGACAATATTTTTGTTTACACTATACTTCACCAGTCCTTTGTTTGCTTCATTAGTACCTGTTGAAGTTGAATTTTGTGAGATAGAAAGCTTCTTGTAGACAGTTTAGAACATGGTTAAATTTTCTATAAATATTCATAAATATTTCTTAGTCCCATTGTTGAAAGAGAGATAATGAACAAATCCAAATTGGGCAATTTACGAGGATTCACGAGATCTAAAATTTGTTTTCAACCGGAGATTATATAAAGCATGTCTGTTTGAATTCTTTGAACTCAAACTCTATGAGCAATTACATATGGTAATATGTGTTGTGTGTGCTCCAAGCACTTCATGATTCAATTAAGTTTTTCGTTTATTGTATGACGCGCAACCCCTCAAATTTTAAACAATGAAGCTACGGAAAAGTAAACAACTTAGAAAGGCATTAAGATTCCGCCTCTTAGAATGCCAAAGCCTTCTTGGGGTAATGAGCAAAAGGGTTGTAAGTATCCCCTTTTTTTTAGAATAGCGTTTTGATTTAACATTTTTGGTGTTCCACCCCACATTAACCAACCTGTAGGAAAAACTTTTGGAGTGCCAAATTTATCCGTCTGAATTATATATAGTGGCTAGTCAGCATTCAATCTTTAAAGGAAAAAGCATAAAATATCATTGAAACAAGAATGGCTCCTCTCAGCACTGTATGGAAATTAAGTCTGGTTCCTTGGGTTATCATTAAATCCATTATACAATACTATACAGTAGGAACTGTTTATTCGCGTACTAATGAAGAATTTCATGATTCACTTTATAAGAATGTTCATTTAGCTGTTATTCATCATGTCTCAAGAGATGTAACCAAGGAAGAAGCAAGACAAATTCTTTATGCACCATTTGAAAAGAATTTATTTAAATTTAAATCTCATCCAATTGCAGCCAAATTGAATAATTTCGGTAAAAGATTTGATGAACATAGTTATTGGATTCACCAAATCGAAGAAGATGAAACCAGTGACAACAAGAGCGATGTGTTGATTTATTTCCATGGAGGAGGATATATGTTGAATATGTCCGAATCTCAATTTTTATTCCCGGTTTGCTTACATTATGCTGTCAACGAGGAAACAAGGAACAAGCTCTCCATTATGGTTGTAGATTATTCTTTATCTATGTTTGACCATGAGTATCCAACTCAATTATGGGAAGCTTTGAATGTCTACAACAAATTGGTTAAGTCTGGCTATAAGAATATTCATTTAGTTGGAGATTCATGCGGTGCTCATTTATCACTTTCAGTTGCAAGATCGATTGCATACCCTCAAGAAACCAGGGAACAGTTTAGTCACTTCCCTAAATTCCCACTTAATGTTTCACTTGAGACTTTACCTCACCCAAGATCTTTATCTTTAGATTCTCCTTGGGTTGAGCCTTGTGCTAACGTACAAATGCCGGTAAGACATGGCGCCGATTGTACCGGTGATTTGGGATCTGAAACAAGTACTATGGGTGATTTCTTTGTCGGTGACGCTGATAGGGCATTAATCAACAATTTCCTTACCTTCACAAACACTAATTATTCTGACCACTGGGCCGAAGTAGAAGCTATTACTAACGGGAAAACGTTAATGTTTGTGGGTGAAAGGGAAGTGTTAAGGGATGGTATTGACGACTTCTATAAGATCATCAACAAGGCTGACAATGTTTCCTATCATACCGAAAAGGGAGGAATTCATGCCGCAGCAGTATATATCGAGACTTTAGATTATATGTCTGAAGAGGGTGGGAAACGTGCAGTTGAAGGTGATTTCGAAGGCAAATATGGGATCAATCTTGTTGCCCGTTTCTTGGAGCAAGTAGTGTAAGTAATATGTTTGTAGTCTCTAATTCATTCGTGTTTAATCACTCTTCTGTAGTGTATCTTCTGGAACATCCCCGCGCCTTCTGGTTGCTATCAGCATCCAGCATATTTTGACGGAGAGTGCTGTCGTATCCTAATGGCCCGGATACGACGCAATATTTTTTTCTAATGTCATTGGTTATCAAGCCTTGTCAATTCATTGGTAAACTTTGATATCGTTATAGTGGGTTGCGCGGATTGACACTCCAGCTTACTGTAAGTATTCCGGTCCGTATTCCTTAAGCTTGTTAAAAGCAACAGCTGCAAACTATTCAAGCTGGGGAAGTCATATTTCCGTTCTAATCTTGCTAACCAATTTTTGAAAAAAAAAATACTTCGCCCGGAAGGCATAAATTACCGACCGAACCTCAAAATTTCTCCTTAGACCCTCCGTAATTTAAAAAGAAACGATAGATGTGAATTTTATATTTATAGGTTGGGATTTTCCCACCGTTTTGACATATTTTTAAACAGAATTACAGTGCCAAGAACTTTAATGATATCCCCGAGTTTCTTATTTAAATTAGCAGGACTTCCTCCTGTAGTCCTAAAAACTGTATTGCAGTATTATACTGTTGGAACAATCTATTCCAATACCAATCAAGAGTTTGAAAATTCATTATACAAGAACATATTATTATCCGTTGAAGCTCATGTAATAGGTAACTATAATAAAAATGATATGAGAATAGTGACTTACGAACCTATTGAAAAGGTTATCAAGAAGTTTAGATCAAACCCAATGATATCCCAACTACGCAATTTTGGTAAAGAATTTGATGATCATAGTTATTGGGTTCATCAAGCAGATAATGATACCTTGAAAGAAAAGGGTAAGGTTTTAGTATATTTACATGGTGGAGGATATTTATTCAATATGTTTGATTCTCAATTTAGTTTCATATCTGCATTACACTATGCTTTAGATAATACGACCAGCGAAAAGCTTTCAATCTTAGTGGTTGATTATTCATTGACTATGTTTGATCATGTATATCCTACACAAATTCATGAAACTTTAACGACATATTATAATTTGGTTCAAAGTGGATATGATAGTATTCATTTAATTGGTGATTCTGCAGGTTCTCATTTAGCCTTGACAGTAGCGAGATGTTTAGCATATCCTCAAGAAACAAGAACTCATTTTTCACATTTCCCTCAATTCCCATTAAGTTTTCCTCTTGAATCATTGCCTCAACCCAGTTCATTAATCCTAATTTCTCCATGGCCCGAACCTTGCACATTACCAAAACTTCCACCTAGACATGGGATAAATACATTAGGAGATTTGGTCTCCAAACACGATGTTTCTTTGGGAAATTTCTATCTTGGAGAAAACGATGAGGAATTGATTAATGACTATTTAACATTCACAAATACCGACTTTGACACCCATTGGGCAGAAGTAGAACCTATCAATAATGGTAAGACACTTATCCTTGTTGGTGAAAGAGAAGTATTGAGAGATGGAGTTGAAGATTTCTATCATATTATTAACAAGAATGGGAAAGTGCAATATCATGTTGAAAAGGGTGGGATTCATGCTGGATTGGTATATGTTGAAAGTTTGGATTATTTAAGTTGTCGCGGTGGAAAGAGGGCTGTCAATGGAGATTTTGAAAATAAGTTTGGGTTTAATTTAGTTGCAAAATTCCTAAATCAAATCGTTTAATTGTAGCAAACCTTATAGAATATTATAGAGTAGTTTATAGGAGAGAATGAAATATAATAATTAATTAAGTTTTAATTGTCACTTTAGAGAACGTGTCATTGTACTTTGCATGGATATTAATTTTTGAATCGTGTTTATTAAAGTAAAGAAATGGGTATCGAACCCATAATATTAACAAAATGTCATCAAAGAAAATGTCAAACCAATCAATCAATGATTGGCGAAATTAGTTCCTTCAACAATTACCATTGACTGCGTAAGCCCTGAAAATAACTGGGAAGCATTGATCAGTAATAGCAACATCATAAAGGTTGTTGAAATCACCACCTGAGCAAGCATAAAATATAAATTGAGACCCAAGACTCAATAAATAATGACCGGACCCGTCGTAGTTATAGAGATTCCAATTACCGGCATATATAGTACCTGCTTGAGGAGGTGGTCCATCGAATTGGAATTGGTGGTTGGCAACAATGGAACCGATTCTTCCTTGTTCATCAACAATGGTTCCATTTTTTAAAGCAATTCTTAATGAATTGTCATCAACGCAAATGCTACCAATAGTAGCAGAGGATGTTCCGGATCCGGAATTGCCACCGTTGACTTGACCATCACTAATTTGACTGGCAGCACCACTGTTCACTTGACCATCACTAATTTGACTAGCAGTTCCGCTGTTCACTTGACCATCGCTGATTTGATTGGCAGCACCACTGTTGACTTGACCATCACTAATTTGACTGGCAGCATTAACTTGACCATCACTGATTTGACTAGCAGCATTAACTTGACCGTCATCAATTTGATCGGCAGCATTAACTTGACCAACCTCATGTTGAGTTGCAGTATCTCCTTGGGCAACTCTAATCAGACTAGTACCGCTAGATTGTCCAGTGCATTGAATGGCCTGTAATTTCAGGTCATCATAACGGGCAATGACTATGGCAATCTCCAGGTCAAAGTCCCAGACAACAGTTCTGAAACAAGTGGCATTAATTCTGAGACCATTGTCAACTCTTAACCCATTGTCGGGAACTAAAGTCCACCAATTGGTTGGTGGCGAAGGGAGTGCGTTAACGAAAGAGCAAAATGTTGTAAAAACTGAAAATTTTGAAATCTTCATGGTTGATCTTTGAAGGTGGCTCTTTTCTTAGAACGACAACAATAGAAGATTCTGAGGGCTTATTTATATTTATATATATATTAGAGAGTTATATATGATCCTGGAGGTTACGGGAAATGGGGATTCTGTTCTGTTCTATGACCAACTTTTATTCCTCCGTGAAATTGTAAATACTGTTCCATTTCATCCCTTTATCTTTGCAGCAAACGTTTGACGTTTGAATGACAAGGAGGAAAAAAAGATATTAATAAATTATCAATTCATGGGATACTACGTAATTACCTAATAACACATCTTGAAATATAGCAAGGATCATATCGAAAGGGGAGGGTTTGACCATCTAGGGATTCCCTTTAGATTCTTATTCATTGATCTGCTACACTCAAACTTTTGTGTTTATAATAACTCGGTCGCTTTTTGCAATTTTTCATAAAAAAATGAAAGAGAGAAATAGTACCCAGACCAGATCATCTGATATTCATTAGCTGATTGGTTCTATCCAAGGATGACCAATATTCTCCTCTTTATCTTCACTCTCGCTAATAATAGCATGATTGTACAACGATGTCACCTTATTTTTTACATTGTTCAACTTGTATACCGTTGGCTGCAAAAAAATATCATCATCGCCTTGATTTCAAATTATTGGAGTATGAACATCTAGGGAATAACTGAAAGACCACATGGGACGATCTATCGCATTTCGAAAAAAATGATGCAAGTTCCAAAGAAGAGTGAATGTTCTAAGATGATTATAAAATCAATTCTTCAAAGGGGTTTGCTGTCCGTTCTTGAGATTGACATAAACTGAACAATTCTGTAAATCATTTCGAAAGTTTGAAAAGCCTCGAGAGATGTTGGCTTAGCCTTGGGCTTACTTAGGTATCTTTTTGCAACGGTTTATTTGGTGTGCTTGGAAACATAATTTGCTTCAAATTTCTTTGGATCCATTATCTTTTAATTATATTGAAATAATTTCAAATTATAATCTGAATGACAATCTAAATTTAGAACTTCTAGAATTTTGTGGGGAGGACAGGATCGAAAAATATTTATGCGCTTAACCAATTCTCGGATCAACTCTAAGTGCATAGAATGAAATACCCCGAATCGAGATCTAATTTGAAATTGATATTTGTAAGGAGAATATTTTCAGAGTTTACCCCTTGCAGTTCAAACAAAAGATTTGATTGGTCTGACAAAATGGTTGCAAAAAAAAATAATTTTACTTTTGCTCATTCTCAGATTCGCGCAATTCCGTTCATTTCCCTACCTACTTGGTTCTTGATGAGTAACCAATGGTAGTGAAGAGATGTACTTCAATTACCCACGCTTTTACATCTACCAAATATCCAAGCTTTCGCTACCGGTCAAATGTTAAGCAAATTTGAGGAGAATATAGATCCTGCCGAATAAAATGCAAACATGTCCCTCTGTCCCACTAGTTTCATTGAATGGTAATTTGCCTTCAGGAGAAAACGAGGCTTTGGAACAGCTTTACAGGAATACCAATAACCTTGTTCTTCATGCTTTCGGTTCTTTATTGAAACTACGCGTTACCTATGTTGTGACTGCATAAGAAAGTCGCTTATTTTTTTATATCAGATTCAAATTGTTTTAAGATCCATTGTTTTCCTTTACCCAGAAAATTGGTTGTAAAAAAAAGAATGTGTTGTAAAAAAAATTAAATCGTTGCAAGAGTGAAATAGTTTAAGCAAGTCCAAAAGTCTCTCTAACTTATGCCGAGCCTTTTTTTTTCATTGCATTGATTTCGGATATATTTTAGAAATTCGGTTAATTAATCTGATTGACACCTTTTTGTTGGCAGGTATGCTTTGGGATTTATTAATTTAGTTTAGTTGAGCATTCGCTCTATGCATGGTTCCTTATGAAGCATGTGGGGGGCACGAGGAGCATTTGCACCCCTTTTAGACGCTTCGATTACCTCAGGGAGTATTTGAAATAGGGGAACATCTAGAGAATGTGGGGATTAAGGAATCCGTCAACCAAATAACATGAAATTTGCCTCAGAATCCAGGCACTCACTGCAGTTCCCTAAAACCTTACATGTTCATTGTTTATAAATAGTTCAGGTTGACAAGAAAAAAGTTTTGCAACCAATGATTATTATTCATATTAATTAATTTGTTAAAAAAATAATGTAATTGGGTATTATTTACGTGTCGGTTTGTTGGGATTAATAACCAGTAAAATTCTAAAGTTGCATATATTAATTGCCAAGAAATTCATTGAGCTAATTTATAATCAAAATGTCAATGTCCAGTTTAAGCTTGAGTTATGTATGTAATCATTGATTCAGTTACAAATTTAGCTTTTCCAAAGGTAGAGAAGAAGGAGCTCTTTATTCCTCCTAGACAACAGAATGAATCACAAAGCAGAAATAAGCTTATCAATCTTTTTTGTCTATCTTTTAGTCTCTATTATCATGTAGCTAAAGTTGATTATAATACATCCAGGAATTATTTGGAGGGAAACAATATTCTGAATTATAGTTCCTTAGTTAACAAAAAATAAACTTTGGCTGCAAAAAAAAAAAGGCCAAGACAGAAAAATTGAAAAATAAAATATTCCCCAAAAAATAAATCTGTTGATCAAGCCCACTCCCCCCACAAGGTAACCACTTGCCAATTCCATAGGCTTATGTAAATATCACGGCGTTCCTTACATCAAGGGGGTGTACATGAAGTTCGTTGCAAAAAAAGAACCAAAGGATATTAAATCCCGCCTTGGAAACAAGTATAAATACTGATGAAGTTTTCCTTTGATTGAATCCTTATCTCAAATTTCTATTCCTCAAGTTTCTCTCTTATAGATCTCACATCAACTGAACAAACAAAACAATCATGAAGTTTTCTACTACCGCTGGTATTACTTTAGCCTTATTAACTGCTGTCCAAGCTGCTGTAATTCCAGATACTTGGCCACACAAGAAGCCAAATCCTTGCTTCGAGGCTGGTGAAGATGTCCTCCTTAGTAGTAATGACAAATTCGAATTACACGTCAGAAAGTATGGTGGTAATCATAAAAGAGGTGACGCTGGGAACAATGGCCATGTTGGAACTGTCACCACCATCCATATTGTAACTGACACAGTTATGGTTCCATGTAGCACTTCCACAACTCCAGCCCCACCACCACCTCCTCCTCCTCCTCCACCTCCTCCAACTCATACGACCGCTCATTTACCATTTGCTGTTGTCACTGAAGAATCTGATGGTCAAGCTGAATACCCACTCGATGATGTTGACCCGCCATACCTCTACCTCCCAGAACCAGATGCCCAAAGTGGAAGTGATTTCCATACTGATTCCAAAGGATTCTTCCACCATAGTGAAGACACTGGTGACTTAATCTTCCATCTTCATGATGGTGTTATTAAGGATGAACAAGGTAGAATTGGTGAAATTGTTTCCAATCATCAATTCCAATTCGATGACATCCCACAACCAAATGCTCTTTATAATTGTGGTTGGTCAGTTGTTAAGCGTGATGACGATTGGTTGTTGGCACTTGGTGAACAAATCGTATTCTGGGAATGTTCTGCTGGTACCTTCTTCAAGTTGTACGATGCTTCCATTGATTCTATCTGTGTTCAAGTTGAATTTGAAGTTATCATTGCCGATTATTAGGGCTTTGAGTATGTGGGTGAGCTAGTATTTTAAGTTTCGGTTTGTGGTTTTTTATTATTTTTGTATTTATTTGTGATTATAATTTTCCATGGGTTTTCTTTTTTTTTATATTGAATTTTTATTTCGTCATAACTTGCAACTGGCATTGTTTATACTGAAGGCATAATGTATTGGTTTTGGAATCATCGTTTTAATTGGAAGTTTTTGGTTATTCGGTTGTCAAATGCAAATTTATTCATTCTTTTATGGGTTTTCAATTTTTCGTTTTTATAATGTTCACACCAAAATTTCTTCTTTATAGTTTTGATAGATTATAGAGAATTGAATACCGTTTGTGGCAATAATAATAGTTTCAATGGGAGATCTCATTGTGTATCCGAATTTATCTTGATACTTTAAGCATATCAAGTGAGTCTTTCTCTCTGATTATCTCCCTATTTATCGGATCCAAACTTGATTTTACATATTCCATTGAACTAAGACATCCTTTAAGGAATGCTTAGGGATTGTTTCTAATTATTACTCAGTTTAGTATTATGTCTTAGTAAATATTACACTTGTTGGCTATCAAAAAACNACTAAGACATCCTTTAAGGAATGCTTAGGGATTGTTTCTAATTATTACTCAGTTTAGTATTATGTCTTAGTAAATATTACACTTGTTGGCTATCAAAAAACCAATGGCTGCAAAAAAATTTCACAGAATTGTTGCAAAAAAATGATCAATAATTAAAACTTAAATAATATCATAAAAAAGCCCAGTATCCCCCCTAAAAATATATGGGTGGAATGAGGCGAACATTCTAAATACTCAACAGTATCCTATTGGTTTCTTCCATGTGTCCACATGAAGTATCTGCTCTTTTAAAAAATGGTCACGTGCCCCAAAATCTCACCACATGTAAGGTCACGTGGTCTCAAAATTTTGGAAATTTGGTTCCATGGTCTAGCGGTATGACGTCTCTCTCACTCAGAGAAGGTCACGAGTTCGATCCTCGTTGGAATCAGTTCCTTTTTTGCAACCATTTACTGTTTTTTTTCAAAAGAATTCTTACGGACAAGAAGCTTTGTTAAAATAGCAATCGCTTTATGCTATCTTTTACAAATTATAAGAGAATATTAAATATATGTATAACCTTTTTATTACACTAATGAAATAAATATCCTATAACCCTAAATTAAAAAAAATCGAACAAAGTCTTTTTGCCACAACCCTAATCTTCATCTTCATCCACATCATCATCATCACTTTCAGAATCACTATCACTTTCACTATCATCATCCTCGTCATCATCTTCAATATGACTTCCACTTGCGCTATCCTCATCATCATCTTCTTCTCCTGGATTAACATCAGCCCATTCCACATAATTTTTACTAATGATTTTTTTACTCATTGGTAATACCAAAGGATCAAATGGGAAATATGCTTCCAAATCCAAAAATTCTTGTTTTTGTTTAAAATTACCAACAGCCGAAGGCATAGCCATAGATCCATTAGTTTGTAACATTCTTTCTCTTTTATTGTGTTCAATAATCGAATAACAATAACATACATTTAATTTGGTTGCTAATTTTGCAAAGATATAAACCACAGTTTCATCACAATATTTCAACGGATTAAATTTTGCAATTATGACACGTTGGAAGAATTTATCCAAATCACATTCCCATTCAGAATCACTTGTGGTTTTATTTGTGTGTAAAGATTGTTCATTGTTTGATTTATAAAGTAATGTATGTCTGAAACAAAAGATATAAATCAATGCTTGGAAAGTTGCATAAAATAATTTAAATCTTTCCATACCTCCAACTTGTTTATTGTTGACTGAATTAAGGGCATTCTTATTAGATTCAATGTCGGCAATTTCTGATTCTCTTTCAATGATATATTTATCTAACCATCCAATGAGATAGCTCACAATGAATACAACTTGATGACGGGAAAGATTCTTACCTCTAGCAATGTATGAAGATAAATATTGCATTGCTTTTAATCTCTTTTCTAAAATTTCATTAGGGTTGAATGCAACATCAATGAGAACTACTAAGAATGAATCAGTCAATTCTGGATGATATTGTGAAATATGGAATAAAACAAATTGAATTGACTTTGTGAAATGAGTAGGTAAAATATGACTTTTGAAAAGGGAAGTGATGGTATTGTATAAACTTACTCCATTACCATTATTTAATTCTTCTTCACTGAATGAGTTTTCGGTATTGAGTAATAATGCTTGTATAATATTGTCTAATTTTGACAGTAATACCTTAATGCTGGCAGTAGTATTTGATGGATCAACCATGTATTGAACTTCGCCATCCATTAATTCATCCTCATCTTCTCCCGCATCTTCATCTTCAGAGTCACTTGCATCGTCTTCTTTATCCTGTGGTTTGCTAGTATCATCATCATCATTCACCAAAAGTTCTTCGTCATCATCTTTTCCATTGATTAATTCTTCAATTTCATCATCGTCTAAATCATCTAATTCATTTTGAAGTTCAACATCTAATTTTATACAACATTCTATTATTAATTGCCAAATACCAAATTGTAATTCAGGACAATAACCAATGATTCTAATTAAATTATTCACATAATCAGTTAATTCTTTAGTTGAAGAAGATATATGATGAGGAAAATTCTTTTGTAAAGTTTGTGGAATAGAATTAATACAAGTTGGAACATATCTAATAATTTTATGTAAAATATTATGATGATTAATTATTAAAGATTCATCTTGATGATTAAATGAATCAAATTCTCCAATAATTTTATTGGTAACTTCTTGTAAATACTTTGGTAAAGTTGAAACCAATACCGTCAAGAAATGAGAATATAAATCAACAAAAGTTGAATATGATGATTCTTCAATACAATCTTTAATATCTAACCATTTATATCGAAGAATAGCAAATATTAAATTATGACATGGTTTATTATCTAATCTAGATACATTTGATATAAGTCCTTTAAGGACAATAGTAAAATGCAGAAGAGATATGGCATCTGGATTTCCATATGGTAAATTGATTTTATCAGTTAAAGTATTGATTTGTAATGGATCGTTCTATTTGATTGATAAAAGTTAGTAAAAAATCACATTCAAAGATATTTCCCATTCGAAAAGCACAAAAAATGAAACATACCTTTTCCAAAGACATCAAAGCAGATTTGACGTATGCTGTAAACATCTTTTCTGAAAAGCCATCATCGTCATTAGTACTAGTGTTGTTAAATTCTCCTTTTATGGTGATCATCTTATTATCATTAGATCGTAATTTTTTATTCACTACTCCACCAGTAGTTTCATTATGATTGGTAGTTGGTAATCCTCGTTTTCTCATTATAGGGTCGTGTAGTGACATTATCATATTCTTATATGTTACTTTAAATATATTCTCGATCCTTTGATAGGAAACTGACTTGGGGGGTGTAAGTAGAAGAAAGAAGAAAGAAAGAAAGCAAATAGAAATTGAAAAAAAAATTTTTTTTTTATTAAGACAAGAAGAACCTGCAGAAGCTGAGATGCCAAAAAAAGTAAAATAAAAAATATACAAAATGTCGTCAAAAATAAATTGCAATGTGAACCAGGGGGAGGGGTGCGAAGAGCCATCCCTCGACTTCCCCCATAAGGAAACCAATCGTACTATCGCTACTCATGCAAGAACAGGGAGGATACCTAGCTGTTTGAAAACGTTTGAAGGAGCTTTCTTTACCACAGGGACCCCCCAGACAATTTAAATAAACTACCCATATAATCCCTATTAAAATTGAAAGTAAAAAATGTCGCATTCTTATAAAACTAATTTTCTACAAATCTAAAACCACAGATTAATTTTAATTTCACCTCCACAGTTTTCTTTAATTGGATATCTTTCGTTCCCCTTCAATGTCATGTCAGCAATCAATCTAATTCAATTACACTCGTCTATACTATTCAACATATCTGATAGTATAATCAGATCAATATCACGTGCTGAGATAGTTGGTATTTTCTTAGGATATGTAGAAAATGAACAGGCGACTATTACTGGATCATTTGAAATTGTGAAAACATCTACCAATATCGATTTAGAATACTTATACAAGAGATATATTCAATTCAAAGCTGTTTCACCCAACAGCTACGTTTTAGGATTTTATCAAATTAAAGATTCAACCAATTCTGATGAAATTGCTGATACTTCCACTATTATAGTTTTACAACAAATTCAACAAGCTTTGACTGCCTTTGAAATTGACTACGTTGGGAGTTTATTCTATATTGTGTTCAAACCCAATGACATTAAAAACTATGAACACGGAAAAACACAGGTTTTCCAATCGTATTCCTGTGAAGATTTCCATCCAATCAGAACAATAATTGATTCAACAGAAACGGAAAACATAGCCACGACAACAATCACCAAACACAAAAAGTACTTCACAACCTCAAAGCAGGATGATTCAATTCTTGAAAATTCATCAGTTGCTAAACATACACGAGAACTCGCCAATACTTTAAATCAATTGGTTGATAGAATGTCAAGAATCCTCAAATTCTTGGAAGAATCAAAACCCGAAATACCCACACAAGAATCAATGCAAGTAAGGATTCAAATCAATAATTCAATTGTACATTTATCAAATAAATTGGCATCATTTAATCAATCCACAAGAGAGAATTCATCCGTCGCTAACGGTACACTTTCCAAATTACAAGCAGCTCAATTGGGTTTTATAACGGAACAACTTACATTATTGGAGAGACTTAAGGCATATCCTCTCAAGATGATGATGGCTTATGAAGTAGACCATCTGCAATTGAAATAGTGATTAGAAAATTTATAGCTATAATAATTAGCTCTGACTAAATATACTATTTATTTTTTTTACTTCTCGCGATGATTCGATTAATCTACACTGTTACATTAAAACTGAGTACTAAGTAATAGATATAGCATGCATTAATGCAACAAAAAGCTGAGATACACTGGTGGTACCACACCACTACTGGCTCTGACAACTTGTATGATAAACCGGAATTTTTTTTTCGCAACCTGATACGCAAAAAATTATAATCACAAAACGCGCATCACCAACACCCAAAAATGTCGTCACTGTAACGAAGTGGAAATATATTCAGTACTATTTACACTACGCTACCTAAAAAAATAAGTTGTGAAGGGGTTGAGGTTTTGGCAGTACGATCTTATGACGGAGAAGTGTAGTTAATTATGACTAATGATAGTTAATATGGTTAATTGTAGTTAAACATAGTTAATTCCTCCTTCCCGCATAATTCGTGAAACCCAGGGAAATCCGGCCTGTTTATATATCTCAAGGATTTTGTACGTCCTGCATATAATAAACTCTGTCTACCTCTTATCTTTCTAGTCCACTGAATCTCATGCTTCCTGCATATTGGTGTGATATCAACCCACAACAGTCACATATCAAAATTCATCGCCAATTACCATCAGGTCATCAAAAATGCAAAAAATAATGACTCCGACGCGGTTCGAACGCGTGCATCTTTACGATAGTAGAACTTGAGTCTA